GATAAGTAGAGTGAGAATAGTTACTGGGTCAAGACGGAGTCCCTGACAGGTCGTATCATTGGGAAATTGTAAGCCTGAAACATTTGCGACCAGCTGGATATTCGCTCACTCGCGCAGCGCCTAGCCAAAGCGGAACGATGCGTACCCTAAAGGCTTTCACGAACGCATTGCACTTTGCTGAAGATTCCGTGTGCAACGAAAAAAGGCAAGCACTCCGCAAGCAGTAAGTTGAGACAGCGACCCAAGCAAGGATTTTCACACACGATCACACACCTATCGTTTGCCTCCTGTAATATCTGAACTAGGATAGAATTTATGTGTTAGTAGAATGGGACCATGAAGCAGTCACCCGTTCATAGCAGACGTTTGCAACAATCAATAGCGGTACCGGCCAGATATCAGAGTCAAGGCTTGATCCTGAAGCGCTATTAGAAGCAACTCTGGTATCCTGGTCCAGGTAAAGGAATCCAGAGTCACGGCGGCGATTGAGGAGCGAAATCGTTCTATCGCATGGCCACTGAAAAATGCGCGTTTTCAGCTTGCCCGAAACGTGCCCTTCTTCACACCTCGTATGCTATCACTTGACGAACTCGATGTCGAGAACCTCAGCGTGTTAGTCAAATCGTCCGCGTGACATGACACACAAGCTTCACGAATCCTGCGAGTACAGCGAAGAAATATTGTCCTTTACGAAGAAGTATCGCAAGATAATATTGCTAGTCTTCGCAGAGCGATGATTTCGAAAATGAAATCTTACACCGAAATTCTTGGTTGCAAAGTTCAAAGACTAGTTATGGATAATAAGTGCACCACAGGATGATGACTCTTCGTAATTCGGCTTGTTGTTGAGTTGTGATGTGTTGTTGGAGGTATTCATGCCTGGAAAATGTTCGTTGGTTGGCTTAATCGTATGGGATACACGCTTAAGTGTAGCGTGTATCCCATACGATTACCGTCCGGGGCGGACGCCTGTTGGTTGTGGTCGTGTTGTTGGGGGTATTTGGTTCGTATTCGGTTCGATTCCTAATGGCGCTGGTACAATGGTGTTGCGGTGCTTTTTATTTTCTGTGATGATGTTTGAAGAGTTGATTTTGGTAATGCGACCTCTTACCCTAGAAACAAGAAGCCCATCAGGATATGGTCTATCTGCGAAGGGTTGTTACTCTACAAGAAGCGCGACCTTATTTTTCGATTTTTTCTACCCTACCTTTTCTTTTAACCCTTTGGCCGATGGTAATCATTCGTTTCATGTCCTCGTTACTCTGCAAATACACTTTCACTAATTGTTCACGGCTCGGATCCGTTGTACTGGTCAAGAGAGACAGCAAGATGAAACTTGGACTGCGCCGCCCGACAAAATACAGGGTCAAGCTTCGGGAAATCTCTGTCCAGGTCATTATATCCTCGCGATTCCCTTGTGACAATATCAAATCTCTATCGCGATTGACCTCTGATTACAGGTATGACCTTCAAGGCTGCCTGTTCCCTAGGTTTCCACACCTTTTTCGGACTTGCATTTGCTGTGCAGAAGCGAGACAACAATATTCACAGCATTAGCAGCATCGTAGATGTTCCTGATTCTTCCGGCGGCTTCACTGTAACGACAAGTCTCAATCTGTCCAATCCTGTCAATGCCACTGGCAAAGTGTACAACGCCGATGGGACCTACAACGTCACCACAGGCTACATCAGTTACGTCGAATGCAACAACACGCAGACCTCGCAATTGCTCCAAGCGCTCAATGACGCAGTATCTTTGGCCTCGGAATCACTTAGCAAAGGCGAACTGAAGAGAGACGCAAGTGGCACCGTTGACTTCACTTCTCAAGCCGCGATCGACTATTTCGGGCCTCCAGGTCTCAATCAGCCGTTTCAATCAAACATTCAAGGTATGATATATTCCTCCCTTATAGTGACACAGTCACTTCGCTAATTCAGTTAGCCACTCTTCAAAAGGCCGCACTAGCCTATCCCGGTTTGGGTGTCGGAGATTGGTGGAACAACCGATATGTGATTCTCAGCTGTAAAGATATTGAAGCTACGTGCTCGGAAACTGTCACCGCTTATTACGGAGTGCAGAAACGCGGATATCTCTACCCAATGATCGCGTTTTGTCCTAACTGGTTTGCTCTGCCATCGCATAGAAGCCTGTGGACTTACGTGAAGAACAATCAAGAGTATCAAGACAACGTCTCAAATCTGCGAAGTAAAGGTACGCCTTCTAGGGTCTTCCAATGTGCGAGCATTATATGTTCATACATGACAAGGCTGATCCGCAATCTAGCCTCAGTCATGCTTCATGAATGGCTGCATATGAGCTGGAGCTCTGCTGTGGTTTGTTCTCATGGCTGTGCGTCTGATCCTGTTAGGAACATCTTGGAACGGGGCGATCTCTTTCTGACGCACTCGTTCAGGCGATGACCAAGTTATCGAGGTCGGCTGGCCGAGAGCACCAGAGCAGGTTAAGGTCTACGGGTCAGGGTTGGGTAAGCTCCTAGCGGAGATAGAGCCCCAAGGTCTTGAGCTTGCCAGCAAAAACAGTGAGTCCCTGTTACATTACGTCCGTCGAGTTCAGGTCATCGAGGAAGCAAGCGCTGAACACTTCTAAAGATGATAATTATGTCTATTATACACTAGCGAACTTGATCTACAAGAATTTTGGATCGTAAGCACCCAACCCTTCCGTGCCCACATTTGAGCCAAGCCTTCTTCCCTGAGCCAAGACAAGAACATCACTTACATCCCCAGATATCCCCAGTACCCTCGAGCCTGGCTACGCTATCTCAGCAAAGCGGAAAATAGCGTGCGAGAGCAATACGACAATGACAGATCTGTCAACGGCCAATCCGTCAACACTTCCGTCTCTGGTGATGCTGTGGTTTCCGACCCTGCGCAACCCGTCATACCCGCAATCCCCTCCGCCCTTATCCCGGCATCAGACTATCCTGTAGCGTACCGCTCTGTTCTGGCTGTGAATGAGGGTAACGATTTGTCCTCTCCGTCAACCTCCTTCACCACGGGGACTTCATCATCACCAGCGCCACACCTATCCACTGCTGCCACATCCACCGCTGCCCTTGCCCGACCCTCACTGGCGCTCATCATCTACCGCCGTGACGCCGTCGACAACAGCCGTTATACGCCGGTACGCACGAGCTGGGCACTTGAATATGACACCACGCCGAACGACTGGGAATTCAGCACTTGCGAGAGAGTGACCCCAACTTACGAACAGGAATACCCTAAGTACGAAGGTGGCGTCACTACCGACTACCCAATAAATCTTGGGCCATTCAGTCCCCACAATCTAGAGAATTGCGTCTACAATGGCACTAACAGTGTTATTGGGAGGCTGAAGTGTAACGATGGTGTTGACATGGAATGCACAACTCCTTTGGGAAAAAACACGGTACAGCCTTGCGGATTCGATACTGACACGGCGATTGTCTATGCTGAGTGGTGAAATCCTGTTAACGATGGAATGCACGTACGCTTTGGGCGATGGCACAGCAGTAGTGTGTAAATAGCTGACAAGACTAGAAACTACACAGTAACAGCAGTAGGAAAATCAAAGACATCAAACGTGTGGGTGGGATTCTGAGGTAGACAATGAGAGTAGGCTGACGAATGGGAGAGGGGATGTCAGCGGTTGAGGATATTTTATAACGGAAAGGCAAACTTGCTGGTAAGGACTATGTCCTTAATTGATAAGCACCATCGCCATATCAATCTCCACAGAACACAAACATCCTCTGCAGAGCACGCATTAAGCAATGCATTTGCGCCACCACAGCCCTAAACCCAGCATACCACTGAGTACTCTGTCAAACAACATCGCATCTTGAAGGTCATCGCGCCTGTTGTCATATAATCATTGACGAGCTTGAGCCAGCAGAGCTGTATGCATGATGATTGGTGTAGTGCAAGGGTCCAAAGTCGCAATTGGTGCAGTTCGAGCCTCAACATCAACTATCTCCACTATCGCCAAGCTGATAGCATTGGGATTCCCCATCTGAGTAATGATTGCCTTCAAATGATATCCAAGGAGACTTATGTTCTCTTTATGGCTGTACTTTCGCAACCACGAGTTTCTTAATCGGCTAGATAGCGAAGAGTCGTATCGATACGTATGGAGAATTATACAGAATTTTAGACGCTGATGCAGATGTCTTATTAACGACCTTTACATCGGTAAGAGAATACCAGGATGTAGCTTAGGCGACTGATATCTGCCTGTCTATCATCTGATCATCTGACAAGATGATAAATGGCACCGTTCGAGGACTTCAAAACGTATCACCCACAAAGTCTACGCAAGTAGAATGTGTACCCCTGAGACATGATCTGTCATACATAATCCTCCTTCGGCCTAAGGGTGTAGTGTCGAGGCTGATGGTTACATATCAACTGCACCAACGATACCAAAAATGATGTGAAACTTGGCATACAAAACCCTAAGCAACTTCGCAGCAGGTAGTGCTCGTGATTTGTGAATGAAAAACGTTTTCACACGCCGCGTATGCGCCACGTACTTAACGAGCGACCATTCGATCGATTCTGTGTCTAATCTCCCAGCCCCAAAGCACGGGCACGAGGCTGAAAGATGCCTCGTTCGACGAGTGTCCGTTCCCTTTTGTTGGAAATGGTATGAAGGATTGATTGATTAGGTAGCTATGAGAGTGCTGAGTGGGCTACTTATACCCGTATTTGCCACCATGCGGGGTAGCTTCAACACAGGTGCTGCAGCAAATCTCAACACACCCCCATGATGCAGCACCATCGGCCACACCCCCATGCTGCAGAATGGCTCTCTAATAACTAATTGTGACACGAGCATAGACCCGATCCTCCCTTTACGTGACACGAGCACGACTGAGAACCTGGTGACTGATATCGAAAGAAAGTCGACTTGCTCAACGAAGAGATCGAATTTGATTGCCTTGTAGCAGGCTCACTGATGATTTGAATACTGAATACTCTGGCCACTTCTTGGGCACTGGCTAGTTGGAAGACTGGTAAAGCTCTGGCCACTGCTTGGGCACGGGCTTGAAGTTTGTAGTTGAATGACCTCTGCGTGCTCTGACCTCTTCTTGGGTAGTAGCCGTAGTAGAATCTGTAATGGAATAGTGGTAATCTCTGCGTACTCTGACCTCTTCTTGGGTAGTAGCCGTAGTAGAATCTGTAATGGAATAGTGGTAATCTCTGCGTGCTCTGACCTCTTGCTTGGGTAGTAGTCGTAGTAGAAAAGTAGTAGTGGAATAGTAGTAATCTCTGCGTGCTCTGACCTCTTGATTGGGTAGTAGCCGTAGTAGAAAAGTGGTAATCTCTGCGTGCTCTGACCTCTTGATTGGGTAGTAGTCGTAGTAGAAAAGTGGTAATCTCTGCGTGCTCTGACCTCTTGATTGGGTAGTAGCCGTAGTAGAAAAGTGGTAATCTCTGCGTGCTCTGACCTCTTGATTGGGTAGTAGTCGTAGTAGAAAAGTGGTAATCTCTGCGTGCTCTGACCTCTTGATTGGGTAGTAGCCGTAGTAGAAAAGTGGTAATCTCTGCGTGCTCTGACCTCTTGATTGGGTAGTAGCCGTAGTAGAAAAGTGGTAATCTCTGCGTGCTCTGACCTCTTGATTGGGTAGTAGCCGTAGTAGAAAAGTGGTAATCTCTGCGTGCTCTGACCTCTTGGTTGGGTAGTAGCCGTAGTAGAAAAGTAAGGGAATAGTGGTAACACTGGAAACAGTGGAAATGGTGGTAAAAGTCGTCGGAGTTGCCACAACTGAGCTGGACTTGGTACTTGAAGATTGAATCAATGATTGACTGCAGCTGCGTAGCAGTTGCGCGAGGGCCTCATAACCTGTTGGAAATGGATATGAAGGATTGATTGATTAGGTAGCTATGAGAGTGCTGAGTGGGCTACTTATACCCGTATTTGCCACCATGCGGGGTAGCTTCAACACAGGTGCTGCAGCAAATCTCAACACCTTTCAGCAACGTATGCAGCGCTCGTCGCTCCAAAGGGCTGGCATCCCACGGCGCCGAACCCGCTACGCCTCTCTCTTCCGTCGGTCGGCTCGCCTCCAGCTCGCAGCGTGGCTGATTCGTTAGCACGTAACGCAATCTTTGAAATGGAGCCGGAAACTGAAGCTGCGTCGGCCGTGAGGGGGGGGGAACAGGCAGTGTTGTATGCGTGACGGGTCTGATTCTGATGTCTGCAACAGGCAGGTACTGGAAGGTTCTCTGTCGTGTGTGCCACCGTCGGAGAAAGAGCGGTTTCAGGCGTGGAGAGGTTCGTGAATCCTACGCATTATCGGTGTGTATGTGTGGAGGAAGTCACGTTGCATTGTAGACAAAGTACAACATAGGGTGCACACGAGCGCGTCTCCTGGCCCTGTGGATTACGTAGAGGTCTGAATTTTCAACGTTTTTCCCTTTCAGGTTCAGTGCTGAAATCAACTTGATTGCTGCTTAAAAATAATTTAGCTTTGGAAGATAGAGCAATACCGCGACGATCCCTAGTTCTTCTGCTTCAATCCCACTGCTCTCGACCAAGACTGATTCCAAGGTGTCCTCAACTATAGGAGAAATGGAAGCATACGAAAACTTTTACATCCTCTCAAAGAAGCCTCAATTCTAAGTCGGATCTGGAGTTGTTGCAGGCATCTGAGGTCCTCCATGAGCTGTTGCTGCAATTCTCCTATGCTGTGAAAGATTAGGCCCGTTGATCGGACCATTATCAACCGAATGCACACCCATGGCGATACCAGGCCTCGTTTCTATCTCCGCTCTCTGATCCCGGCGAAGTCTTGCCGTTGGTGGAGGATTGAGCCCGTTGATTGCACCATTGTCGCTGACAAGACTGTATACAGGATCTTTCCGCCAGCCGAATTCGCAGCCGCCGTAGCCTTCACCGCCCATTCGATCGAAAAGGGCATGTGGCGGCGCAAACCATGGCTGATATGGTTTCCCGTTCAGATTGTAGTTTGGTGGCCCACATGGCGCTAATCGTAGTCCGACTATTCGCTTCGCTTATAGTAGTCCGCAACTCAAAGACGCACTAGTCTTAAAGACGCGTTTTTTCGCGATTTGATACTCTATATTGTAATCCATTATTATTCTATTATATTATATCTATATCTTATTCTAAGTAAGAGGAACTTGTCTAGAAGGCTATTAATGAGTATAAGGATGGTTATTTTCGTAGCGTTATAGCGGTCGTAGAGTATTATAGTCTTAAATCGCGATGGGTGTAAAGACGGCTTCGGGGATAAGCTTCTAGAAGTACTCGAATATCTATTTATATACGTCTTACTACGGTTTAAGAATAATCGCTATATAATTATATTAATCGTTTAAATAATATCGAGTATTTATTTCGACTAAATTATATTTAGAGTGCTATTAAGTATATTCTAAAAATCGCTTTAAATTCGTATTATTTTCTTAAATTACTCGATAAAGATTAGATTATATAATTTATAAAATGATATCTTAAATATTATAAATAAAAGTAAAAAATTTTTAGTGCCGAGTGTAAGAATACGTACAATGTTAAGAGTATACGCGTGGCGTATAAGAAATTTCGATAGAGCTATAAAGAGAAGAGTATATAATATTAGAATATTTAGAATATAGACGAGACTGACTTTCGAATTGACTATAAAATCGTTTATTATATTATTACTTTAAATAAAAGTAAGTCTCTATAATTTATAAATCTAGATAATTATAATTATATTACATTCGTAAAATATATTAGCGTTAAAGGCTAAAGTGTATTTTTATTTATAATTCTAAAAGATATTTATATTCTATATAAATGGGATAAAAATGACTTATCTTCGAATACTATATTAGTCGTTTTACCTATTAAATATTTAAATAATCGACTGGTATATGACTAGTTATTATATTTTGATATATTTTCTTATTATCGTTAAGTGAGAGAATAGAGGATCTCAATTCTAAATGGCTTCGGATCTTATTATATTTACGAATTTCATATATTTATCTAGCAATTAAAGATCGACTTATTTATACTTTCCTCATATTCTATATATATTATATAGTTATTAAATATAAGATACTTTTAATTATTTAAATATTATTATATAAAGATTATAGATTCGACTATATATCTTAAGAGTAGTGATTTTAATAGGCTTAACTTTCTCGTAGTATTTAATTAAATAAGAATCTAAATCTTTACGCTTAATATTATATATTTAATCTTTTAAAAGACTAATTTTATACTTTATAAGCTTGAAATAGTACTTGAAAAAATTAGAAATCTAATACTCCGCGCTATAACTCTAGATAAGTTTATATCTTTTATACTTACTAGAACTCTCTATAAAGCCGAAGATGTTATTAAATATAATTAATAGTTTAAAAAATTACTTGCTATTTAGGCTTTTATTATTTCAAAAAATATATAATAGTTATTAGCTTAATTTGTAAAAGAATTTATTACTAATAATTACTCGAGATAAATTGCTAAGCGAGATATTAAGATTATTTATAAAGAGGCCGTAATTAAGCGAGTATATAAGATATTTTCTAGAATGGTTATCTAGAAGGAAGAATAGATATTAATAGATTAAATACGTAAATCTTTAATTATAATGAAAGAAATAGCTATAGAAAAGGCGGAGAAGGCTCTGAAGCGAGTTACTTAGGCTGAGGAAATTTAGTAAGAAAAGGCTGATAAGGCTATTAAGGCTTATATTTGAAAGCTGGATTATGGTCTATGGAAGTTAGTGTATATATATTGGGATGTATTTATTAGGATTTGAGTTATAGGATGAGATCTATGTAGAATTAGGAAGGAATAATGGATTTTCGCGTCTTTGAGACTAGTGCGTCTTTGAGTTGAGGACTACTATGAGCGAAGCGAATAGTCGGACTACGATTAAAGCGAAGGAGTTGACTGCTGTTTGACCAGCCGCCCAGGTAAATGTCGAGAGCTCCTCCGAAGAAAAAGTCGCTGTAAAGATATCGAAAGCGCTGCCGATTTGCTTACAGCCGTCCGTTGCAGTAAAAGAGACGACAACGGCATATATACTCGGCCATGTCCTACAAAAGAATATAGGTTAATCAGTCCTAGAATTAATATAGTGCAGTGAGGGACATAATTACGGTGACAGCCTGCGGGGCAGAGTATTGTTTGGGACATCACTTAATGTCTCGTGGCGGACTATTCAACTCATCTGATTCGAGCTCGTGGAGCAATATTGGCAATTATTCAATGGGACTCGAGATGAACCTGGGCTACAGCGACAATGCTACTTATGGACATGACACAGTAGCTCTCGGAGTTAGTGAAGCCACTGGATCTCCTAACCTAGACTCTCAAGTTGTTGCTACTTTCGGTAACGATGACTATTACGTCGGCTTGTTTGGCATGGGCCATCAATGAACAGGATCTAGTGAACACCAGCAAATCAAATGCAACCTTTCTGACAACGTTAAAGGCGCGAAACATGATTCCAAGTCTGTCATGGGGTTACACCGCCGGTGTAATCTACCGTGAATCTTATGTTCGCGTTCTTATCTGACCCGACACCTTTAGCCGCAAACTTGAATTCCCACTGTGTTGCCCTTACCATCATTTTCCTACTAATCTTGGGCCCCCAGAATCGACTGGAGTGGTCAGATCTCTGACACTTGGAAGCTACGACTCATCACGACTTGTTCTTAGTAATGTCTCCTTTTCTCTAGCCCCCAACGTCTCACGGGACCTTGTTGTTGGCCTGCAATCAATAACCGCCAAATATGCGAACGGCTCCGCAGTATCGCTTCAGTCAGAGCCAATCTGGACCTTCATTGATTCAACCATCCCTTACATTTATTTGCCGCTCGATGCGTGTAAATTATCTGAAAAAACGTTCGGTCTGATCTGGAATACGACACATCAGAAGTACTTCGTCGACGATATTCTGCATGAAAATCTTGTAGAAGAAAGCAGTAACATTACATTCACATTGGGGACTTCTGAGATTGGAGGATCAACCGTTGATATCTGTCTACCTTATTCGAGTTTCGATCTTGTGATGGACGACCCTTTAGTCCCCAGCAGTCTTAGCGGTATACGGTATTTCCCGCTCATGAGGGCTGCAAACCAATCTCAGTATACGCTTGGTAGAACATTCTTGCAGGAAGCGTAAGCTATCTACAACATCACGCTTCTCGAATTCTGGGGCTAATCACTATTAGCTATGTCATTACCAATTACGAGCAGTCCAATTTCTCTGTCTTCCAGAGCAAGTTCGAGGATGGGGCCAAGCCAGATATCGTAGCAATACCTCTAGCAAGCACAGCAGTCGTACCACTGAAATAGGCGTAAGCCTTGGAGTCATAGCTATCTTCTTGTTGAGCCTCGTCGCCGTCGTATTGGCTGTGAAGAAGAAGACGAAGAAGAAGAAGAAAAGGCGCAACCATCAATACGGAGAACGGGATCATGACACTATAGATCTTACAGACCTATAACAACAACCAGCCTGGGAAATTGCCATGAATGGCTTCATTGGTCCACCCCGGGAGCTTTCTGCCACTGAGAAATCTGAGCTTCTCGACGCGGCAACACCTTCAGGATCCGGGAAAGAAGTCTTGGAGCTGTCTGGGCCTTCCGAACCGGTTGCGCATGAGCTTGCAGAGACCTTTGCACCTGTGGCTTATGAGCTCATGAATCACGGCACTGCGGATGAAAGATCCACGATTCAGAATCACGGCGCGAGGAGTAAATACACGATCTTCGTATCCACCAATATGTCAAGCCAAAGCTGGACTAGTATCGGCACATCGACTGACATTCCATGCGTCGGAACAACCATCTGCTCTCAGAAGCCAAAGACGGTAAATTTGGACCGGTCATTACCTCCAACCCCAATTTCCGAAAGTCCTCAGATTCCACGCGTCATATCAGACTTTAGTGAGGTTGTAACGACAAGGAAAGGTTCCGAAGCGTTTGTTGAAAGGCCAGCTGCTGGGAAGTCTGTTTGCGGGATAATGGGCCGAGTCCCTTCTCATACTCGTCTTAACGCTTGGCAGCGTGAGCTTGCACATTCGAGTTACGCGTCGATGTATATGGAATTTGTCATCTCGCCGGGCCTGTCGGAAGCTGAGATCGTAAAGCCTCTCAATGTCTACAAGGAAATGGAAAGAAGCCGCCACAATTTCTTTCAGAGCTGAGATGAGCCCAGTGTTCATATGAGAATGGCCTAAACTTTAGCTTACTTGATTGCTGGGTGGGCGTTGTCTATTAGAGTGAAGTTCGTAGAACAAGGTCGCACGAGAATCCAATAATCCGTGTGGGTACTACTGCTGAATGAGGACCAGCCTGGTCTCCTCAAAGATCAGATGCCTGGTTTCGTTCTCACTCAAGTCGTCATCAAGTCCCGTTCCGGTACTGTTACCAAGTCATCCACCTCATCTTGTGGCCATTTGCTTGACACTGTCAGGTCAGCCCGAGCATGGCACGAAGGGAAGACATACTCTTCCCTGTTCGCGTTTTTATCCAGAATGCTCTTTGTGCTGCCGAATCCATGGAGGTCCGGTTTTTGGTTACCGTAGGTGGATTCGAAGACTCTTCTTGTTCTCCGGGAACAATTTCGTATGCCGGCTTAGAGCATCAACCTCGTCAGCATCGACGCAGAGGAGCTGGCTTGTTAAAATGTTACGATTGGCGCTTTGATTAAAGCTGCTAATGACCATGATACCCTGCATCCATTTTAGATGATCATTGCCTCAGTCCTCTGACGCTATTCCCAGTCCGGGCCTAAAGTAGGGTTTCCGCGGTTAGGTTCAACTTCGGTAGATTTGCGGTACATCTCTTTGGGCTTGGCAATGGCAGGGATCCACGAGTAGACGGCGCCAAGCGCGCTTACAATTTCGACCCTCCAAGATGGGGAAAACATATATCTGATAGTCGGATACGGCCAAATATAACTTCTGAGCGGCGCTGGGCCGCGACTACGAGGAGCTTCTACGGCATGTAACGACAGTCAAAGTCAAAACAAACCCTAAGAATCCCAATACCAGTGCTCTTCCTCCTCTTCTGACCCCAGGCAATGAACGGCCAATGATACCTCGTTCATCTTTTGAGATCCGCACCTATGCTAGATCAAACCTCAGGAGGACCATGAGAAGACCACAAGCGGCCACGTTCCTCGTTCTGTGCGTTTTTGTGGGCACCACGCTCTACCTCCTAGGCACATCCAGACCTTCAGCCCCTATCGACATTACGCCCCCAGAGCTTACAACAGCTCTGCCCCCTTCGACCGATGCCTCTCATCCCATACGGCAGCTCATAACAAGGTCTGAGAACGCTTTCAACGAGGTCATAAACAGGCAATCGGATACCCTAGAGAAGGCTGTCGCAGAGTACAGACGGAGATACCAAATACCTCCGCCTCCGAACTTCGATAAGTGGTACGAATTCGCAAAAGCTAGGAATGTGGCATTGATCGACGAATATGACACTATCTACAACTCTTTACTGCCATTCTGGGCTCTACAACCATCCGTCATTCGGGGAAGGGCACGTGAGGCACTCGGTTTCGACAATGCGCTGCTGGGTGTAATCATACGGGATGGAAAAGTCGTTAGCGCGGCAGGCGGGTCTGAATGGCAGCAGAAGTCAACCGTGGGTATGGTCAAAGACTTCGTCCAATATCTGCCTGACATGGATCTACCTTTCAACATCCACGATGAACCGCGAGTGGTTGTGCCACATGACGATTTGAGCAGGCTAGTAACCACGGCAAAAGACGTGGCAATGCCTGCTGCCTTCCAAAATAAAATGCCGAAGAACTCATGGTCAGCTCGAGCCGCGGATATGGATGATGGTACAAGGCCAAACGAGGTCAAGTTTACGAGATTTAATGTTTTTGCTCATCAACCCACCTGGACAAATTCTCGAATGTCATGCTCGCCTGAAAGCCCCGCGCGAACCTTGGACGAAAGTATACAAGACGACAGCAGTGCCTTCGCCTTTTCCCAGCTCGGCTTCATCTTTAACAAGACCGCATTCTCTGACATCTGCTTGTCACCTTCTTTAAAAGAGCGCTACGGTTTCTTCAACCGCCCGAACGCTTTCAACATCGTCCATGACCTCTTCCCAGTCTTTTCTCAGAGCAAGATCAGCAGCTTTCAAGATATCCTGTACCCATCGCCATGGTACTGGTCCAATAAAGTAGCCTACGACCAGAGCGACGATTATCCCTGGGACAGCAAGAAAGACAAGCTTTACTGGCGTGGCTCTACAACTGGTGGCTTTTCCAGGAACGGGGGTTGGAGACGTCAGCACCGTCAACTATTCGTCGAAAAGATCAATGCCTTAGATAATACCATGGTCCTGGAGAACCAGAGTCCCGAGCCAGGTTCTTTCGTCGAATGGAAGCTCAAAGAAAGACCTAGAACAGATTTCAAAGACCTCATGGATGTCCACTTCGCCCACGTCGGCCAATGCGACGCGGGAGATTGCGATGCCCAGAAAGAATTTTTCGAAATTGCTAAGCCAGATAAGCAGCACGATGCCTGGCGGTACAAATACCTCCTCGATATTGATGGAAATGCCTTCAGCGGCCGCTTTTACGCCTTTTTGAAGAGTATGAGTTTAGTATATAAGATGGCGGTGTTTCGAGAGTGGCATGAAGAGTGGCTATGGCCTTGGGTCCATTACATACCTTTGGGCTTGAAAGGGGATGAGTATGTGGAGAGCGTGAGATATTTCAACAGTGAGCCGGATGGGAAGATACAAGCGCCCAAATTGGCGATCCAGGGGAGGGAGTGGGCGGGGAAAGTGCTCAGGAATGAGGACTTTGAGGTCTGGTTGTTCAGGTTGTTGATAGAGTGGGTCTCCTGGATCTGCATCTGGAGAACTTGACTGACTTTTATTGCAGGTATGGCCGATTGGTGGATGATGACCGGCAGAACATAGGCTATGGCAATGTCTAATCTTATAATGCACATATATGAGTAATCTCTTTGCGCAATTTTGGATCATGCAAGGTTTCGGAAATCTCCGTGCAACATACCTTATGGGTTTTTCAAATGCCTGTATCCTCATAAATAGTGATACCCCCAGCGCAACTGCCAAAACCACTCCTAACCATTTCCCCCCCTCCACAGCGCCGCCAGTAGACCCAACCACCCTCGTACTCGCCGAAACACTACCAAACCCGCTCACAATCAGCCCTCCAATACCCACAGCTTCCGTACTCGTACCAACTCCCACATCCGTCCCGGCCGCAGCATACGAGGTCGGCGTCCCAGATACGGTAACAACACCGCCAGGTGACAGAGTCTGACCGTCCATGATGAAGTCCATAGACGCCTCGGCAGTGTAAGTGCTTCCATCAAATGCGACTGTGAGTACAGCTGCGGTGATGGTAGCGTAGGATACTGCTTCAGTGCTCGCGCCGATGACCACGGCTGTACCGGCTGCAGCGTGGGATACGGGGCGTGCCGGATACGGCGATGGTGCCATCTGGTGCGAGAGTCTGACCGGCGATGACGAAGTCTTTGGATGCGTCGGCGGTGTATGAACTTCCGTCGAATGATAGAACGGCAGCAGCAGCAGTAGCGGGTGTGATGGTTAGCACAGGGATGCTGAAAGAGTACTGCTACCTATCACAGACTCGCTGCTACCAGAGGGATACGGTATAGGCGCCGTGATGATGCCACTGGGTCTTAAGATCTGACTATCGATGGCGATATCCGGTGAAGCATCCGCAGCGGTCCGCCCCATTTGGACACAGGAGCCACGACTGTGGGAGGTGTGACGGTTGCAAAAGTTAGGATCTCGTCCTGCTACCGATTACCATCTCGCTTCCTCTCGCAGGACAGGTAATCCCCGTTCCGCGCGCTGAAAGACTGGCACCGGGCGTCATCATCTGATCGTCGATGACAAAAGTGGACGCGGGTCTGCTGTGAGGGTTGAGTCGGTGAATGTTACCACTGGTGCTATATTAAAAATACCAATCGCAGGGCCGTGGATTCTTGGGAAAGTGCTGGTGCCTATAATAGCAGCTGTAGCATTAGCAGTGAGACAGATAGATGTGCCGCAAGTCGTCGTCGCTGGACCCTTTGGTGCGCGGGTTTGTCCGGCGAGGATGAAGCGGGAGGAGGTGTCGCCTGTATAGGGCGCTCTTGCGAACGGGAAGATGCCTAATTGCGCAGACGGACCAGCAGCAGCTTGTCCCGACCGAACGGCTTAACAGTCAGATTTGCAGATCGAAGCCTGTGCACCACGATTTCTGTACTCAATGTCTGTTGTGAGTCTTGACCACTGCAATCACGCCTCAGTCCACACAGCGGGCATAGGGGCGGAGAATCTATGACCTGTATTCTATGCGCAGTCAAAACACCATGTCTTCCCCAGCGATCCACCCAAAAGCTACGGAAACCTTATTTGCTTGGGATGGCGAACCGCTCGACGAAGCTCGTTTTCATGTTCGCTCTTGCTTGTCGGCTGTAGTAGGTAAACAGCAGAATCCCAGTTCATGAGAAGGCAATACAAAAGAGAAGCACGATAGATTGGATGACGGCTCTGACGCCGATACCAATGTTCCAAGAGACTTAGTCAGAACTTCTGGGAAAGCGAAACTGAAAGAGACCTTCCTGGACAAACTCGCAGAGGTGCTGTCCCGAGAAAAGCCACAGCCAGGCGAGAAGGCCAAGGCCAAGCACATTGCTGCTGCTGCGATGGTTGAAAGAGACGATGAAGCAACCATATACGTTGCCAAGAATGGTGGGCTCGATGAGGTTGATAGCTCGATGTCGCACGTACTTCCGATCTGGGTGAGAACCATTATGGCTAATGGTCGCCATCGAGATATCACCGAGGACGCTACGCTCAAGAAATTAGTTGAGTACTATCAGAAGCGATTGGAGTTCTATCGGCAGAGACTCACACAAAGTCTCGAGCCATACATGACAACAACTGACACCGTATACCCCACAAAAAAAGGTTCCGCAGACTCTTTGAATTGCGTTCTTCTATCGGAGCTGTCAGAAAGGAGTGGCACGAGATCGTCTATGCCGCGTATGAGCTGCAGTATGACAAGAGTACGAAGTCAGAATTAGATGAAACCGCAAAAGATGCTTCCCGGAAGCTGTGGCAATGCATCACGCTTCCTGGCCATCTTCGTGTGTCCTATGAGACTATCATTGAAGGCGCTTGGCACTTTGCGATCTTCAAAAAGGTAAACATTGTAGCCAACGATGCGGGTGTCCTCGAGGAAGTGGCTCATCAATTGTCCCATTCCCTGCCACCAATAGCTTCGGTCTACTTCCAAAGGCTAAAAGGCGCGCCAGCGGATAGCGTGCGATATCAGATTGGCACAGCCTTGCTTCGTACATGCCGGAGTGCAGCTGCTGATGCAGCTCGAGCGTCCTCCCAGAAAAAACTTCAACGCGGCGGGGGTGTTTGACTATATTAGCTGTAGCAAAAAGACTTGCTATCTCTGCTGCAAACTCATCGAGGAGCATAGGATTTTCCGCACTCGGGGTACTCACGGGAAGGCTTACGATTAGCGGATCGTCCCGGCTTCGAATGACCTTCCCATAGCATCTGCCTTCCGGATCAATGTAGCCTTGGTCAATATAGAAAATAACATGATCACTCGCTCTAAAAGTCCCTTGGCAGCCGACAATTGCCTCCTGTTGCTGAGGATTTCATTGGCAATTCAGTACATTCGGACACATCTGTGTACAGGCATCGACTTAGACAATTCGGTATTAATACTGAGGGTCTCAACGTAGCAGAAAGTAACGAACGCGGAAAAGACTCACCTGCCACCAAGCTTGGCAAGCCTCGTACTTCCTTTCAAGCGGCTCGAATTCTCGCAGACAGCGCGAATCCAATAGAAATAGTACAGTTCATTACTCACGAGACTGAGAAAGAATACGCTTGCATGGATCAAAGTATGAATTCATGTTCCGAACTTTGTCAAGTCTTGGGATGAGGCTTATAATTTCGACCGCGCTATGTATAGGTTCAAGGCGATCTATCAAGCGTCCAAATCCCTGAATGGTGAGTTACCAAGTCCATTGGAACCTCAACGATGAGCTCCCCAAGAGTGGACCTCATTGAGATTCCCAGCCATTGCCGTATTTGGTACGATGACGTCTTCATTGAATGCGTTAGACCACAACGAGCATGCCTTTCATCTTTATGACGATAATACAGCAGGATTCATGGAAAGCCAACTGATAGCTTTGATATTTCGCAACCAGCGGAACGATGGAGTCATGGAAGGCCAACTAAAAGAGGACACAAAGTATCAAGACCAGTTCCAGAAAATGGCAAGAGATAGGGACCTTGTCTACAACGAATGTATGTTCGGAACCCTCTTGTGATATCACCTGCTGATTTGCGCTTCTATAGCACAGCCAAAATGAACGAGAAATGATCAAGCTCACGCCAGCAGGCACTCTCGACAAGATTCCAATGAGGGAGCGCGATGTGGATGCTATCGATCCCAACCATCCAAAGCTCATCCAGATTCGCCAACTTTTTTGAGAGAATACCAAGATTGAAGAGGACATGGAACGATGTTCATGAAGTCAACTGTGGTCAGTCTCAGCCATAAGGCGTACTTACCATTCTGGAGGAGCAGAACCGTGCCACGGATGGAAATTGACCAAATACCACCGAGCGAGCGCTAACAGCAGCATCAATCTATTGGGACATTTCTGACTACGGAACAGTGTTGGGAACAGTGGAAATTTCAGGGAGACGAAGGGCGAGGAGCTCCGGGGTGGCGGGTGTCTTTTCATCGGATGGTATTCGTGTTCGAACAAACGACAAGGAGTATGTAGAGCACGCTGACCAGAGGTGATATAAAAGCATAAGGACTCTTGCAACACTTGACGGCAAACCTGATGACAATATGAAGTGATAGATGACTTCATGCAGGTTTTCTTCTCTTGTGACCGACCGCTCTCCATGGTTCCTTGATTGGGATCTCAGACATCGGTTGCAGTTTCATAGGGCTGAGCACTTACACCCAAATTCGTCTTAGCTCGAAGCGGGCGTAATAAACGCTTAGGGCATAAGACAACCGCTACTAGCGCGAGCAGTTCGTTAGCAATACATGCTGACTGACATTTCATGTATCTCGCCTTCAGACATATTTCTCCTGTCCTTGTGCAAAATTATACGTACGATATTTTCTGTATAGCCTCAAAACCTTTCCGGCAATACTCGTAATGCCTTTGTAATTTAGGATTCCACTAGACGCACGCATAATTTCCAGTAACTTGCATTCGTTTTAGCAAAATGGGCTTCCCTTACCACTTCGTTACCTTGAACGATGAGCAAGATTTGCGTCGACGCCAATTGTTGGACGACTATGGCCAATTTGCGCAATTTTCCGTCTTGCTCCTACCGCTAATGTATCAACTATGTCTCGGAATGCGTCTTCTGATATCAAGAACATGGCCGTTCAAACCTCAGACGGTCAAAGAGCATCGAAGTCCAGTCGTGTCCAGGTTCCAACAGCCTGCTACAAGCTATTCAACGAACCTAATAGCACGAACCCGTTGGTTTCTTGATGAAGAGGTCCTTGAGGGATGGAACACCCGACAGGAATGGCTCATTGCTGGCCTTTGGGCAATGTGGCTGCTTGTGCTTGTGTTTAAGGATACCGGCGACGACTACCTCCACTTGACCAAACGATTCGGCATCGTAGCGGCTTCGCAACTGCCAGTACATTATTTGCTTGCCGCCAAATCTTGGAGTCCTATCCAATATCTGACTCGAATGTCCCATGAGGAACTCAACCCCTACCACCGGCTTTTTGGGAGAATACTCATCGCTTTCTTCTCAGTCCACGCAACAATGTACTTGAACTTCTACATCCAGATGAGCCTCCTGCTCAAGAGGATTCAGGATCGGGACGTGATACTGGGGTTATCAGCCATCACCACCTTTCTGCTCATTGGGACTACCGCTCTTGCCAGGATCCGCACATGGAATTACCGCGTCTTTTTCTATCTCCACGTTATCCTTTCTGCATCACTCCTACCAATACTATTCTTCCACGTCTCGCATCTTCGACTGTATATTGTCGAATCAGCGGCCATCTACCTACTTGTCATTTTGCAACGTAATGTGTCGCAGGCAACAGCTGATGCAACTATCGAGCTGATCCCCTCAGCTAATCTACTCGTCATCAGCATAGCGCTGACGAAACCTCTTTCTTCCAAGAAATACACCCCAGGCCAGCACATATACCTTGGTTTTCCATCGCTGCCCCAGAAACTCCGTATTAACCCTTTCTCAATCGCCAATAGGGATCCTCATAGCGACAACAAGATCAAGCTTGTGGCTCGTGCTCTCTCCGGAACAACGGCAATGCTCGTTGATTGTGCTGCCAACCAAAAGACCACCAGCCTTACCCTCGAAGGTCCCTATGGCGCCGCAAACTATTTTCCTGATCTTGCGACTTATGATCGGGTGCTCTTTGTTGCAGGTGGTGTGGGAGCAACATTCACGTTACCACTTTACCTTGACTTGCTGCAGCGAAAGGCTCGTGAGGAGCGCATACCAAGTCCTAAGCTTGTGTGGAGTGTCCGGCAAATCGCGGATGCTCAATGGGGTATCAAGCAGCTGCTTGAAGCTTGTGACATTCTACCTGAAAGCTTCGACGCATATGTCACTCAAGGTGATGTCGATGGACAGGAGCCGGAGCCCTCAGCTCGCAGACCACAGAGTAAATCAGAAGCGGAAGTCAGTGATTCCATCGAGCTGCAGGAGCGAGATCGGCTACTCAGTGACTCGACTTCGCCTGAGGATGCTACCTCCAGAGCTGCAAAGACGATGCGAGATGGTCGTCCCGATTTTCGTACCATAGTCGATGAAGTTTTCTCGTTCGGTAGCCGTGAAAGGGTGGCGGTTTTGGTTTGTGGGCCCCGTGGCATGGGTGCGAGTGTTAGAAGGGAAGTCACGAGATGGGTTTGGAAAGGAAGGGATGTTTTCTGGCATGGGGAGGAGTTTGGGTGGTGAGCTGGCATGATTGGTAGTGACAGGGTTCAGTGCAGCTCAACAAAGTGTTACCACAACCCTCAAGGCATGGCTTCCTTCCTATCACTCCGGTTCTTGCCTAAGGAAGGATACATTCTGCTATGATCTATCAGAGAGTAAGAGAGTTCATGGCAAAACCATGAATCATAAAAGTACGAATTCTGAAAAGTAAATTTCCCAGTATCAATCTTACTCACGTCCCTAATGTATGGGATTTGCGCTGCAAGCATTCGAGTGGTGATGCATGCAACGAAGTTTACGCTCGAATGAGTGCTCCGTGGAAGGAACCATTCTACTGGTACCAACCTAGCTGTCTTAGTTTATGACTGGAGAAGATCGGTTCAATGAATCTAAATGCCTCAGGACCAAAACTATGACTTGTAGCAGTGTGAATTTTCGACCTGATGCATCCTCGGGATGAGGATCGTACATGATAATCGCGGCAAGGCGGACCGCGAGAATACTGTCATCTCATGCACTTTCACGGAGACATGGCCTTCTATGCATTTCATCAATTCTGAGATCTGGACTATTGCTTCGATGTGCTTACGCGGAACTATCCTTCCGAGAACCTACAATGTGGTGGCTGCAAGGCGATATCTGTGTCCCAATGATATGCACACCCACCACAACTTCACTGACATTATGGACACCCGAAAGACCTGCACCCACCGGGGACACACCACTTCGACACTATCACCTCCTGCTCGATGTTGGGGAGCCAAGTTCAGGACATCGACCCTGTTGAGCGACTTTATGAGGGCGACTGAGGTACACGAGTGATAGTTCAATCTGGGACATTTTTGGGTCAGACTCTCGAACTCACACATTCAAATGCACCCCCTCAACCTGGGTTACCTATCCGTTAAACGCCGAGAGGCAACAAATTATTTTCTCCGCACCATTATTTCGATTACTACCCCACCACATTTATATGATTTAATAAATGTAGTCTAGATCTATTATATAGAGTCCAATGCATCATCTCTTTCATGAAATCGTCTTACGCAATCCCCTTTGCGATATAAAAAGACCTGACATACTTTATATCCCCCGCGTGTCTTGGGAGCATTATCCCTATTCCCACTAATCTCTCGCCCAAAACCTCGATTTTAAATGTCCTTACGACATATAAGGCACGTCCGAATGGCCTTTAAGTCTTGCCAATTATGGTTACCTCGTAGTGCCTTTGATAGTGCAGAGATAGGGGGGGGGGTTTGGCCTTGCTCGACAGATATCATCAGTCCTCCAGTAGTTATGAATAGTAGAAAAGTGAAAGATTCCCATATAGATTGTAATAGCGACGAAGATTTTAAGCTCTAACACCGTTATAGAGTACCAATAAGGATCGCGAGAACTTTGGGCAGAGGCATACAAATTGATATTATCTCGAAGCATTTCCCAGACAGTAGTAGTTCATATGAGGCCAAACACAGTACGTGGAGTAAGAAATAGGTTACTTGAAAGATGACTGACAGCTGCCCGATGCTCAATTATTATTGGTTGATACTCTGGAAGTGGTGGAATACGCTGGAGAAGATTGTCACGTTTTTCAAGAAATGCCTGTCTCTCACTGGTTTTCGTGGCTTTTTTTTGCTGCTTTAAGGCCTGATCTAATTCGTTCTTATCAGGAGTAGATAGGGTAGTAATTTGAGGCATATTGGACTATTGGTAGTGGAGTTATTTAATGATTAACATAAGGAAGCTATTGAATGTGAGGGAAGAATCTCGGTTAAATTTGTTGCCTCGGCGTCGGCGTTTATCGGATAGTGTCCGCGGTTTTGGCTCAGCAACTTTGACCTACATCGAATGAGTTTATTACGCACCACTTGAACGTTAGAGCCGTTCGATCCATTGCCTGCAGAATTGCCTTGAGGGACAGGAAGAACACCTCACACACCCTTGATCGTTGAAGCAGTCGGACCCGTTTTCTGAGGAACACCCTTGTTAAAAACGAAGAAAATTTTCTCTGTCTCCCTACAGGATTGCCTCAAAGAATGCAGCAAGAAGATCCTTCGCGCATCCTTCACTGTTGAAGCAGTCGGACCGGTTTTCTGGAGAGACGCATTTTCTCCAGGCGACCATGCCTCCATGGGGTAAAGTGCCTCTCGCCGCCCTAAAAATCACCCTCTAAAGGTAAATCGGGGGTGATGCAGGTGAGTCTTGTCAGCGTGTCTAGTTCCTTCATGTTCTATGCATGCGTCCCTTCTACATCCTTCCATGCATATTCCATCATTGTTCCTTTCATGTAGCTAGCCATAGATAGCAGTGCTTTGTTCTCCATCAGCTACATAATGGCTGATGGCCCCACCACTGAATCTACACGCTTTCTATCATCACCACTGCTGTGCTACGCTGAGAAGTCTGAGGGGTGAGCAACGTGAGCCGAAGGTCTAGGGGTGAAGGCAAGAGGGCTAATTACCGAATCATACCCCAAAACTATGAATCCTCATACCCCTACACCAAAATTTGGGGTATGATTCGGTAATTTACCAATCTTGCTATAGTGGCCTACTTGAATGGCCTACTCGTAGATGCAGCTAGGTGCCTGTGCCTATGCTGCCCACTAAGAGTGTAATATATCTTAGGTGTCTATGCCTGTGTACGCTATTTGGCTTGGAGTTCGAAGTGCGTATGAGAGCTATAGGCTGGGTGTAGACAGGCTGAGAGGCTAAATTTGGCCTACTCGGCTTTCGTCTGATGTCGTCTGATGTATATAAGCTGCTAGATCACCCATAAAAAATACGGTCAGAGAATTCCCCTTATGTCTATGGTCGGATGGCGGATCCTCTCTTTTGCGATTTTCCTTATGAATGGCAAATTACCGAACCATACCCCAAGTAATGGCAAATTATTGAATCATACCCCTAGGGGTATGATTCGGTAGGGATTCATAGTTTTGGGGCATGAATTAGTAATTAGTCCGAAGGCAAGGATTGTAGATTATCGAGTGTTTATTCTAAAGATAGTTTGCATGCACTGAAACTTGCTTTGCACAAGCTGAAACGTATATTCAATCAAATATATTGTATAAATTTGTTAATTTATCCGTAGCGCAAAGTCTGCTTTATATCCTCGATATAAAAACGATATTCTAGATATAAAAACGAAAGAATGTACCGTTTGAGTACTTGAAGCCAATATCATTGAATAATCTATTCCCATCCCCCCTTCAAAAGAGTATGTGAGTCGAGACAATAACACTCCATAACAAGTCTTCGTTTCTGTCAAAAGAGTGCGCTTGTCTTCATGCAGACGTAAAATTAGTCATCACATACTTCGTACTCGGCGAAAGGACTACATGAGTTAGACGCCAAGAAGATCATCTTCTAAACTCTACTCTTTCACCTCACCTCTCACCAGACCGCACAGCCCGTCGAATACGACTTTCTCGATCATCTTGACGGATGAAATCTTTAGATAACCTTGTTCGCCGAAGATCAGGCATTGCTGCTCGAGGGATTCAAGTTATTGTCGACTTAACTGCTCAGCTGATCAAATACAGTAGGTAGGGTACAGGTGGCGCGAAACGGTTGGCACCTGAAGTGTCTTCAGCGTAGGAAACACTTTGGGACTGCTCGACATCGTCCGCGGATGTGCCTTGATAGAAAATGCCGGTGTGGACATTGGTGACGAATGGGATGGCCGCCGCTGTTCGCAGGCACAACAGGACAGGCAAAGTGTTGAGGGTCCAGTCGGGTTTATTGCGGATTGCAGCGGAAGTATGGCATCTCTGATCTTAGAGTCTTCTCTTCGGTCCTTCATCTGCTGCCAGTCAAATCGCACCTGTGCGTCACCCGACTGATTTGGTGGCATGTTATTGGGGTGGATGGCCAATGCCCTGTAGCACACAACTTGGTTCTCGTAGAGGATTTTATATCCTTGAGTCAGCTGTCCGTGGATGAAAATGGTCAGAGATGAGCTACTTAGGCTTACGTGATGATGTTTCGTCAGGCAGGGGGTAAATCTTGTGAAGACTGTGGCCTCCTGCATTAGATCTCTCGTGACATCGGCCGCGAAACTTAGATCCCAAACGATTTCAGCATCTTTGGCACTGTCTTGGAATTCTTGATAGTATTTCTTAGGGGAATCAACTGTAACCTCAACCTTGCAAACTATCTTGAGGTCATCCGTGGCAGCGATCGGGCCATTTTCCTCCATTCTTTCCTTGTTTACGGCATAAACGACCTCTGTGTAAACGTTGGCAGCCAGCTCGGCTTTGAATCTGATGTAGAAGGCGGTCGCTTTGTGTTCTGCATCGGCCTGTTTTGGTTGACTCATGGCGTTGGTTTCTAGAATGCGGTGCTTTGAGCAGAGTGTCTTTTGGGGGGAGGAAAGAGAGTATTGTTATAGTTTCCGTGTATGGTGTGCTTGATATCATCATATTTGTATCTTAGAAATAAATCACGCGAAAGTATATTTTTTTGTGTTCTATAAGTACAGGAATACGAGACTTAGAGAATTGATGAAAAACAAAATGAAGAGCAGGGAGGCTTTGCATGCATCTATGCCTGCTGCATGATTCTCTCCTGTTTTAAAAGCATGCTGTAAAACATTGACACAAATACGAATGGGCGACAGTGGTTGCAGAAAACTCAAGTACCAGATTTAGCATTAAATTTGGTTTGGTACTTGTAGCAGCCCCTCTTTGTGGAGGCTCCGGAATCTTGCATTGCAATCAAGCCGACGGAGTTTCAGTGCAGCGGGCTAGGGCTGGTGTGTGTGGGCAGTAAGATAGGGAATCGTCGCCTGAATATTCCTCGGAAAGACGTGAACATCTCTATTGGCCCGAATTTCCTTGGAACCTAGGCAACCCTCAGCACTGAAACTTGCCAACATCGAAATCTACACCCTTACACACTCCGAATCATTCCTACTGGACGGTCGGAAAATCTCATGGGGCTGTGGTTTCGGAGAGCTGCAAGGAATGAGACGCTGCAACGTGTCGAAGGGTGATGCCGTTGCTGATGGCCATGAGTTGGCGTTTCCCGAACTGCAGCCACCCGGCATTAACTTTCTCATGTTTGGGCAGGCGCCTAGCGCAGTCGGTAAGTCATTGCCACACGGAGAAGTACCCCGGGGTACCCCAAGGAAGTGGGTTCCACTAGAGGAGTCGCCCAGAGGTCAGCTCTGGTTGCTGGCGCATCAAGCTTTTCACCTACGATTCTGAGTGCTTGGGGAGAGCGTGGGACAGCGGCAGAAATCTCTAGTGCATGCTGCTATTATCAGTGTTTGAGCGGATTGATTGTTCAATGCTACTGATATCCTGCCTGTAAAAGAGTGTGATATGGTACTAGAGAAGCGCAAAGCGTACAACAATGAAAGGGGTGTGTTAGTTGAGTACTTAGAGCCAGTACCATTGCATAACATGACTTCTACGCCTGCGAAAAGAGTGTGTTTGCCCGCAATGCAGACGCAAATTCATCCCTGTGCATGCCTTGATCTCAGTGAAAGGAGTGTCCTTCAACGCCAGCTTAAAGAATGTGTATGTCCACAATGTAGACGGAAACCCGCCCAATGCATGCCTTGATCGCAGTGAAAGATGTGTCGGGTCAGACCAGCAGAACCGGAACCCGGCCCCCCAAATCACACAATACTTATTTTCCTGGCCCTTTGCTTGTTGCGATTGCTAAGCTTGCTTGGCCCACTAGGTATGCTTGGTCTGCTAGACTATCATACGTTGCTTGACTTGGCGGGGCTTGCATGGCTTGTCCGGCCTGCCGGATTCGTTCTTCTACCTCCACTCGTTCTTTGAAGTAGGCACGGTTTTCCAGCAATCTTTCCGCCGCACCTCGATAGGCATTGCTGTCCTTCGTTCGCGCGCGATGATTGGGAGGAAAATGCTATCTTAACGGTAAATACAGGCTAAACTTGCGCAGGGAAGATTGAAACCCACCTTTTCACCATTTTTGATTCCTTTGATTTCTTCCTCCGTAAGCCCGACAACCAGTTCAAGATCTTTGGGTTGCGTCAGCCCCGAGGCGAGGAATTTGCCAATGTTGTAGCCATTCCAGTCCCATGGGTGATCCTTGTTCTCCGAAATATTCTTTGCTGTCTTCTTTATTTTGTGCTGCTCAAAGAGGCCGCAGCTTGCAACGGCACCACCGGTTTTTAGGGAAATTAGCTGTTGCACTTGAGCCCTACCCGTACCAAGCACGCCGTGGTAGAGGACAATTCGGTAGTACAACGGAAGGGCTGCGTCATCTAATTCGGGTTCCCCTGGGCGAGCTGAAGGGCGGTAGTCAATTATTGAGTGTTCCTCCTGGGGGCCTGGTGGCTGACTCATGTCTTGGGAGGGAAGGTGAGGTGAATATTTCAGAGTAGAGTCAGATGGAATGAGACTGAGGTTGCTGTTGTCCGTAGTATGTGTAGATGAAAGGATGAGATCTTATGAGGAACAAATTTGAGAGCAGGAAGACGAGCCCTTATAGGCGTCTATGTCTGCTGCCTGTTTATCTGTTGTTTCATCGAATACCACATGCATATCTGCGACACACGTGAAGAGCGGGGTCCGTTTCAAGGGACTGAGGACCGACTGTTGAAAGGATAAGTTTCTGTTTCTCCTTACCACCAAGCGACGGCTCTCACACAACGGAAGAATGACAAACTAAGGGCCGAGCCATAGACTGTACGTATTACCAGAAAATCATCGGCTCTTGTCCCTCCTCATGCCAGCTGGTCATGATTTGATTCCCGTGAATGGCCCATAAATGCTCTGTTTTGACTATGTTTCTGTTTATCAATGACCAGATTTGCTGAGCCTGAAACCCATGACGGCATACAATTTAGAAGAGGCCGAGTTAGTAATTTGGTCTTTGGCTCGCGCCGAGGGCGCCAGCTACGTTGTGCCGTCGTGTGCGCCTTTTGTTTTCAAGTTGTGGAATTTTTGAGCTATTCACTTGCTCAGCCTACCTCCATAGCCTTAAATTGCGGAATCCTCACTTTCCGTCACTGAATATCGAGTTTGCTTGTGCTCTTGTAAGCGCGGAGCGCATTGGTTTAGTCATTATTGGGCATCAAGAACAAGGGCGACTCGAATTTTTGAATGTTTCACGGCAGTCTGCAGGCGTCGAGCCAAGAGGGCTTGGTGGGGCGGCGAGAGCTTGTTTCAAGCTTGAACTTTCGCCCGTATTCAATTCACAGACACCTTGATGTTATAGGAATAGAATCAGCTCGGGTTTTAACTCGGGAGTATACGTCCGGAGCAAGTCATGGCGGCTTGTGGTAAGAAGATGAAGGGGTTCACGCACGCACGTCGAGCTCAAAATCTGTATTCAACGAGTGCGAAGAGCGACGTAATAGTAATACCCGCCCGTTCATCTCAGATTATAACAGTACATAGATTCTAACATATCTTGGCAAGAGTTGCGAACGTTTCTGAACTACGCTAAGGGGCTTTCCTGCGGTGCCTTGGCAACAGGGGTAAGCGCTCAATTACTAGCGCACCCTCAGCCAGCATCAAACCTCCTTCCCTTCCCCCAAGCTTGCCCTCGAATCCCTCAACTCAACTCAACCTTAAGAGGTGAAGCAGCATGTATGTCGTATGAAGCTAAGCGTCTTGAGTAAACCACGGCAAATTGTGAGTGCCACTGTTTGCAAAATTGCCTTGGGGAAAAAGAAAAAAAAAATTCTCCTGCAGGATTGCCTCAATAAACGCAGCCAGAAGAACCTTCGCGCATCCTTAACTGTTGAAGCAGTCGGACCCGTATCTGCAGAATTGCTTTGAGAAAACCACAGGAAAACCCTTTTTTTTCCTGCAAGATTGCCTTAAAGAATCTGAGCAAGAAGATCCCTCGCACACCCTTGACCATTGAAGTAGTCCGATCCGTTTTTTGCAGAGTTACTTCAAGACACAGCAGGTTTGACATGCATGTAAAAATTGCCTCATATCTTTGCACGTTTCCGGGGTCTAATGTCTTTGAAGAGTTCCTCGCCAAGCAGAAAAAAAGCAAGTGCGTTGGGGATAATACTACTCTAGAGGGGATGGAGGGATCTCACTTATCTCAGTGCATGTTTGATATGGATCCCCTACCTCTTTCTCGGCGCGCATATGTTAGGTCCTCTTTTAGGAGCCCGAAAGCGCGCGTGACACCCGCGGACCTTGGCAAATTGGTCGATAGGCTAGTCTTTCGGGGTTCTAACAATAGCGCAGCAGATGTTCACCCCGCCTACCGTCACAGGCATACCAGCCCTCCTTCTCTCACCCGCTACTCTTGCCTTGATGACGGAGTAGGGCACGAGTATTCTTTCGCCATTGAGATCATTCTACTTACATTGAACAAAAACTACATGGCCCATGGGTGCCACCTATGCAATGCAACCGCAAGCTGTGGCCTGTACAGCAATTGCAATGTAACGGCTCGAGGAGGTGCTCAGCTAAACTTTTAATCAGGCATCTCGACTCCATCTTATACCGTCAGAGGGTTTCTCCTTCCGAGATGATCGATCAGTCTCAGCTTGACTACTCAAAAGATGGCCCCGGCTTGAAACACCGCGTGAGATATTCAATACACCATCATACTTCTTGCTCAGCAATTTGATCCCTGCAATGTCAAATGGGCGAAGCGTGTTCGATTAAGCAAGTTTAATAACGATGTATTCGTCGTTATCAACCTCCTTGGTCGCAGTGCGTGTAGTGCTATCAATATTGTCAACTCTTTTTGTGGCAATTCGCTTCAAAGTACGACGCAGCACAAAGGCTGGGCTTGGGGCAGACGATTATACTATTTTGATAGCATTGGTAACTCAACGAAATAGATTCTGCTTGACTATTCGCTTACAGCCACAGCTTACGCTATATCATGCTGCCCCAGTGCTGATTTACGCTGCTACTGCGGGCGGGGTGGGTAATACAGAGGAGCATATTGCCAACAATCCATCTGAAAGCGCGATATATACGAAGATCATCAGATGGAAGGAGGCCGGTCCTCTTGGGTTGTTGCTAACATGTTATGCAGGTCATCTTTGCTGGACCGATCTTGTTCGCGTTGGCGATCTCGCTCATCAAAGCATCGACGTTGATTCTGTACAAGCGCATACTCGTGATTAAAAGCTTCTACTCGGCCTGTCATGTGATGATGGGACTCACTCTTGCCTGGGCTTTGGCGTCGATATTTGTATGTACGCTGACTCACTTCATGAGGGGTCTCGCTGAAACAGCATCGATATCCTAGGGCCAGATGTTTCGATCTTATAATGTCTCGAAAGGCTGGACTGAGCCTGGTTGATATGGTAGGTTGATTTATACTGCTTTTCTCTGTTCGCCGGCTGCAATCAATATATTACTGGACGCCGCCCTCGTCTGCCTACCTCTTCCTGTTATCCGAACTTTATCTATGTCTTCGGAACGAAAATTATCATTCATCGGGATATTCCTCCTCGGTCTTCTGTAAGATCTGTGCAATAATACACTTTTATCACTGACACCCAGAAAAGATGCATTATTGCCTCCGAGGTCCGCCTTTACTATTTTATAATATTAAATAACAGAAAAGATACGCCCGATACAGCTTATATAGGTGAGCACAAAGACTGCTGTCAAAAAGCGTAACCTGACTTTGTTTTCAGATGTGGCGACCAAGAACACTATCTGGTCGGTCATCGAACCTCATATGTCGGTCGTGGCCGCATGCGTTCCTGTTCTAGGACCCCTCTACGAAAGCGCAAAAAGCCCGGCTTTCATGATGAGGAATCTGTGTTCTTCACTATCCCTACAAAGCTTTTCTCTGAGGAAGACAGCAAGAGCGGATACAACCACCAATGAAAGTATAGAGCTGGACAATAAGGACTCGCGGAGTGCGTGGCTGCGCTTGACCTCCAATGACGGTCCCAAAAGTGACATTAGCTAAGCCCTGTGATGTACCAGGGCGATATAAGGGTTGGTCAGCCTACAGCTCATGGTATCTTGGTGCATGAGAGCTTGGAATCCAAAGTTAGTAGAGCTGAATCAGAAAGCTGGAAAGGCTGATGGGCATGTGGAAGAACTGATGGGTTTACTGAGGGAACTGGTACTCCGTTAACTCTAGCAAGGGAGTTGCACGCAGCTGGCTCGGCTACTCATGCAATTCCTGCAAAATTTTTGAAGCATTTCAATGACACAAAACATGTTAAAGCTTCATCTAGGAGCCAGTGTAGATTGCCTACTTCCAGGGGTTTTGTGATGCCAGATCTTGCCAGAGTTTGAAGGCTATTGATGAAAGGCTGAAAACGTAGCCGGGGGAAAGCATGATACGCGGATAAGTATTACTGCCTTTAGCAAAAATAGAGTACCCGCTGTATCTTTAACAAAGACCCACGAACACCATCTCCTCCGTAACCTTCTCTCGCCCCATTGACTGCAAGAATGGAGGACGGTCGCGCGAAACAGATACCCCTATGGCTAGACTGCGACACAGGTACAGCACGGTAAAGCCCGATGAAGCTTCGTTCACATCCCTCCAGTCCTCTTTCTAACAGAGCCAGGGCACGACGTACGGACAACCCCAACCCCAACCATCTCCCTCAAACGCTAAGCCATCCCCTCAGGACGCCTTCGCCATCCTCCTCGCCGCCTACGATCCCTGCCTCCACCTCCTCGGCATCAGCACCGTCCACGGCAACGCCTCCCTCGCGCAGACGACCAATAACACGCTGAGCGTCCTCGCGGCGATCGGGAGGCCCGACGTGCCCGTCCATCCTGGGGCCGCGAAGCCGTTCTGCAGGAACGCGGTCCACGCTGCTGATATACATGGTACCTGCCTTGTCGCATAATATGGGGTGGGGGAGGCGTGCTGAGTTGCACACACAGGCGCATCCGGTCTCGATGGCACGACCCTGTTACCGAAGCCTGCGGCAGAGCCTGTTACGAAGCCGAATGCTGTCTTGGCTATGCGGCATGCGTTGATGGAACAGCCTGAAGGGACTGCGTGGCTGGTGGCTACAGGGACGTTGACGAATGTGGCATTATTGTTTGCTACGTTTCCGGAGCTCGTGGAGCATCTTAAGGGTTTGAGTGTTATGGGTGGTGCTATTGGTGGTGGTTTTACGGATGCGCCTATGGGACATGTGAAGGGCGAAGGGGAGAGGTTTGGGAATTGGACGAGGTGGGCGGAGTTTAACATCTATGTGAGCGCTATCTGCAGTACTTGGAGTTGAACCGGGCAGATCGGGTCTGATGTTCAAGCAGTGCGATCCGGAAGCCGCTGAATCGATCTTCTCGAACCGTAAACTTGCCGCGAAGACGACGTTGATACCGCTGGATCTCACCCATCAGGTCTTAGCGACAAGGGAAGTCCAGCAGACGTTGCTGACGGGAAGGCCCTTGACGACTCCATCGGCATCTGCCATGAACCTCCGACAAATGTTCCATGACCTCCTCTTGTTTTTCGCCCATACCTACAGCGAGGTCTATGGCATCACAGAAGGACCACCGCTGCATGATCCAATCGCTGTAGCTGTACTTCTGGAACCTTTAATGGGCCCGATTATGAGATTCGCCGACAACGGAGGCGAGAGGTGGCACGTCAGAATCGTAACTGATGGATTGCATAGCCGGCACGACGAGGAGCGAGGGCAGGTGGGCAGAACGGTGGTCACTAAATCTGACCATGGTGGTGTGCGCATACCCCGGAGTATGCAAGTTGAAAGCTTCTGGAGGCAGATAGGCCGCTGCCTCGAAGAAGCAGAGAGAGCAATCTTGGATTCGTAGCTTCTCTCGGTCATCCATAGCCATATGCGTCGTCATCGTCGTCCCTCCACCATAATGATGTGATATCCATGCCCAGTCTTCACCTCCACATACTTTGGATTGCCCGTCGTGCTCGGCTCCAGGTCATACGCCGCTTTCTCAAACGCGGCATCAAGCGATCCGCGTACTTTCCAGCCCAAGCTGCCGCCTTGACGGGCTTTGTCCTCGGAAAACTCGCGGGCTACTTCGTCGAATTTGGCGCCGTCGCGGAGTTTGGTCAGGGCTTCTTCTTTCCTTGAGTGTTTTTCGCACTGGACGGCCATTCAGCGTTTCTTGCCAGGGAGATGGGGAGAGGAGAGGAGAGGAGAGGATGATGTACCAGGATGTGACGAGTATTGATAGCTGTTGCGGCCTTCAGCTTCGAGGCTCCCGCATTGTCGTCTTTGCTGGTGGAGCCTTTGCCTTTGTCTTTGGGCTTGTCGCCACCTTTAGCTGCGGGTTTCTTGCTAGGTGCCATGGCAAATATATCTGCTGGCCGTTGGAGCGAACTGGGTTCTTTCATTGAAGGTTGTACGAAGATGTGGGGTAGCATTAGTCCCAAAAAGGAGGACTAAGCGCTGGCGCGATACTTGGTAGCTTTGCGTTAAGATTTCATAGTTGCTTGCTACAAAGATGTGCGCTGAATACCCTGAAGATTTCCCAGCGTCGGGTGCTTGAAACCTGCTGATAGTTACAATACTCCATTGAGCATGGTCACTAGCATATACGAAAGCTACGGTGAAAGTCGAAGCATGTCTCGACAATTCGCATAGGCCTCTTAGATTCGATTGCGCATGACAGCCACGAAACCAATCAGCTCGAAATCGCTCGGTTGACATGCAACTTCCACTACCATCGAATAATGAAGGCTCGCACTAGCGCATTCAGCCAATGACAGAAGACCAGTCCTCCTTCTTGATGTAGTCTTCAATGCTAGTCGTCGGAATATCAACAGTCAGCTAGAAAGCATTGTCAGCTCCCAGAACTGAAACACTCGTACTCACATCCTTCCCATGCACGATACTCGGATCACCTCCGTCATATCCAAATTCTCCCTGAAACGCCCAGCCCTCTGCAACCTCGCGACCAAGACCACCAGGGGCAATCCAGTCAATTGTATCGATGGTGACCTGCTTGTAGCATCCGCCAGGGAGCCTTAAAATCTTGGCCCAAAGGGTCATGATATCCTTCCAGCTGATCATGCTGCCGTACGCCAGGACGTTCTTTCCAGGGGGAGTTTGGTCCAAAGCTCGGACGAAATGACCCGTATCCCTGCGTGTGTCGATCATTGGCATGGGCTTGTCTGGATCTGCCGTCAGAGACAGGACATAGGTCCCGTCCAGTTGCTACGTAGCTGTTCAGCCATTTTGCTCCCAAGAAGAGATTGTTGGGTGAGGTTTTTCAACCTTTGGTGGCGCAAGAAGAGGGGCAGCCTGCCAATGCGTGGCATACAACCCAATCTGCAGCACGGACATTCTCTTCGCCAAATCCGGCAGTTCGTCCCTGATATACTTGACCACTTTCGCTTTTCCATCAAAATGATAGACCCAGGTATACTTTCCCCTACCCCACTTCTTGACATCCGACAGCGACGAGCATACATACCTTTCTGGCGTCCTTCCATTCGCGGCTGCATTGGAAATGTTCTTTCCCTGCTGCACCTCCTGGTCGAAGCAGAGTTCATTCGTGGTTTGGCCTTCCCTAAGCTTTTCTTTGTTGCTTGGATTATAGGACGGCTGCCAAAAGTCCGTGATGGCGTAGATGGCGTGAGCGCCGAAGAAGGCTGCGGTCAGGGAGTCCGGATGGTCAAGATCACCGCAAACCATTTCGATGCCCCGCGCTGTGAGCGCTTAAGAAGTGGGTTGAGAAGGATCGCGGGTGAGGCCGCGGATGCGCCAATTGGGCTCGTTGACGAAGACATCGGCTACAGAGGCGCCCTGACGGAATTGATGAGCCGATGGACGTTGGATCTATCACATATAAACGTCTACAAGATCTTGGGGAAGTGGAGGTATACCTGAGTACCGGTAATACCTACAATCGTAGCGGCACGCAACTCAGGTAGTCGCTACGTGGGCGCTCGAAGTCCGCGAACATGCAACTTCCAGAATCAGCAATGCGAACGGCGGCCCGGCAGTCAAGAAGACAGCCTTGGAACTGTAGCAATGAGACATAGCAGCCTGCATGAACCTGAGTATCAATAAACCAGTTAGTAGTGCCTCTGGCTAACCTTCCCATTCTCAAGGCTTCTCTAAGGTGTCTATGTCAAAGTATGCTCATTGCGTTGTATGGTGACTTGTGTGTCCTAGCTACATTCTGCTTGACCATGTCGAAGACCTGCCGATGATAGTAACGTGCTCTTGCCATGTTGCAACTTTGAAAGTAGAGCTGAGTTACATGAAAGTACAAGAGAGAGGCTCATATAATAGCGTCGTTAGATAGATACAGGACGCGACTTCCATTGCGCAAAACATAAATCATTCGGAATTTCCAAGCACGAGGTCGTTGCTTCACTTTCTACAACTGTAAGATTCAAGTCTTATCACTGCCCTCACACCATCAGATCTCGGTTGAGAGTCTCATTTAGAGCCGGTATTACTACATGAGTATGGACCGAAAATCCTGGTATAGAGATATGTGGAAACTCTTAGAGATCATCAACACAGAGTCAAAGTCCACAGAGCATATCCAGATTGAGGAGTGCAATCCAAGAACAACGACAATGTAAGCTCATTGCAGCTCTAATTCTATGATTATATAGCGTCTGACCATACCAGAACGCAGCAGAACTCCTTGCAATCCACTTTGCTGTGCCTGCCACTCGAAATTCTTGAAATCATAGCTTCCTACGCCATAGGTGCCAACGGCAACCTCATCCACATAAAGCAGACCCGAACAGACTGCGTGACTCTACACGCCTTAGGCAAAGTCCACAGCCGCCAGAGGATTCCCGGCTTCGGCAAGAACAATCTAGGTCCAGTGCCTCTGCCAGGCCTTCGCCACGCCATCTGTAATGCACGTAAGACCGAGGATGCCGCTTACGCCGAAGCAATCAGCAACGCCGGATGGGTGCACACACCGCAATATGAAATCGAGAGGAACGCTACACGTCACTTGTACTGCGGCTGCTGCGGTGCATACGACCCCACTGATGTCACAGAATTGGAAAAGCTCCACCTTGCGCTCTTTGCGAGCTGCCGGCAGTTGTATCACCTAGGCAACACCACTCTGTATGCCAAGAATACTTTCTCTTTCGACGATGCACTCTCCTTTGGTCAGTTCTTGGCCGGCCTGGACCCAAAACAACAGAAGATGATCAGAAGCTTGCATTTGAGCAGACCGTCAGTCGACACTCCCAACCGCGCCAGCGACAGGTCTGCTTGGATGAGCGCCCTGGAGCCGTCTTCCATCCGTGCACTCGAAGGCCTCCGCACCGTTCACCTGTGTCTGGAAATGAACATCCACACCCACAATTCGTGGTACGCACAAACGTCCTATAAAGTCATGGTCCTGGAGTCCATTCTGGCATCCTTTTTGCAGCTTCGCGTTTTACCGTTGACCAAAGCGACCGTGATCATCAGCGACGACGTCACCGCCTTCAACTCAACGACAGGGGGGAGCAGCCTTCATGGGCGATGGACGGTGGCCGAGAAGAACGAGTGGGCCGAGAAGACGCGCCTGAAGCTGCTGGAACCCTATGTCGAGGGCACAGAGGTTTCTCTCGATTCGAGGGAGGAGGCTAAGAAAGGCATGACGATGACGAAACGATTCAAGAAAGTGTTTCAACGAGCGGGTGGAAGCAAGCTGGAGGACTAAGAATGGAGGCTTCGGACAGGATGTTTCTGGACCGTTACGATGAACAAGGACGCCTTTCTACTTAGTATGAAGGCATGCATAGTACGAAGGGGCTAATGGTTACTCGGAGTATGGAAATTTACAAGCATGGCTGACCTTTGGTCTACTATGAGTATTTTTACCGTGCGATAGCTCTACTTTACCCTTTCCTGACCGCAAGTGTCGGTGTTTGACAGAAGATCATTGATAAGCACAACGTTTATTTTAGATGAACCTCTATGATACAATTCTTCATTCCGGAAGATGTCGAAAGAAGAATTGCGTTAACACCAGCTCCTTCCCTCCAACATCCTGTGCTGCACATCTATGTTCTCGCTTCACAATCTCATTCATTCAATCCGCTCCAAATCCATCCCAAACCCCTGCCTGACGGTTCCAAACCTCGCTATCCCTATCACGATGCAACCGCCATCTTTCGCGATTAGTCAGACCGGCGCAGGCAGGACGATCACAATGCCTCGCGAAAGCTCCCTGTCTCCCAAGCTCGAGGGAAAGCGCCTCTTCTTGTTCCCTGCCCAACTCCGTGATCGGATCCGTCAGCGTTGGAAACCGACCGCGAGGACCCTCGCTTATTCGTCCGATGTGAAAGACCATCTCCAGAGACTGTAGCGCTTGGAACGAATGCGCGAGGTCCGCAATCTCCACCTCTGTCGCCTCGGTGCGGTTTTGGTCGTTGGTCTCGGCAGCAGACTGTGGCTGCGATTGCCAAACTTTTGCTACGATGGCGCGTGCGCGTTGAAGGCTTTCTTCGTACTATTTTGCGGTTGTCTGGAAGAAGTGCGCATACATGTTTTGCGAGTCTCTTTCGAAAAATCTCTTTCGATGTATCATCCATCGTCACTATCCTCCCATGCTTCGCCCTCCTCCGGCGCCTGTACCGGCCGCCCGATCCGTCCTATTCTTCTTGTCATCGAGCACGGTGTCTTCCTGGCGTGGGGCTGTCAGGCTCCTCGTCGTCCGTGGGCTCGTGCTCCATGGGTGGGCGAGGTTGCGTAGGGAAGGATTGCGCCCGGCAGTACGGACGTGAGTTTTGGGCTGTCTTGCTGGGGGATGGTTAAATCGATATTCACTCTGAGCCAAGGTGGGGTTCGCATGGTAGGCGGATTGGGCCTTCGGCGATACCACCGTTGTCGAGCGATCCGTTGCCATAAGCATTGAGGCAGATCATACATGTGCTGTCTCTGGGTAACTCACCTAGGGGGACTTTGGGAAGCCCCGTGAGGAATTGTTGCGTCATGGTGGAGGAAGCGAGCTTTGCGTCCGGATTTCTGGGTGAGGTATGTATAGAGTCAAAGAATTGGACTGATTGGTTAGTCGCACTGAGAGTCTGTTAATAGTCGTCGACTCGGTTATTGATAACGGTGGTGTGGTAGGGTCTGGTGGTTACGTTTGGTCCTCGAGGAGTCCAAATCTCGTCCACTCGGGTTTCGTCCAATAATCTTGGCTGATAGGATTCTTATTAAATGCGGTCGGAGAAATTCCATCATTGCATGATCGGATGAGCCAGGGCGCGGATCCTCTCCTTTACGGTTTTCACCATGAATAGGAAATTACCTCCTTTTTCGACCGAGCTCCCATGGACTCGTGGGTCCCCATCTGCGGTACTGCTATATCCTCTTCTGCCTGCTATCTCTGTCCAAGGCTGCGACTCTCCTACCTCTTATCTCAACGAATGCGAACCTCAACCCTATCACACCGACGGCCACAAATCAATCGGACATCTGGCCAGACCTCCCAAACGAAGATTTCCACTACTTTATCCGAAATCGCGGCGCCGTCCTCCCAGATATAGCATGCATGATGGTATTTGTCTTCGCTCTGCGCGAGCTAGCGCTGCTTTCGGACTTTAACGGAGTGTTCCCTGGGAAGACATGGATCATGGACGGCTATCCCCAGGTTGCTCTCTCCGTGGGAGGAAGGACATGTTCTTGGCGATCATCTGGGCGCTGTTGAACTTGGCTCCGCGCAAAGACGACGAGCGCGTTCGCATACTAACTTTCACCAATGTTGGCATCACCGCGACCGTAAAAACCTCCTTCATCAGGGTCGCGGGCGTCCCGTCCCGGATCCTACCATTGCAGTATGGTAACGTTGTAACGTTGATGGCAAAACTGCCTGAAATGGACATTGTGGTGAAAGATAATGACGTGGTAGTTGGTAAAGGGACGATGCGATCAACGGCGTTGAGTGGATCCGTGCGAGTTCCTTTGACGGCGGACGTATCAGTCTCTTAAAGGATGCAGTCTTAAGACGAAAACTCTCCATTCTTCCCAAAGTAGCCAGCCCATCTCTTGAAGACATTCAATCGCACCTCCTATTAAACAATGGTCTAGTCGCGCCTATGAGAGAAACAACACTTCCGGTTGAAGCATTCATGAAGTTCAACAATCTGTAGCTGGTCTTTTTCCGCCCTGGCCGATTTCCCCTCCGTCCTTGCTCTTCTTCAAGTTGCTTCTCCCTACCAAGTACCATGTATCGAACATTCAGAACGGCTTGGGCGGACAAACTTTGCTTCCATAATTCGCATAGATATACGCAGTACCTCATAGTCAAAACATCTCCTTTCTTTCTTGAGTGTAAGATGCAGCGGACCGCGCCCCAAGCCATCTTGCGCTTTGTAATCAGCGCCGTTTCCCAGAGTACCTGAGCCCAGAGCAAACTACTCGCATTTCCCGACTGTGCTGCACGGAGTATTGCTCTCTCTCTATGGATCCCAGCTGGACCTTCTATGTCTGCTCCGTGACTGATCAAAAAAGGAACGAGCGTACGCGGAGCCTCGGATTCCATGTTGTCCGTTTCTGCGATATAATCCATAACTTCAGAGCTAAAACCTCTGAGGCCTGGGTCAGATCCGTGACCGAGGTCGCACGCTCGCCGAAAAACCTGGAGCCACGGCTCGAGATTTCGAATGGAATGCACGAAACTGATCGGCTCTGAGATGTCTTCTTGTTGGTGCGTGAAATTATCCCAGATAATGTGCGCCATCCATACCTTTGCATGAATCCTGACTTTGGCAAGCTATCAATACTTGCAGAATAAATTTGGGACACCGACCTGTGGCTCGGAAGCGTTTTCGGTTCCTTGTTCTTGGCTCCGGATCCTTTAGAGCTTTGATGATTTCGTATCGCTGCGGCTTGTTAGCAAAAAGCAACCAGGTTCTGATACTTTGGTGAGTAAAAGGTTGACCCCATCTTCGAAGATCTCTATCTGCGACCGCGACCGCAAGTTGGAGACTGCCTCGTACAGGCTCAATTTTATCAGCATCAGCGATAGCATCATTGCTTCAAGCCCGAATGCTGATTCGCGGAGTTAAAAATTGTTCCCTCCGATACAACGTGCAGCGAGGACAAGCTTGAAAGCAATGGGTCCAATCAATGTATGCCATGGTCCATTCTGGCCAGCTTTCGACTATCATTCAGATGAGTTCTACGCGTTGAGGACCGCATGTCACGCTGTCCGGTCAGTAGAACCTGGTGACAAATGCTGTCGTGACCACGACGGGTCTCTGTTTTCAACTCACCATGTTTTAGAGCGGCTTGAGACGCGACCTGCTCGATGCTATCCCCAATAGTACTGAACTAGGTGGTGACTAAGCTCTTGGTCTTGGTGACCGAAGTTTTCAAATGATCACGAACCACAATGACCTGGGTATGTAGTGCTTCGTCCTTTTCTCTTGTGGCAAGATCGTGTTTCCTATACAGAGTTAGGCGCTGGCTGCTTTATGATCGTGGGCTTTTGTATCGACCGCTCAGTGAGAGAGCAGCATCGATACGTTGCCCCAGTGTTTCGAAGGACTGGTAATGTCACTCGATCGTCTGCTGATCACGGACCCACTAAGATAAGTCGCAGTGTTGTGGAGATAATTTTCCACTTCTTCTGGGAAGTTGTTTTAATCCTCTGAATCACGGCAAGCTCTGCCTGACATTCTTGAGGTAAGTACTGTAGATTATCGACAGAGATACCATCTTTCGTAATAGAGAAAAGAAACGCTGTAGCTCTCTGTGACTCTATTGACTTCTAGTAGAAGACTATGGAAACGTTCTAGCTCTTCAAAAGGCCTCTGTATGCTCTTGAGCGCGTCTTTTACTGCACGGAAGGATTTGTAGAACGAGGCGGCCAAACGAAAGCTTACGTCTGCGAGACCAGCTACTGATGCAACGCTGGCAATTACAGACATTAGCTATGCCATTTCACGAGCAAAGAGGATTTTAATTGGCGCAATGGAAGGAGCGATGGGTCATGACTTGAATGTCACTAGGTAACATTCGGTACTCTTCAGAGAGGCTGAACCAACCTAGCCGTATCGAGTATGAGCGAACAGGGACACTGGCAATGCACGACTGGCACGTATCTGGCTCCGATTACAGCATCGAATATAGAATGTCAAAGTGAAGGCAGTACCCTAGTAAATTGGACATGGTTGAATCTGAAATCTTTTTCTTAGTACGAATGTTTTACAACTAGAAATGAACAGAAGACTTGTGAGTATCTTACGGTTCACCGGAGATCGTCGATAAATTCAGCCCCATGTCTTTATCCCTCCGGTAACTGATGCACTAGTCCCGCTTCCCCTTCTTCGCCCACCTCTGGGTCCTTTGCCCAACCGTCTACAAGGAGCAGCTCGAAGAGGTCTTTTAATTCGTCTCTGGCCTTCTGTATTTGCATTTTGGCTTCCTTGAACGTGGTAATACGTCCTTCCGAGGTCTCCAACTGCTGCCCATGCATGGTCTCGATTTCGTTACACGTGGATCGTGCCCCATTCTATTGATGACATGGTTAGATCAGGGATGTCGGTCGGGAATCAGGTATGCCTGAAGGCAGAGTATTGACTCACAAAGTCAAGATGGATATTCTTTAGATCTATGGTCAATTGCTTGTCTTTTTCCCATATTCTTCGAAGGGACTGGTCAAACTCCTGGTACAATACCTCAAGAATTTCTTGTGCGCTTGGTTCCATGGTGAAATGAAGCCTGGAAATGCCAGGAGATTCAATTTTCAAAAACTCTGAAGGATCTGTTAAGGTCTGACAAGACTGCAAGAGAGCTTTTGTAGGCGTGGCCACAAGAAGTGACCTGCGGATACGGACACTGACGTGGCAACCAAGGTGACCAAGCCATGGTGACGTGGGTGAGAAGATATCAATGCGCTGTATGATGTGCTGTTCAAGATCCGAACCTATGTAAATTCAAGGTGAGAGATGATATGATCTCTGATAGGGACACGGAGCAATTTTCTCCAACAAACATCCCCTCTTGTCTTCTCATCTTTTCCTTTCTCATCTTTTCTCTCCTCTCCTCTCCCACTCTGCAACACTGCAATCCAGCTCATTCACCCTTTATTTCCAGTACAGTTCATTAGTGCATCTCTCACAAAACCTTCACAGCAAGCCTCATCTCGGAGGGTTGTCCCCAACCAGCTCATGTGCCGGGATGCCGTTATGATCTAATTCACGGATTTCACTTCCGAGTAGCTCATGCTTTGGCGCATCATGCTGAGTCAATTCGTAGTGAGTAAGATCAAGCTCTCCCAAGGCGCCTCCCTCACGCTCGTGCATCTCAGGTCTTGCCTCTCCCCGCCGTAGCGAACCTTCGCTCATCTGGCTCCGCAATTGAAAGAGACGCTGTTTGAATTTTCGATTCTGAAAGATGAAGAACGCAAGGATTGCGAGCAGGACGACGACGGTGGCAATGGGTATACCGACTTCTATGCCCGTTTTCGAAATGTGACTTGGGTCTGTAGGTCGCGGTGAAGGCAAGCTCGTGGATGTTTTGGACGGTGTGGCCGCAGTTTGTGTCGATGTTGCAACGGAGGTCTGGCTTGTTAACTGTACGGAGGTACCGAGGCTTATGGAGGGCGAGGATGTTGATTTGAGTGTTGTGCGCGAGGAAATGGAAGTCATCCCAGCGGTACTAGAAGGTCCCGAGGAGCTAGCCGCCGTTGACTGACCAGATTTGTCGATCGTGGAGAAGGGATACGGCGCGAGTGAGGTAGTGAGATTGGTATCGCAGCAATTGGGACCACCGAGGCCTTGTCCTGCAGCACCCGCACAGCACCAGCTGTTGCCATTGGATTCGCAACGACTCACTTCCCCAAAGCCGTCAAATTGACTTTGGTTGCAGAAGGACAGGCAATTCTCGTAGCTTGGATCCGTGCAAGTACTTTGTGCGTAGCCAGTCGTTCCATGCTGTTGACAAAGCCCATTGGACAAGCAATCCCAACCGTAGCCGCAGCAAGTGGACAGATTGGGGAAACCACAGGCATAATCACCCGTCGCTATAGCCCCGTCCGGATTATAGCAAGTGGTGTTGCTGCTCATTCTTTCGATTGGAAGTCAAACGATTGGCGATGAGCGAAAGCCCGGCGTATATGAAAGAACTTACTCAAACCATCCATAGGCAATTTGGAGTCTAGGAAGAGAGAAATCCAAAGATGAGGAAAGTGCCAACTATTAACCGCGCTCCAGCACCATGTTACATGGCAATACTTTGAGGCTGTGCCTTGGACCGGCCACCTCCTAAGAGCTCGTTGATCATGCATGATGCTGATACTACCTTAGGGTCGAAAAAATTGGCCAGCCTCCCTGCTGGGCCACAATTTACTCCCCAAATTACCAAGTGCTACCCCACTTACCATTGTGTGGGTGTGGTACCATTGTTTCTTAATATTCTCAATATTCTCAAGATATTAAGTACCTCGCTGTCGTCGCCGTTATGAATAGGAACCTGCCCTAGACGCACGATCTCGGGCGAATTACTAATTCATACCCCAAAAGTATGGATCCTTACCGAATCATACCCCTAATTACTGAATCATACCCCCACACCAAATCACACCCAAATATGGGGTATGATTCGGTAATTTGCCATTGCTTGGGGTATGATTTGATGAGGATCTTAAATGATAGCTTTCTGAGATACGGTAAGAGGGTTTGATGAAGTTAATGGTAGCGTTAGGCTTACTGAGCGTCTGGTAGTAGTCGTCGACTTGATTATCGAATTAATTGATATATAAAGCTCTAGCTTTATATGGTGTTGGAGGTTTTTTTCACCAATAGAACCGTATTTTATATGCAAAACAGCCTTATATGCCAGTAGTGCTTTACTGCTGTCGCCGCTAATTAGTAAGCTGAGAATTAGGGGATAGATAGCGTGTTATCTACCAAATTAGTACGCGTAAGGATATATTTCTCTAGCATGTTCTCCACCTATTCATCTGCTACGAGACTATGAAGGACGATCCCGAGTTGGATGCGTGAGGATGACGAAGAATGGTGGATATAATAGTTGGAATAGTATATATAGAATAGGTGTGGAAAGGCTGAAATAGTAAGACTGGGGTAATTGGAGTGGGTACTTGATTGGCTACATAGATGACTAAGTAATCTTTGTACCCTCTCAGAAATACTAGCTTTATATGACTAAACCCCCAGTTGTTTCAAAATGGTCATTTAGAACCATGCTTTATATGCAAAACAGCCTTACAGTCAACTACAGCTTTATATATCAATTAATTCGGTATTGATAACGGTGGTGTTTGCGCTGCGCAACGGGGCGGGGTTCGAAACGGGGTTTGACCCTCGAAGTTTACCCCGCCCCGTTGCGTAGCGTAGTAGAAATTATTCCTTCGGGGGCCCTACGGGGCCTTACGGGGCCTACGGGACCCGAATAGGTGTCTGCAGCGTGAAGTGCGGATACCCTCGGGCTCGAAATTTCGTTCACTCGGCTTTTTCGTCTGATGGTTTAGGCTGATAGAATTCTCATCAAATGCGGTCGGAGAAACTCCCTTATTTCTATGATCGAATAAGTCAAATCGCGGATTATCTCCTTCGTAGTTTGAGGCCACTTCGATAACTTACCAAATCATACCCCAAGCAATAGCAAATTACCGAATCATACCCCATATTTGGGTGTGATTTGGTGTAGGGGTATGATTCGGTAATTAGGGGTATGATTCGGTAAGGATTCGTACTTTCGGGGTATGATTCGGTAATTTGCCCCACGATCTCACAATTATGGATGAGGAGTGATCGAGTTTGAAGACGGTACGATGATGCGGACAACAATCAGTATTCCGATGGAACAGAAGATGAGAAAGAGGAGCAGGAAGACGAGGCTATACAGTTGGCAATTCGAGCTGATACAAGGGATTGTCGCGAAACTGCGCAGCCATGTTGTAATGCAATGCAACCCGGTCAGTAGGGAAACCAATGACCGTAAGCCTTTCAAACACAGTACCACGTGAATGTTCCTTTTCGTTGTTCACGGTAAGGTACTCGTATCTTTCATCAGTTAGCCAGCCCGGCTACTGCGCCTGAGCGAATAACGCTGGGGGCCGAAGCCCGCGGAAGCGCACTGACTCCCGGCTACTCGAGCTTGAGCTGTGGCATTTGAATGTTCTTTTCCACTGTTTTTCAATACAAAACGACTTTTTGACTTCGTACAAAAGCATTCCTTACAGATCATGTGGTTGCAAAGAATATCGTTAAAGAAGAGACTCATCTACGGATTGTATGAGAATCCAAGCCGCTCTCAATGACAGTTGCACACCTTCCTACTCTATCTATCATTTCTTTGAATTCAGCATGCTCCACCTCTTCATCAGATACCTGGATTTGGCCAAGAAGGTCCAGATGAGCGATTTGTCTCGGAACGCCGAACAGGAATCTCCATCATCCTCCTTCAACCAACCGGAGGCCTCTCAGTTGTCATTTCCGCCATCCTCTCACCAAACGGTGGCCTCGTATTTCCATAGGCTGCCAATCCAAACGAAGGTCTCATCGGAAGCCCCGAATCTTCTTCGTGCACCGTCACACCAAGCGGTCTCATCAAATGGTTTGCCTCCCCTATCTCACCAGGTAGATACATATTCCCCCAGTCCGCCATCCTACTGATGGGACGCCTCATCCTCATATCATCCCCAAACGGGCCCGACCAGTACTCCGAATTAGAAGACGGCGACTGAGGGAAGAGCTTAGCGCGACACATGGGACAGTTCCTTGGAGACCTGTCTCCGTCTGACGACAGCCACTTTATCATGCAGTCTTTCCCAAAAATGTGACCGCATGGGAGTAGTACTGGTAGCTCTTGTAGGAGTCCACCGGTGAAGGATTCCATGCAGATGTGGCAACTCTTTTGTTCGTCTCGTAAGTTTGCTGTTTCAGGGTTTGGTAGGCCAGACACGAATTTGGTGACTCTTGACTGCAGAGTCGGTATGTTGGTCTCAACGGGGACAGAGTCCATGGCAAGTCGAAGATATGTTTGTCTTTAAGGTGGTAGGGTTTGTGGCTTCGGTCTCTGGAAGATATGCGAGCTTTGAAGCTTAGGCTTTGAAATCCGATAATTTTGGTAGATTAGATTCACACGCCGAGTTGGGGGGTTCTTTAGCGAATTCAGTGTTGGATGCCCGCTTCACAGGTAGACCGCCAAATACTCAAAGCTACCAGTGAGTTGAGCAAAATGTTGACCGAGGTGTCAAGCGAAGCGCTGTGATGGATCTTGTCGCTCAAAGGGGGAAAGGCGAGAAGACGAAGAAGAAGAAGAAGAAGAAGAAGACGCTGAGCGCACAGTGGGATCTACGCGTCTAAGCTAGAGTGTTGTAGAGGTACAGAGAGCAAAGGGTTTAACCGGGCTGAATGACTCTGACATTGCGGGCACACTTTGTCTTCTAATTTCGTGGAAATGATTTCCTTCCCTTTTTTTACCTATTGACAAAGATAGCAGAAGAATTTATCAACGTATACGATGAACTAGCCACCGAACGGTCCGAGCCCTCCAAACGCACATCATTGTGAACCTCCACTCCTGATACCACTGGATCCCAGCACTAGCTTCCTAAATCGCCCTCAGCCTTTCATCACCGCTTCCTCTACTGCAGGACACACCCTTGTCCTTGCCTCTTCAGCTGCTGTGCTTGCAAGTCAGCCAACTCCTTCTGATCCGCCCTCTTATGCGCTTTCTGCTGCGCCTTCTTGTGCTTCTCGTTTGCATATTTAGGTTTGTTTGCCCACTCCAGTCTGATCTTCACGTCACCATGCCAACGGCATTCTGCCTCCTCCCGTCTGACGAGCTGCCCGCGCTTATAGGTCTGGTTCTTGCAACTGAGCCCTTTGAACTGGTTCTTGCGGTCTTGGGGCATAGTCATGAAACGGATCCAATCGTAGCTGAAATCGACATCGGCAGCTCCATCGGTCCTGGGAATCATCCAGAATGGCTGGCGGCCTGAAGTGTTGCAACTTGACCCAGACGCCTTTATCTCGGTAGGACAATATTGAACGTCGTCTTTACCACGATAGAATTCGCAGCCGCATGGCCATTCCATATAGCTGAACTGGCACATGGTTCTCGTGCTGCTGAGGAGGTATATTGCTGGGTTCGGTGTATGCTAGACTGCCGTTCGACCAAGGATTCGAAAGCGGGTTAGAAAAAATTTGATCTTAGTAGGATAGGTCTTGCAAAGGGAAGAATGTTGTTGCTTTTGATGGTGATTTTGGATTTCTAGTGTGCTGTTCCACAAAGGATTCGAATGTAAATTGAAGTTTTATGGGAAGTGGGTTGAATTCTCTTTATTACTGCTGGCGGACAAAGCCCTTTTGTAATAAAGACTGCACTTTAAAACACCACGGCGGCCGTGAGGAGTTTTGTTACTCGAAAGCAGTCACCACGCCGGAAATAGGCCGGTTCGACGTGACACAAGTTCCGTAAGAGATCATAAGGTCGAAAGAAGAATGGATGGGGTGTGGGGATGATGAATCAACGACGAAACACACCACACCCCGATGAAACCGAAAGACATCTGGTTTCAGTGGCTGACTTTAAGGCGGGCGAGAATTGTTCATATATATAGAAGCATGGAAAGGGTTTTTGAGTGAGACGGACATGATGAATCAACGACGAAACACATCATACCCCAATGAAATCGAGAGACGTCTGGTCTCAATGGCTGTTTCTAAGGCAAGCGACAGAGTTTGCTAATGACTAAGTACGGGAGCGAATTGTTGAGGGGAGTATTGCGTGATGTGTGATGATTGCCCAGCACACGACCACATTCGTACCTACAAACAAAGACCGGTGTAGAGCAGATAGTAGAGCATGACAGGGGAGAATTGTCTTGTCGATGTGGGCAAAAACCATCGTCCATTATCTACAGAGTTCTGTCACCAGCGCTGAGGCATCGACCAAGCTTCTCCCGAACCCCTGGCATAACGTCCAGTATCTATGACCTGTTGCTAGCAACAAAACATATCATCACACACTATGGACCAGCCATTGAACAATCTAAAGTCCCCCAGATGTACACCAATTTGAATTTCTACCACAGATACCACAGGGCCGGATTCAGCATACTTCGCTTCAGTACCCTCTTGCCCCCTCGGAGCGCACCCTCTACTGCACGCAGCAACCGTCCTCCCTGTCGTGCTCCTTCCTCTGCTCCCTTCTTTTCCTCGTAGCTTCTGCCTTTTGTGTCTTTTCTGCCCTCTTCTGATCCTTAGCTGCAGTCCTTTGTGGTTCCTTTCTCTGATCCTCAGCTGGAACTCTTGCCCGTTCCTCTCTCAGCTTTCCAGACTTGGACATGATGCTCGTGCTTGTAAGAAGGTACGTTGCTGTGCTCGGTGCGTTCTGGATCGCTGATTCGTCGACGATGTGGGTACAGACAGCAGTGGTTTTGGCCGTACTCCGGTAGGTCTTGAGGAGGGAGGTATGGAATGGTATGGTGTATTATGGTAAGGTATGGTACAGTATGGCTGTTGGTGGTGTGTTTGGATGCTAGCCTGCTATGCGGCAAAGCAGTCGAAAGAGTTTGGCTGTTCTTTTGGCTGTTGTCCAGTAGGTGGAGAATTGCATGACACTGATCTGGCCTGGGGAATCTCTGGGAGACATGCGAGCTTTTATACCTAAGCCTGCGCTCTGAAACAAGGCGTTTTTTGAGGATTTCCATTGCTTATCAGCAGCTGCTACACGGAGAATAGCCTGGCATTGGGTCACAGAAGTCCCAGGCGGCCCTAAGCACCGATGACTCGCTCCGGCTCCGCTGGATATTGGCTGTGAAGTCAGCGAAGATGAGGTCATGTAAGATTGGATGGATGTACGAGGTCGTCACATGATGTTGAAACGAAACGTAGGCTAATGAAACCGAAAACTGTAACAGATGGCCTGAACAAGGGTCCCGGAAGAGGCCGGAAGCCTTGATCTGAGACTTGACACGGATGTCGCAGGTGATGTCAGAGGATTGGACTGTAGGAGATACGAGGCACTCGTTGTGAGTCAGAGTACGTAAACTCTCCTGCCGCGTCTATAAAGACTGTGCGATCCCTCCACCGCACTTATCTACTAGAACCATTTTCAGATCTTGTCTTCACAGCCTTCAACGCTAAATCTTCATAGACCCTTCATACTCACAGCAAGCCTCTCATGTATACCATCCTTTCGACTCTCCTTACAATCCATACCATCCTTGCCTTGAGCGCTGGCGCTCTCGCCACAGCTGCATTAAATGAGCGTCGATCTGGCGGTTCCGGGACACTCGGTCATGATGCGGATCTCACGATATCCGTCTGGGACGATATCGATTGCACTCCCACGTTTGAGCCGAACAGCGAGTTCCATTTGTCCTGGGGTGTGATGCAGCCCACTAACGGTTCAACCAATACATTCAAGCTCAGCCGGGTTCTAAGAGACAACGAGCAACTCGACTGGAGTGCCGCCACGGCAGATCCTCCGGGCGCAAACAGAGCTCGTTCAGAACGTATCGTCCCCGGTTGCGAGCACTTTCTCCGGACAATGCATACGGCTCCGGGTGGCATTGAGTCCTTACAGGAAAATACATGCTATCAACTAGATCTAGGGGCAAATGTAAGTAATCCGTCCGGAGAGCGTGCGAAATGGAATGACTGATGCTTATCTTTAGTGCGTGAATCTGGTCGATCGAAGTGATCCGCCGCAATTCAGTTAAGCCATGGTTCAGTGTGGAGCTTGGTAGCAGCGACAGTGGGCAAGACGGCGAGACAAATCTTGGAGGACGCTGGGGTTCTCTGGCCATTCTTTCAGCTGGCGCAACCACATGTATGAGAGATTCTGAAACGTGGATCTTCAGTGAATGCTGTTTTCGCCGTCCTGATTGGAGTCAGAGGTGATAGGGCGGTAAATAAATGAATGTATTTACAGAATGAGAATTGGCGTAGCATAAGGCACTCGATGAAACAGAATTTTGCCTTGTTCCACGGCTGTCCGCTGTCGCAAATAGGGAAGAAGGAGATGACATGAAACAGCACAGGGCAACAACACTGTATGAGTCAGAGTACGAAGGCTTATAAAGACAGAGCGAGTGCTCAAAGCTTCACATACCTCAGTTCGATCCATTATCAAGCCCTATTCCCACAATCTTCAGTATTCAGCTCTAACACACCTTGTAAAATCACTTGGAACAAGCCCGGGATGCGCATCATAAACTTCATCCTTTTCCTTATCCCGACCCTGAATGCCATGGCTACCAAATACGATGCGGTCGACACCACAGCCTACCCAGACATCAAGATCACGTTATGGGATGTCCCCAACTGTGGATTGAAGAAGCCTGGAGATCAAGTTGATCCCCTCCATTCTGGGGAACTGTTCGACACGCTTCCAATCGCCGTGAATTACGTCACTAGCATGAATGTCACATCTTACTGGCTCAGCCGAGACCTGATCAACGACGAGCGCCTCGACTGGAGTGAATGTGCAGACACGGCGTCTTGCGAATCGGTGGGCGATATCAAGGGACAGTGTACGAAGTTCCTGCTCAGAACAAGCCCGGATTCGAATGGAAATGCTTTGTTCGCCAACACTTGCTATTTCCTAGCTCCTTCGGCACATGTAAGTCATTGTTCTCGAAAGGAGTAGTTCGTGCGTGATGTACTGATACTCAAGTATCTAGTGTGTGAATCTCTGGGACGTTACGAACGTCACGGGTATCATGAAGCCGTACGTCAGCGAAAGAACAAGTCTGAGATGATAGTGATGGACTCAGCGGCACAGCGGAATGTTGAGGAGGTCCGGATCTTTCTTTAAATGGTGCAGCCACATGTATGACAATTTCTTGAGGGCAAATCTTCTAAGGGCGCCGTGTTGGCTGTCCTATTTACTGGGCAGGGATGATACATGGTCAGCACAGCCGGAAAAATTTGCAAGTCTATCTGGGGCGTTGCCATGTCTGCTTCTCTAGTAGACCAGAGGAATTCAGGAAAAAGCGCATCAGCTCCAAATGCATAATACTCTTACACAAGGCGAGAGGTGAGACTCTACGTCAACTCATACAGTTCTGCTCAATGCGACACGGGCAAATGTAGAATTCAAGAATAGAATAGATCAGAGAACTTTTCCCACAGGGGCTACCACTCCCTGATACTTCCGTCTGGCCCGGTAAACCCTTTCAGCGTCCAGGCTGGCGCCGTTTTTGCGACCTCCCTAACCTCTTCCTCGTCGACCTCAATGCCCAGACCTTCGCCATGCAAGCCTTCCACGTAGCCATCTTTCACATTCCAGACGCTTTTGTCTTTCACATAGTTGGTTATATCGTACTTTCCCGCCTCAACGTTGTAATGAATACCAAGACTCATTTCCTGAATCACGAAGTTAGGAGTAGCCATTGCGAATTGTACACACGCAGCCAACGCTATTGGTCCAAGAGGGCAGTGTGGCGCGATAGCGACGTCGTACGCTTCAGCCATTGTAGCGATTTTACACAGTTCTGAGATACCTCCGCAGTGCGAGATGTCGGGCTGGAGTATGTCGACAGATGTGTCATGTAAAAAGCGTTTGACGTCCCAACGGCTGTAAAGGCGCTCGCCCAGAGCGATTGGTATCGTGGTAAGGAGCGAGAGCTGCTTGATGCCTTCCGAGTGCTCAGAAAGTAAAGGTTCTTCGATGAAAAGTGGGTGGTACGGTTCCAGTGCCTTAGCCAGCTGCTTTGCCATGGGCTTGTGCAACCGGCCATGGAAGTCAAGCCCAGCATCCATACCCAATGCCTTGACCGTTTTCAGCCTCTCCACACTTGAATCCAATGCGCGCGGCGAGTCTAGCCAATCTATATCTTCAGTCGCATTCATCTTGATAGCCGTGAATCCTTGCGCCATACGCTCCTTAGCTGCCCTTTCGACGTCTCTTGGTCTGTCACCGCCAATCCAGGCATAGACTTTGACTTTGTGCCGCACCTTGCCGCCGAGGAGTTGGTAGAGAGGAAGATGAAGGCGGCGAGCTTTGAGATCCCAGAGCGCGATGTCGATACCTGAGAGGGCCGACATGAGGACAGGTCCGCCGCGATAAAAGCCAAGACGGTATGCAGTTTGCCAGAGGTGTTCGATGTCGCTGACCAAGAAGGAAGTATCAGCATATGTGCGCATAGTGTGGGAAATGCGTGTGATTACTCGGCTTCATAGCCCACGAAGCGTCCTCTTAGAGAATCGAGACAGCCTTCCACGGCGAGTGTATGGCCCTCCAATGTAGATTCACCCCAGCCATAATTGCCCTGCTCATCGCAGACTTTGACGAAAAGCCAACGTGGAAGGACACGGAAGTACTCAATGGTTTTGATCTTGGCCATTTTGGCTGTTAGGGAGGAGAGGAGAAAGAGAGGCGGGAAAATCGAAGGGAGAAGGGGAAGAGGCGATCACGCAAAAAGAGGAAGAAGGAGAACCCCAATGCAATCGTATGCGCAATGACAAGAGAGCTGTGAGTGGCGCGGACATTGACAAATATGGATTTGCCTCGGCGCTTCTGGAACAAAATGTCTGCAGGGTAGCATGGATATTCTGCACAGTTGGCGTTTTTCAATTCGTCCGGGGTGTATTGGCGGTCACGTTGGAGCTGAGTACCGACAGTAGAACGACAAATGAAGCATGCTGCATACTGCATGCATACTCAAACCTCGAGTTTTGACAGCGGCAGATCGACATAGTGCTGCACGTCATGGAGACCAGGGCACTGGCTCCAAGTGGGTCTCGCTGGCGCTATTTAAAAGTGGGCCAGGTGCATGGTGGTGCCGAAAAGAAAGTTGTTGTCGTTGTTGTTGATGTTGAGACGGCGTTCAGAGCGCAGAATGATGTGTAGTCGTTGGGCATTTATTCTCCCAGAGCATGTGAAACGTGACAAGGCAGCCTGAAACACTGCGCACCTGCCCCCGAGGCCATCTCACATGACAAGATCTGTCAGTGAATGAAAGGATATCAGCGGGAATATCACCATGATTGAAATGTACGTAGCAGCAAGCAGAGAAAGATGCGGTGATAGAAGGCGTTGTGTAGAAGAAAGGATTCCAGCGAGGTAGCAACTACAGCCCTGCCCCTGCCGCCGCTTCAGGCTTCCTAGTTAATTCTCCATCTCGATAAAAGGCCGCAGTAACCACATCCCTTTGTCCTCAGGTGACTCCAGTCACAACATTCTCCGCTGACCTGACTTCTGAACCCATGATACTGGCATTCTTACAGCTTCAGTCCATCTCGTTCTTTGCAGCCGTCTCAAAAGCCTGAGAGACATACCGCCGCAATGCCGGAAGCAACAGTAGAGCCCCCTCCTGCACCAACATTTACCCCACGACGTCGCTGATATTGTTGGACAGGAACAGCAATCTGACGCCACAGGTTCGATTCCTTATCTCCAGCAGCTGGCACGGCTGGCAAGCCCAGTACCCAATTTCGCTGCGACCCTGACTACACAAGCGGAGCAAGACGCCGAAGATGCGAACATCAGCTTCCTACGTACAGAACTGCCGCATGATCAAGGTTCTCGCCCGCGCGATGATGCCGACGAGAGTCGCCGGCGAATGCGGAGAGCCGTAGATGCTATGGCCGAGCCCCGCGTTTACACCCCGGCGCAATTGGAAGAGTTAGGAAGCCTCTCAACATATTCAGATCGAATAACGCAGCAGGAATACCATGGTTGGGCACCGGGAACATCTGACGACGAGCAAGAAAATAGGCCTGAGGGACGGGCCATCTCTCGATCTTCGGCAGCGTTGTTGGACGAGCACGTTCTGAGGAGGGATGAGCATCTAAGGGAGAGGATGAGACTGAGACGCTTGAGGGATGCCACACAATTAGAATGGCGGGAAAGTGTACCAAGCGAGTCCGCTACCCAAGTGTCCTCTCCTCGAGAACGATCGCACTTCATCGAGAACGACACGGGTGGAATTCCCATCGTGACGGAATCCTCGCTACGAACCACTGCTCTACTACAAGCTGTAAGACGCAATTCACAGTTCTCGGCCCGTTCAAGAAACGAGCTCCAGAGATATATCCTTGACAGGGAGAGAGGCGACGAAAGAGATCGAGCAGGCTCCGCACGCCCAATCGAGCCCTCGAATTCCAACCTTTCGCAAAGCCAGCGGCGGCAACTGCATCGCGAAGCTACAGTACGACAGGAGATTCAGCAGCATCGGGACCTGATTGCGGAACATCAACAACACCGCACCTACGTGGAGGAACAACTACGGCAGCAGCGGCATAGTATTGCCCAGCCAAGTGAGAACAGAAGACGACGCTACTGGCAAACACCCTCGCCCTGTCCTCCTAGCGAGAGAAGACCGGTCGATGAAGCCATCAAATATCTTGAGCGATTACGTTCGTGCGAATCTGATCAAGAAGGCTTGGAGAATGCAGAAGAGGCGGGCTTAGGTCCAGAAGAGTGCTGCCCAAAAGACCCTCAAGACTTCCTATTGAACGTTCAAACTGTACCACCACCGCCTCAGAGCTCCTGGCTCAAAGTCGGCGCTGTCCTTTCTGGCACCCAACACGGCGCCTGCCCATCTTCACTACCATCATACACTCCACTCATGCCTCCATCTACATATCGAGCAAGAGCCCGAAACCCACATTTCGGCTCCCACCCACCAAGAAATACGTCTCCAGTCCGTCACGCACCCTACTTCGCCACCGCAGCCTCGGAAGCCTCCTCTACCTTTGCAGAAGAGCGCTGGGATGTCAAGGTAACAGTTGACAGCATCGACTACAGCACCATGACCTTATCCGGCACCATGGAAGCATTCGATGTACCCGACAAGAATTCGCCAACAAAGGTTTCAAGCATCACTACGTATCTCGAGGGCGAAATAATTGATTTCAACACTTTTACCTTGGAGACTAAGAGTTTCAAAGCCGACACCCGTGTCGACGGGATGTATTGGCGGAAATTACCCCCTTTTAAGGATCTAGACGATGATGAGGCCATGGCGAGGAACATACTTAGCCAGGAATGGCTGCGGAAGGAGCTGATGGAGAAGTGGATCCTGATGAGGTGGAAAGGTATGCCCCAGCATGCTTGCCCAGGAACTTTTCAATCTGCTTACGATGCTGGAGCAGAGAAATGCTTCGTCACCCCTTCCAATCCTGACACCGCCCTTACTATCAGTGGCTTCTACTACGTCTCTTTACAGAGATCGAACGGGCATGTGGAAGGCTTGTACTATGACCCGCACAGCAACCCATATCAGCATTTATCCCTTACTCCTGAGAAGCGGACATTTCCTGCATATACATTTCGGTAGCGAGTCTGGGATTTTCGGCGGGCTGCCAGGTGTGTATAGATTTTAGGCGACATCACATCAGGACTGAGTGCCTAAATCATGCATATGACTCGGACATGTGGGCTCCGTCGAAATGAGTGTAGGCCGGAGAATGTGATGGTCGTAGTGGTAAGATACCCTTGGATACAGGAAATGCCGAACACCAAAGCCAAGAGCTGAAGTCTGTGACTTACTCTCCCTTCCATACCGATAAACAAATCACCGGGCTTCATCCTCATATGGGTGTCCAAATCCAAAGGCGCAAGCGCCAAAGACTGCCACATTTTCTCCAGCGCCGGGTAGCATCCGTGACAGATTTCCACTACTTTCGACCAAAGAATCGTCCAAGATCCAAACGCCATGACCTCCGCAAAACCCATCCACCTCGAACCAAGCGACCTAGGCACGAAAGAATAGTACAGACTCCCTCCCTCCTCCACCCTCTCCCCCATACACCCCGAGAAAACCGCCAAGAAGCTAACAACCTCCCCAGCTGGGACACAACCTACACCCACGACCTGACCACCCACGCCTCCACCCCAACCCACACCGGCCAAACATGGTTCGAAGACGTCAACGCCTCCCGCAAGATCCTCAAATACCTCACCGCCCCCTCCTCGCGCCTCGACCTCGACCGGCCCACGACCACGTTCCTGGACCTCGGCACCGGCACCGGCGAGATGCTCTTCCTGCTCCGGGAAGAGGGCGGCTTCGGGGGACGCATGGTCGGCGCGGATTACTCCGGCGGGAGCGTGGAGCTGTGTCGGCGGCTGGCGGCCGAGAAGGGCGTTCGCTCGAGGTCTGAGGAGGAGGAAGGAGGAGAAGGAGAAGGAGAAGGAGAAGAAAGCGGTGTGCGGTTTGTGGAATGGGATATCCTGCACTCCCCGCCGCCGTCCCCCTGGACGCAACCTGGCTTCGACGTCGTGCTTGACAAGGGCACTTTTGACGCTGTGAGCCTTAGTCGGGAGACGGACGGGCGGGGGAGGAGGGTGTGTGAGGGGTATAGGGCGAAGGTTGAACGGCTGGTGAGGAAGGGGGGCGTGCTGGTTGTTACGAGCTGTAATTGGACGGAGGAGGAGTTGGCGGGGTGGTTTGAGGGTGGCGGTGGGGAGTTGGAGAGGTGTGGGAGGGTGGAGTATCCGGTTTTTAGGTTCGGGGGGAGGCAGGGGCAGAGTGTGCAGAGTGTGGTTTTTCGGAGGAGGGGATGAGGGGGGAGGGGAAGGGAGGCGGGGGTCTGGGGTTTGGGAAGGGAAGGATGCGGTGTGTAAGTTCGAGGGATCTACGGTTATGGTCATTTGACAACCAAGAGCTTGAGGGCCAGGGAATTGTTACTGGAGATACCCACCTGAATAAAAGAAATTGATCGACATGCATCGTACACAGTGTGCTTCCTAAAAACACCCCGCTCAGGTCGCAGCCGATTCTCATCGCGAAAGACGATTTTGACTGACCAGCTAGGATCATAACCAGCCATCGATTGAGGTCCTTTGACGGACAGTAATAGTCTAGCATCCAACTCCGTCTCCGCGACCGCATCCCCCTTCCTCCACAAAGCCTCAACAACAGTCCCTCGCGATCACAAGCCTAGGTTGCCAACCCCCAACAGCATCCATCGCCTCTGCCATCATCCCCCCTCTGACCACATCGACCCCTTCCTCAGATCCCCAAGTTCACTGCTCCACGCCGCTTTCTCAGCAGCAGTTGCCGTCTATCTCATGCATCGCCTTGCAGTCTTGGAGATACCCGATCTCATGCCGTGGATTTTCAGGACCGGTGTTCTTACTCAAGGTGGTGATAGCGTGGATCGGGAATAGAAGTCTTGACGATGGAAGGGGCAGTATGGTTCAAGGAGCATTGGATCGTGCCATTGGGTGCGCGATTGTTGGTGCGGTGAGCCGAAACACGCTCCTGGTTAACTCGGGCCTCCATGGAGCAGGTGAGAGATTTGAAGCTTTGTGGCTTTGCTGGTAGATACTAAGAGAAAGTTGAATGTTTCCTTTTCTTGGAGAGATGAGCTGGGATTCAGCGTTGCGACTTGTAGCCATGGCATGAGTGCACAATGTAGCTTCCGTGTAGTAGCCCAAGTAATGGATACTAAACGCAAGACTTCTCTTGAAGCTCAAACAATACAGAGGAATTAGGAGATTGGGCAAAGGGAAGTGGTAAGGCCCTGGTGCAGTTGTTGTGCCAGGTGATAAGGATCCAGTTGAATGGCTCAGTTTCGCGATCTTGCCTCTTTGGCTAACCAGCATGCTGGGACGGGCAACGCAAATCGAAATGATGCTTCGATGTGGTTCATTGAAATGCTTCTAGGTATGCCGATTTGACTTCTGCATAAGCATAGACGCAAAGAACTGTTCATGCTTCCCTACCTTCTCGGTAGACGACGCCTGCTTGCGTTTGAGTATGGCAACCACAAGCCACTTGTTCCGCCCCGTTGCATCTTCTTGTCCACCATTTCGCTCTCTGGCCCACTCTCGTTCATTTCCATCAGCATCTCGCTCCCAGATGTGTTCTGTCTCCAGACCTGCTTGAGCTGCAATGTCGAAGAAAGAGGCGAGCTTTGCTCGGCCGGTGTGAAAACCTGCTATCACCCATACTCGGGCATTGTCTTTGTGAGAGAGGAAGTGCTCCATAGATTGGGCAAGACTGTAGTGTTCACCATCCATCCACAAACAGTCTGCGCAGAGTATCCGAGAAAAGTGACTCGCGTAGTCTTTGGAGAAATCGTCTGTAAGGACACCCCATTCATGGCCTCGCACAGTCAGCTTCTGCTGCAGCTCCTTTGGGATGTTCCTTTCGACGTTGGCCTTGGTATTGGCTAGAATTGCGGGAGAGGGATAGTCGGACAAGACGACCTCTTCAGCTCCAGCCAAAGCACTCACAATCCCCTCCAAGCCGGTACCTACCTCTGTATAAGCCTAGCTCTTGCTGCTATCCTTGTCTCCACGCACCAGATCCCAGCTCTAGAATTGAATGCCCAGTCACATCCCATTTACCGTCTCTTTCTCCCTCCTTTGTAGGATCACTGGCATCGCTGATGAACTCGGCCAGCTGTATACCGGAATTCCAGATATGATGAGCGAACAGCACCCGCTCGTCTTGATCATGTGGATCGACGAGGCTGAGATCCATATCTCCAAAGCGTTTGGATACATAGGTGACGTGTGAACCGGGATCGCCATGGAAAGTGCGTAGGTTGTCTGGGAACAGGAGACCAACGGCATTACTGTAGATGTCTTCTGCAGAGGAGACGGGTACCTCTGGGAGACGGATCTTCAAGGTCAGCATCCTGTTGGTCTCCCAAGTGTGATTGGTAATGGCAGATGCGAATCATGCTACTGCAAGATTAACACCAGAGCACAGAAGCGCGAGAGAATATTTCGTGCCAGAGCCGGGTAGCAGAAGTGAAACTTTAGCGCCGCTTCCTCGGGTATAAATAAACCTCCATCTCAGACTCTTCTTTCCCTCCTCATACTTACCTTGTGAGGAGCTGGGCGATCAACAAGGCCTTCGCTCATGATTTGAGCCCTGCATTGCACATCGCGGAGGCAAAAGTCATTGAGTTGCCTTCGGGCACCTCATTCGCGCAATTTTTGATGGTCTTCCTCACCTCAGAGGCTCATCCTTTTCATTGATGTCTCATGCCTTGTGCTGAGCTTTGAAGAAGAGATTCTATGTCGGCTGCATCATACGAGATTTGTTAGACAACGCTGACATGTTTGGTGGCCGAGAGCTCTGGTGAAGCCGTTGTCAAGTGTGCTCGTAGCTCGAACCTGAGCTGTTAGTCTGTAGAATGGATTGAGAGCCGCGCACAATCACCGTGATCTTCCTTTGGCTCAGTGTAGAATGTTTGATGCAGCGCTGGGCCACGTGTTGATATTCTAGCCCTACTATCTAAGAGTTGCTGGGTGGGTCACTTTCTCAGCCAACGGAATTAATCTGAAGAGGCCATTGTGGACCATCCACTGAAAGAATACCTAGTAGTCTTGACTTTATGCCATACTTAACCGTCTCTGGTACCCTCTCAATCATGAACACTCGCAAGAAGCTCTTCGGGGTGTTGTTAGATACGCGCGAATGTTTTCAGTGGCAATACTTTTCTTCTCGGCGTCAGCGGGCTGTCAGCCTTGGTAGACTTCGGAGTCAGCTTACAGCTGGTGGTTTTCTCGACTTGACGCCATGAAAAGGTTGAAGTAATCGAGCATGACTTCTGCTCCCTGCCCTGCGATACGTCTCACGCCCAGTCGCTTACGAAAATCGGCTCGAATCAACAGCACTTTGATGTTTTCCTTGTTTTCCTTCTTCGCATGTAGCCCGAGGTCTACACTGGAGCTGGAGACTTCTGACTATGCACCGATCTCGTCTTCGGCATGAGCATGCCAATGATCTGCAGATAAGGATAGATTCGACTGGAAAGTTCCACAATGGCCCATTGCCTCGAGTCTTCTGTATCACAAAGTATCAAATCCACCTCCATTCGCCCCACCTGCAGACCAACATCCTCGAGTAAGCTCAGCAATTCTTGTGGCGCTGAGTGCCTTTTAGGGATGCCTTTTGGGAAAGTAGAGTCAGGTTCATCCTCCAACAGCGGTTGTAACGGTATTGGAGCCGAAGCAGTTTCTAAACTCTGACAATATACACGGTTGCAACCATCGAGAAATTGAGGTTCGATGCTGAGGACACGTATACGTGTGAAAGCATTGTAAGGCGACAGTCTCGAGAAGCGGCAGGCCAGGTCGGCGGTCGGCAAGGGTGCGACTACATGTTGGACATGAGAGAGCACTGCCGCTTTGTCAGGAGCAGATACATTCCTGCAACTGCCATCCTGCAGGGTCTTCAACAATCGTGGCGAGATCATGAAGATCTTTTCCGAGAAGAAGGCCAACTTTCCGCATGCTCGGACGCGGCGAGAAGTGCCAGTACCATTTACCAGGAGCCAGTCCAGGTAGTGCTCTTTTTGTGATGAAGGTAGCGCGCGGAGGAACACAGCCAAAGAAAGACCCTTAGTCATTTGAGAGGGTAGCTTTTGATACACTTTGCCTAACTGTATAAATCCGTCCAGGTGAAAGGGTACTTTGCTCGCTACTGTGCGGGCGAGTATCTTGGTAAGAACCTCGTTTGGGAGGTCAGATAAGGTGGTGAGTAAGGCGTCGCAGCCCACGTCAGTACTTGAAGCAGTAGACGCCATGTTGATACAAGAGAATACCGAGTTTCACATAGACGATTCAGTGAGCATACAATTCAGTGATGCTCAACTTAAAGTATGAAGCCACAGTCGAGCCCAAGAAATAGGATGCACGCTAGAATCGAATGTTTCTGTATGATTCTCGGATAAAATGGAACATGATGGTAGACTTTCCAGGCTCTGAAAGAGCACCCAAATGATCAGAGAGGGGTGCTAAGGTGGCGATGGTCAGGACATTGCAAGCGCGATGATGGTCGGACGGTTGCTGGAAGGTGCTGTTCATCTAAACACCAGGAGTGACGCCCGTCCCATTATGGCTGCCCAGCGCCCACACCGCTCTTTCCCTTACTCTCAGCTGTTGGACTTCAAATGATCAAGGGGCGAAAAGAAGAGTCTTCAATTTGGCAAATACTGCAGAAATTCCAAACTATCGTACCGATTAAATCCCAAAGTCCAGTAGTCTTGCACCTTGACACAAAAAACGGCGATCAAGAATCCCATACTGATGAGGTACAGTACCTGGCTTAGCACTCAAGACGGCTGCTGGATGGTACGGAGTACATGATGAAGCAATATTCATCCCCGACTCAACCAAACCACATCCCGATCCGCAGAAGCCATGAACGTAGTCCCTCCGAACGCCGCCAACCTATCCCAGATCCCAGAAATACACCAGCGCCACCACGCGAGACACCACACCGCTGAATAACGGTACGACGTCCGGTTGTCCTGCGGTGCCCCCTCGAGATCATAGCCGTTGATGAGCACGAGACAGAAGGCTAAGTGACTTTGTGATTAGCACTGCTGAATTTGTAAGAGGGGTTAGAATACAGGTCATATATGATGGCGCGTGATGCTGGAAACTGTTGTGCTATTGACAGGATTGCTTAGCAATGAAATGCGCGGCCGCCTTGTTTGCGAACCAATGTTCCGGGGTCTAAGGTGTGATCGAGCTGTGCGTTGATCTAGGAGAGTTGTAGCAAGAAGTATTATAGAAAGGTAGGAGAGGGTGATCCTATCGCCCGCTGTTCGTTCACTAGCCTACTTATGCAGGAAGCCTTAGAGTTTGGCCTTCTGCCCAAGCCAAGTGGAAGAGAGTTGCACAGATGTAATCTCGGCGGCCTCAAAGCTTCATGATTCTAAATCCCAGTCTAATTCCATTTTGAAGCAGTCATCCTCTAAGTTTCAACTCGTCCAAAAGCATCCCATCCACGACTGCTGAATCATAGAATCTTCTGAGCCATCGAGATGAGTCTCGGAGAGGTTCCTTTACGCTGTTCTTGCCGCATCGCCTTCTTTCGCTCATACTCTTCTGCTTTCTTGTAGAAGATACTCCCGTCATAGACCCCACGGATGTCTTCCTTGCGCATTATACCATCCTCGGGCCATAGCAGGAGATATGTTGCCAGCCCTACGCCCACAGTCAATCAAGTTCCAGATTCACGACGTTATGGAACACCTACATTCCAAGAATGTTGCACTCCACCCGAAGAAATCGAACACCATCCTCTGCCCTTTCCAGAATCTTAGAAAGTCCCAAATGTCCAGCCCTCCCTTGTCACCCTTATCATACTTGGCAAATATATCCTCGAAATTCTGAGGTTTGAAGCGACCTTCGTTATCGTATGTCATAGAGTCGCTGCCATGCTTGTCCTTGTATACTTTATTGACGTAGATGCGGAAGAAGGGGTCAGGCAGAAACCCAGGGAGGGTAGGATATGATAGATTGAAGTTGATGATGAAGGTTGCAAGGGCAGCAAGGGGTGGCGACCAGCCCCATTTGCGGCAGCCAATGTAGGTATCTTGAGGCCAGATGATGCCGTCATGGTCTGTGTCCCAGTACTCGACGTGCTGTTGGACGACCTAAAATACCGTGTCAGATGAGGTTGGGTATGAAGGCCGATATAAGTACCGTCTGGTTCTGGTGAGTGGCTGCATAGTTATTGTCTGTTGTGCCGTTCGGCTTCTCGTGGGATGCAGCCAAGGTTGCCCTCGCAGTGCCGGCGTTTTGAAGCACTGATGCTGGTGGCGGAAGAAAGGGAATCCGTGCCTCGGTCACAGGTTGCTCAGCGATTGCAGTTTTGAAGGGCTTCTGGGTGACGGTAAGGCCGTTCGGGCTCCCAGCAACGGTGATTGAGTCATCACTACTCTCAATACCGTCCATCATGGGGAGGTTGACGTTATGCAACTGACTGCTCATTATGACAGCCAATTTTCAGTAGAAGGATTTTGGGTGTAGAGAAGGTCTCAAGGGTAAAGGGTTGAAGAAGGCATTTTGTATCAGTAAGTACCCTGATGAGGTCACCTGTGGATACGGAAGAAAAGCGGATGTCTGTACCGCTTTTCACTGATAAGCGATATCCAGCTCGGACGTCACAGAATATTGAAATTCGTACTCCTGAAAAGAAGAATAGGAGTGTTGAATCATGGCAACAACCAACAACGCAAGAGGCAGATGGTTATCAATAATTACGAGTAAAACGGCGGAGATCGGCCACGATCTTTTGCGGGATTAGGTACTCTATCCTATTGCCCGGGGTCCCGCTTGAGGGCATTACTTACCCCACCACCAACCCCGAGGCACCCCAAACCTTCAAGCCCAACTCGAGCATTCCGAGGCCCTTATGTTGCCTAATGTCTTCTTATCATCCTTCCTCTGCCTTTGATCTTTCGTCAGTCGACGGCGTTTAATGACAGGCCTACGGAATTGAGGACTACATCATAATGCCTGGATGCCTGGATCCCACGTGACAGCGTGCCAGTTTGGTGAATGATGCCTGGAACCAACTGGTTCATGGGCTGGCGTGCTGCCTACGGCCCCGCACGCCGTCGAGGATTGGAACTGCATTAGTGCTGACGGGCTGAAGAATCCCTTCTTCATAAATCGAAGGGCTCCCTCACCGCTTTAAAGCTCAGTTGTTATCCTTCAGCTGTATTCAACTCTTCTTTACAGTCGCAAGAGTGGTGCTTTTCTCGGCTTCTGTCGTCTCGTATTCGGCTACCAGCCTACCATGCCCGCCAAACGTAAGAATACAGCGAAGCAAGCCAGTAACGGCAATGCAAAACAAGCAAAACAAGAGGGTCAGAAGGCTGTCTCCCATGACATCAATGTGCCCATCGATGAAGGCTTCAAACAAGGTAAGCTTTGGTTTATTTCGTACACCAATTGGCTCGCCTGCGCATTCACTTGGGCCATTGACGTGTCATCAACGATACCCCGAAGACGCTGACAGACCTTTAACGTAGGAGATGCCAAAGTCTACATCGACGATGATGGGATTATCTTTGACGCCTCTCTAAACCAGACAAATATTGGTGGGAACAACAACAAGTTCTACCGACTGCAGCTTTTGTACAACGACAACGACCAGTATTATGCCCACACCCGCTGGGGTCGTGTCGGCGAATATGGTCAAGTCAAGACCATGGGTCCCCTTGATCTGGAGGGCGCTCAAAAGGAATTCGACAAGAAATTCAAAGACAAGTCCGGCCACAAATGGGACGAGCGATCTGAGCCCGCCAAGAAAGGCAAGTATACCTTCTTGGAGAAGAATTACGAGGACGACGAAGATGAGGCCGAAAACCAGGTAAAGGATGAGAAGGATGAGGAGAAAGTTGAGAGCAAGCTTCCACGCCAAACACAACGACTTATGGAGCTGATCTTCAATTCAAACCACTTCAATGCCGTACTTGAGCAGATCGGTTACAACGCCAACAAGCTGCCGCTGGGAAAATTGTCTAAAGCCACCTTGAAGACGGGCTTTGAGCATCTGAATGAGCTGGCTAGTCTGATCAAGCATCCAAGTCTGGCCCAAAATAAATACAACACGTCCCAAAAGGAAGCTACCGAGGACCTTTCCAACAAGTATTACTCGACCATACCCCACGAATTCGGCCGCAACCGTCCACCAGCAATCGACAACAACGAGCTCCTTCGTAGCGAAATAGCCATGCTTGATACCCTCACAGACATGGAAGTTGCTAACCAGATCATGAAGACTACGGGTGACAAAGACAAAGACGCAGAAAGTGTCAACCTTCTAGACAAACGCTTCCAGGAACTCAACATGGAAGAGATGACGCCTTTGGATCACAAGTCTATCGAGTACAAGGCTCTGGCAGACTATCTCATCAAGTCCTCTGGAACGAGCCATGGTATTCGCTATCGCCTTGAGGATATCTTCCGGATCGACCGTGCTGGCGAAGGGGATAGATTTGCCAAGTCTGAATTCGCTAGAATCCATAAAAAGGACAGGCGCTTGTTATGGCATGGGTCTCGTACGACGAACTATGGTGGTATCCTGTCCCAAGGATTACGTATTGCACCGCCTGAAGCACCCGTGAACGGATACGCCTTTGGAAAGGTGATCTTCACCGTTCTTCGTCTATTACTAGGCGCGCAATCACTGATGCTACACTCTAGGGCGTCTATCTAGCCGATGTCTCCAGCAAGTCCGCGCAATATTGCACCGCAGGCATGTCTGGAGGGACCGGCCTCTTACTCCTTTGTGAGGCCGAGCTGGGCAAGCCAATGTACGAGATTCCGACGGGAGATTCCAGCGCGCAAGAGAAAGCGAAGCAGCACGGTGCCATCGCGACGCTTGGCGTCGGACGAACCGCACCCCAGGTTCGTACATTTCGGAGCTGATTCTTCCTCATCGGTAGTAAGATCGAGTCACAAGACATGTCTCGGGAGCAAAAGAACCTTTCTACTCCCGAGACCTGTTTTGCAACTCCATTTTCTGCGTCGAACGGGCTTTGCTGACTCCGAAATCTGCGTAGGGGTGGACGGACGGGGAGTCTATTCACGAGGACTTGAAGGGTGTCTCCTTGCCAGATGTCACGAAGGGCCTTGGAGACAACAAGGCTGCGAAGGCCACGGGGTATTTGATGTTCAATGAGTATGTTCTCGCAACGCTGAACTACCCACTTTTCTTCGTTACTGACCCGCAATAAGGTACATTGCCTACGACGTCGCACAGTTGCGATTGAGGTATCTCTTCCGCGTGGGCATGTAGATGGGTAGGTATACTACTCGGAAATCGTGTCTATTACAAGAGAAATAGAAAAGCAAACAGGATCATGCAAGTGTCCAGTATCCATTGCATTGAACCCCCCTGCAACTTCGCGTGTGCCCTTTCGACCTTGACCATCTAGCGCATGACCGAAAGGTGTCGCTGTCTAGAGCGGCTTCACCCCTCACTAATGTGAACGATTTCGATTTGAACGAATCCTATATCAAACCCGCTTGCACACAAAGAAATGATGCTCTCTTATCCTCTCCACTAGCCGTCCGGGACTCATCCTCAGTGTCTATAACGGCAAATGAGCACGCCCATCTCGGCCTCTCGGTCTGACTCAGGAAACCTGCCCGTTTCACTTGACAACGGCCATCAGAAACCTACAACCCAATCAGCACCATGCGTTCCCCCCCCCCTGTCTCAAAGGGCACCAAAAGCGGCAGAACAAACATACCCATCATAATCCTTCTCCCCCTCCGTCTGCAACACGGTGGCCTCGACCCTCTCATCCGCCCCCACCCTCTCCACACACTCCCTCGCCCCCCGCACCATATCGTTCCGCGCCGCCTCCTCCGCCATGGCCAACTTGCCCTTACTCACCACATTGTCCACGCAAATGCACGCCCCCGGCACGCTCATCCGGACCGCCCAGTCGAAGTAGCGGTGGTTGTTCACCTTGTCCGCGTCGATGAAGGCGAAGCCGAACCGCTCGCGCGCGCCGGATTCGACCTCCGCGTGGAGGCGGGGCAGCACGTCCGCGCCCGGCGCCGAGGGTCGCGTTCGACGCTCGTGACGGCCAGGGCGGGGTTCTCGGTCGCGAGCCAGATGGCGGAGTAGCCGCCCAGGGTGCCGACTTCGAGGGCGCGCCGCACGCCCAGCATGCGGCACTGCAGGGCGAAGGATTTGCCGAGGGGGGAGGGGCAGCCGATGTCGGGAAGGCCGTGGGCGTCGCAGGCGCGCAGGGTGCGGGTTAGGGCGGAGTGGTTCGGGCGGGAGGGCGGGTGCAGGTGGGACATGGTGTAGGCGTCGATGGAGGTCCAGCGCGAGTCGGTTTCGTAGTCGCCCCGGCCCTCGGTGCTCATCTGGGTGGTGGTTGCGGGAGGCATGATGAGTGGATGAGAGAGCTATTCTTTTCGGGATGGATGAAGGGATTCGGTCAAAACCAAAAAAAGGCTGTACATGGGTTGCGATCAAGTACTTGTCTTGCGACAAGTCAATAAGCTGGTTTTGGTAAGGGAATTGAAGCCTTTATACATTGCAATGGCAGCCCCTAGTTCAAGCCCGGGGATTCGGAATCCGGCCCTCGTACGAAGGAGCTCGGAGTTGGCAGAGGCATTAAGTAAGCAAGTCATTAAGTAAGCAAGTCGCAGAGAAAGCAACTAATCAGATAAGTGGTAAGCCGGAGAGATTGCGTTAGGCAACAACAGATAGTGACAGTCATCATGATCTTAGCTTTCGTCCAGTACCTTCAGTACCTTATGTTCAAGCTGTAGGACAGCAACGTCTCAGGTGTCAAAAGTTCCAAAATGCCTCTAGATCCCACCCAGCAATGTCAGTGAGATCTAGGCCTTCAAAATCTTGGCCGTACTCCTAAGCATCACCACGGTCAGTAATGTCATACATTGACGGCGATGAGTGTTTAGGTACCTCGAGCATATCAGTGCCATCCATCTGCCCACTTGGTCCGATCGCGTTGCCATTGCTACTGCCATTGCCGAGAAGACCAGTGGGTGCTGAAACCGGCTATAAAACGACAATGAGCGCCTATCTTTTGGGATTGATTGACGTTTGGAAAAGTATTTACCATGTTGGGCAGACTCGCCAGCGTCGCTGCCGCAGAATAGTTGTCCTGCAAAGACATGACTCTTTGGGTCATCTGAGTAACTTTGTAGGCAGCCTTCTGCTCCTCATATCTTGACTGTTCTAGCGATGGCGACTGCTTCTTCTTGAGTAACCCAATCATCGCGCATACACAGTAGTACTCTGGAAGTCCAATACCTACACACATAATTTTTTCTCCGATCATGTTGAGAGCCTTTTCTAGATAGGGCAGTGGATCGCTGCTTGACTGTTTGATCGAACTTCGCGAAAATAGATTTTGATCTAGGTTTAGTGTGTGAGAAGTGTAGAGAATGCTCTGGTATTGGAGCGCTCACCAGTATTAGGTTCCGAAGCAGAGTAGTTGTAACAGATGCTCAGCGCTGCACCAAATATATCGGTCCTGAACAAACATAGGAAGGTATTGCCAGTGCTTGTGAGCTGGTGATGTAGATCAAGGATGTTCATGGCACTTCTGAGATGCATTATAGCAGAGTAATCGTATCTGGAACTTCGCGCTTCTTCTCGTGCGTAAGGCCTATGAAGGAAAAGCAAGAGTACTTGCAACTGGAGCTGTAGGAGCACTCTCGAGACCACGCTGGCTTGGTCACTCCAATGCGGGATCTCGGCCAGATATTGCATGATCTTTCTATCATAAAGCAATACATCTTCGTACGCCATTTGAGGATGTGGTCCATTAATCACTGACACAAGCTCGAGTCGTAAGGACCAGCTTAAGCGAGAGAGGTGCTGGAAAGTCGACCTTGTGTACTGCGATACTGGCCTCGGCCCTGGCAGTTGCTCCGCTGAAGGATCGAATTCTTCGTCGTCAAGGTTCAAGGGCGGACCGCAATCCTCAACGAGATCACGCAACATGGCCGGCATTCCTCTGTCGAATGCCGCCTGCAATTCTAATTCCGAAATGGTGGCCCATATGCGCCTCCGCATTTCTTGGTCAAAGGCGGAGACTTTCTTGGAAGACGGTGTGGCATGACGTAGATTGATTATTTTGGCGTCGCGATGAAGACCATTAGATAACGCAAGTCTCATGAGATTTCCAGCTGATGTCCAGGTCCGTTTACGCTTGATTGAATTCATCTGTTTCGCTACGAAGGAGAGGCAGTGTATTTGGAAGACGGTCATATTAGTGTGCTTTTGGCTTTGGGACTGCAGCCACGAATCGCAAGTTCGTATCCACATGATAGCAGTCTCGCGTCCGACCGAGCTATCGCCTCTGAACATTGATGAATCCTTCTCCTTGACGCAGTAGGTACTGGCCAGGATCAATAACAGAAGTGCAGCGAACGCAGGTCTACCTTCTTGGGGAGCTTTCCAGAAACTCGAGTACTCTTCCCAGAAAGTTGGTAGGTGCAGAACTCGATAGGTGGACTCCAGGTTGTCAACATAGATTTGCACTAGCTGGTCTGCGACTTTCTTCTGTGGCAGTAAGCTGATGAGAGCTTTATCGTTAGTCGGCAGACTGTCTTCTTGACCAGGGCCTTTAATCTTGGTGTTGTGGAGTTCTCTTTGCACAGATGCTAATCCTTGGTGCTGCACAATCATATCTTTCATGAACAGCCGCAACTCCGGAAGCTATTGCAGTCAGTTATAGCATAACCAAGCGAAGCGGGAAAGTGATTCATCATACGTGAGATAGATAGCTCGTGTAATGACTAGCTCCATAGAATTGGGTCTTGAAATGTTTGCCTCTAAAGATCATTGTCTCCTTATCCACTGCTGCCATAGGATTCGAGTGTATTGATAGCTCAGCTTGGGTAAGCTCTGGGATTCTGGCACCATGAGTGGCTTTCTCTAGACCAATGATTCTGCACTCAAGTTGCCTGATGCGCTCTTCTTGGGCGTACAGCCTGGTCGTAGTATCTTCTGAATGGGGTCGTGGATACGCTTCTTCCCCTTCATCGGCAGCAAAACTTCGGGCCACTGAAGGGAGTCTAGGAATTGTTCTTGGAGCTCCATGACCGTTCGCTGTAGGAAAATCACGTGTCCGATTGTTCTCCCCGGAAGATTGGGTCGTCGCCAACTCGACCGCCTCGTTATCATAAGTACAAGATTCGGGATGTCCTCCCTTCTGACATCGAGTACAAGATGGGAATAGGCGATCGCATTTCAGCTTCCTGCGCCGACAGTCAAGGCAAGAAAATGCTATCCTCCGCCTTTTGGATGCTGGCGTCTCATCATGCGGGGAACGCTCCTCTCGAGCAGTACCATTACTAGACATTATTAGACATGGACGAGAGTATCAGAATTAGGTGGATATTGTCTCGATCCTGGTTTGGAGACCCCAGAATACAATTATTGAATGCTGTAAGAATGGGATCTTGGACAACTAGCTTCTTGACGTCGCCGAAATTCTTGGCAAAACTCGCACGGGCGTGGCCACTTTAGTAGGGTTGAGATTAGGGTTCTTACTAGCGCTGTTCAGGACTAAAAAAAAAAGAGAGAGAGATATCTACCTTAGCTGACGAGGCAAAAGCACGTTCATAATTTGACCATTGACGACTACATTGTGGGTCTATATAGCAACTACGAAAAGTATTCATGTTTCGGTTGCGAGGGGCTCGGCTACTTTTTTGCGGGCACGTTTCCGTTAGGCACGTAAAGTTACATATCTTTTCGTAAGCACTTGTATAATGTGGGCTTTGAAAGCTCCGTTGACTACAAAATAGACTACCCAAGAACTTGTTTCCAGAATCGAGAAGTCATTTCTGGCAGCCAGCTGAAGGCCAGAATCTAATCTGGTCGCCCACCTACCTCAGGCTCAAAGGCATCCTACCACGCTGATACTTTCGTGTTTCTATCCTGCCTAATTACCTCGCCTTCTACTAGGTTCGACATCTTACCGCAAACTCGAACCTTTGAAATAAACGCATGCCCTAGCTTCCATCTCCTCACAAGGAATGATTCAAGAGAGGGAATCAAGGAAGCCGGGCGTCGCTCAATCCTAGCTTGGAAAGCGTTTTCTCAAGCTCGTTCCCACTCCCTGGACAGACTTGACAATTTCGTGTCTCCCGTCGTATACCGGGTAGATCACCACCGCGAAAAGAGCGAAGAATTGCCAGAGGATCGCCATTGTCACCCAACCGCGGAAAAACGGCTTGGTGAAGATATAGTCCCGGTACAGCGGCATCGGCCACACGACGAAGGTGATGGCGATAATGAAGATAAGGAAAATCCACGCAATCTTATACCATCTACGTAGATGGCGGAGGGATTCCTCGTCAAGAGGGTGTACCAGGTCGACCAATGGTGTAGCGGATCCGGGTACGACGGTGTTTAGCTGGGGGCTTTCGTAAATGGCAGGAGCTACATTCGTCTTCTCCCGTTGCTTTTGGTCTTTACCTGTCGACAGGGCAGCGATGGAGTCATCTGGAGACGATGCGCTGCTGGTTGAAAGCGTCGTCTCATCCTCGACAAGATCTATCCTCAAGAATTCGCGCCAGTCAAAGTGCTCAGGTTTGAGATGTGATATGACAATCGAATACAACACCGGCGAGAAGAGTGACGCAATAGCGCCGTAGAGACACGGCGCCAGCTCCACGGTTGTAGCGAACGAGATCCCTCCGTAGATGGCATAGGTCGTGCCCATCCAGACGCTAACGCCACTTATCAGGCCGAGTATTGGGGACACAATCGCTGCAAGCTTGGATTGTCTTGACCACATGAGCGTGAATATCAGAGGGAAGATACCTGGACAGGTGAGGATGGGTGAGAAGTAGTTTACCCAGGAGATGTTTGCGCCCCCATAATTCAGTATCAGAGCGAATCCTGTAATGAAGACTCCGTGGAAGATGACACCAAGATGGCTTACATTGACCACCTGCTTGTCAGTAGCCTTGGGGTTGATGTAGGTGCGATAAACGTCGAATGAGATGATACTACTGACAGCAATCATTGATGACGAGACTGTGCTGGTGACGGCCATGAAGAGCAGGAGCAGCATACCGACAGTGCCGCCGCTTCCCAGCAAAGCCTTGATCGTGTATGGCATAACAAAACCCGAGGCAACTTCGTCTGCGGTAAAGGTTCCTGGATACGTCGGAAAAATTGGCAGGGTATCGATGATCCTTGCCGAAAGACCCATCACGGTTCCTAGACCCCATGGGACCGCAAAAATCGCCAGGGCGGCGAGATCATAGCCTGGAACCGTGGACTGGACTTCCGAGGCAAAGGACTTCTGCCAAAAAGCAGTGTCCTGAGGTAAACATGAGCAGAGTCTGTCGTGTGGCGGACAGGACGCGTACCATAATCACAAGGGCGAGATTGCCGAACTTGAGAATGAGACCGAACATGATAGCGCCCTTTGACTTGAAACTCAACAGAGAGCCTGCATAATTTCCGACAACGTAGTGCTGCGCAGCGCTGGCAGAGATCTTATCATAGATACCATCAAGTCCGCCGATATGCTCATTCGTGAGGACCGACAAGGTGAAATAGATGATCAACAAAACAGCGATGGTGGTATGAAGGAAGTCAGTGAGAAAGGTTGCCTTGATTCCGCCAACAGCAGTATACAGAACGACTATACAATGTAGGTACGATCAGTCCTTGCTCCAAGACCGGTGAAAAGTGCACCCACCTCCAAGGGGGATCAGAATCGTTGCAGCGGCTAGATGCATGCCTGTTATGCCCACAACTAATTGTGATCCAGCAAGTATCATACTAGAGCACCCGAAAATATTGTTGATGAGGTTGAGCACGGCGAACACAACATGGCCCAAGTTGCCGTACCGTTTTCGAACGATCTCCAACGACGTGTGAGCATGCGGTACCCGCAATTTGGTCAAGACACCAAGAACGGCCATCAAGGCGACTTGAAAGGAGAGACCTGTCCCAAACCACATTGGTGCCGCGAGACCGTACTGGTAGCACACCACGGATGCAAAGACGGTTTCGTTGATCCACATCCACGAGGAGAAGACTGCTGAACAGGTGAGGCCGGTGCCCACGGATCGATTTGCCACCATGAACATCTCGGATCGGCCAGAGTCTTCCATCAGGTACAGTCTTTGGATCCTCACTGCAATGAGAATGACGGCGGCGAAGAGAACGCCAAGGCCTATGATGATTCCATACCCGGTGCCTTGACTTAGCAAACTGACTCCATGACCGACATTGACCATCCTGACAGAGCTTTTCAGTGAGACGTGTAAATCAGAAGCACAGTCAGTGGTTGGAACATCTCCTGTTGGAGGAACGGATATATACGTTGAGGAGATTGTTGGAGTATTGCGCCATCGGTACCCCGAAAACGTGCTACTAAGCACACGACAGCATCTCGCGTTATTCGGGGACTATGTTGATCCCTTTATTAGCACTTGCTTCAATATTGCATAAATGAACGATGCGCCGGGTGGACTGCCACGTTGTGAATTCAACGGAATTAACGTGCTTCTCGTAGTCAACTTGGGTTTCCCCATCGCTTTCTACCGAGTATTTACTGCGTACCGCCTATTCCACCGCCCTGAGGCCGCTATAGGGTAGGCGCATGGTCCAGTGTTCCTATAGCAGACCAATTAGGGCCCTCGAAGAAGCTCTTAACCCAGCCTAATTCCTCCGCCATGGCCTCCGAAATGGGCGGCGCGGGGCCTGGGTACCTCTCGCGTCAACACAGCCTTTACGCATGCACGATGACATATCTGGGGTAATGTGTCAGAATTGCGCCATATGTCATGGAAATCACGTTTCAAAGAACAACAACGTGCCTCGTAGTAGGAATTTGGTTAACCATTTCTTTCTTTGCAACTCATTTTCGACTGGGAAGAATAGATGTTTTGATTGCTGCGCGCAAATCCATTCAAAGTCGGCAGCAATTAAATTGCAGGGATTCTATTCTCTACAGATATGGCAACCGCAAACGGACATGAAGACCAACTAAGAGTGTCTGATGGCATAACAAATGAAGAGGAGAAAAAGCATCTAATCCTGAACGCGTTTGTGATCACCTCTCCCGGTCATCTCGCACCAGGCCTTTGGAAGCATCCCAGAAATAAGACGACAGAGTACAAGAAGTTGAAGTTCTGGACCGACCTGGCTGAGCGCCTGGACAAGGCGAATTTCCACGCCCTGTTCGTCGCCGATGTTTTGGGCGGATACGATGTTTACAAGGGACCTGCCAACATGGCTCCTGCGATCCCATCTGGCGCTCAGTTCCCCATCAATGATCCCCTCTATGCTGTTCCCGCCATGGCCGCAGTAACCAAGAATTTGGTCTTTGGAATCACGGCCAGTACTACGTATGATTTGCCATACGCTCTTGCGCGACGGTTTTCGACGGTTGATCACTTGGCTGACGGCCGCGTGGCGTGGAATATTGTCACCTCGTATCTAGACAGCGCGGCCCGCAATATGGGACTCAATACCCAAATAGAACATGACGAGCGCTACCGGATCGCAGATGAATACATGGACGTCGTTTACAAGCTCTGGGAAGGAAGCTGGCGTGATGATGCGGTTATAAATGATGTCCAAAAAGATCAGTATGCAGTCCCGGAACGGGTGCGGCAGATTCATCACAAAGGAAAATACTTCGACGTGCCGGGCCCTCATTTGTGCGAGCCATCTCCTCAACGCACTCCGCTTCTTTTCCAGGCTGGTACCTCGAGATCGGGAAGAGAATTCGGCGCCAAGCATGCAGAGGCTATCTTCATGGGGGGTCAAGTCCCAGAAAGAGTACGACCCTCCGTCGACGCGATCCGCGAGCTTGCCAAGGAGAAATACGGGCGGGATCCCCGTCACATCAAGGTGATTGCAGGAATGAACATCATCGTGGCGGAGACGGACGAAGCCGCGCGTGCGAAACGGGAGGAGTTACTGTCATACGGTGACAAGGAAGGAGCTCTGGCGCTGTTTGGGGGTTGGACTGGTATAGATCTATCAGCATACTCGGATGAGGAAGACTTCCGTTTCACAGGCCTTCCTGCAATTCAATCGATTGTAAATGGTTGGGCCAGCACGGTTCCGGGAAGCGATGACTTGAAGTGGAACAAATCTAGAATCGTCGAGTACCTCATCCTGGGCGGCATGAACGCGAAGATCGTGGGCAGCCCCAAAACCGTTGTTGATGAACTGGAGCGCTGGGTGGAAGTAGCCGATGTGGACGGGTTCAACTTGTCCCACGTCACCAACCCTGGATCCTTCGAAGACATCATTGATTTCGTCATTCCTGAACTTCAAAAGCGCGGCCTATTCCGAACTGAGGTAGAGAAAGAGGGTGCCACTGCTCGAGAGGCTTATCTGGGATCCAGGTGGCTACTTGAAGATCATCCTGGTAGTAAGTTTCGATGGCACGCCGATGAAGAGGTTCCGAGGTACGCAGAAGACTCAGCAGCGTAGACTTGTACCTGAGGAAGCATGGAGAGGCGAAAGGATCAGCGTCCGAAGGGTGGTCGGTGCTGCTGTCACCATCAGTCATGAGCTCGCTTATATTCCATGCCAGCGTCGCAGCGATACACAAAGCGGCAGTGGATGAGGCCGGGGCACATTTCTCATAGCTTGGCGCTTTGCCCACGTCAGCCAGGCGCGCTGCCACAAAAAGTGGCAGTTGCAGTGATGGTCGAAACTCCTTGGATGCTAACATTAGGACGAAGTACTTATGGTCCATAATGCACTGTGTTCGGACTGTGCACATCGCTTGCCGTTTTCCGTTGGCCTATTGCCTTGGACCATGAGTGCACTCAACGTGGAAGATGCCGGACTTTTTCTGGCAGCCTGCCTGCAACAAAACCTCGGGAGGTCATTTAGTTTGCGGAGTGCACATAGGATCGGACAAAATTCGTTACTTTCTTCCTTGACATCACAATCTTACACCACTTGTGTTTCTACAGTGCCCAACGGCCTCTCGACGATCTCAATCAATCCGTCGACTACGCTTCGCCTAGCGTCTTCACTGGCGATATTCTGTCCTGCCAGATATCCCATCCACACCAGCCTGCTTATTCTCTCGTCCTTCACTGTTCCCAGCAATGTCATTCGCCCTCCCTTCCGCGTCAAAGTCTTTGAGTCTGCCCTCCCCGCATCCTCCTCCACCCAAGCCCGCAAAGCCCCATTGGCCCCTCTACCCAGAAGCAGAACCTTGCCTTTACCCACCGACCCTCTCCCTCCTAGCATGCCCTTGAATTGGTCGACTGCCACTGTGAAGTCTTCACCCTCGAATTCTTTCCCTTTACCTCGTAGGTCGATTCCGCGTACCCATCCGTCTCTCATATGTGAGAAGCTGGTATCCCTGGTCGGGACAATCCGCACCGCACTTCTGACTCCTCCCTCCTTCAGTACTTGCGACCAGACTTCCGTGCTACCCTCTCCGTCGAGCAATGTCTTCTTCAGGTCTTCTTTCTCCCCTTGCACCAACGTGCTTGCACCGCTCCCAACAGACGCTCTTAGCAACTCCTTCTGCAATCTTCCCATGTCACCTTTAGCAACGTAAAGTCCCATTACGTAGACCTGAATTCTTAGAAATGAAACCTTCCGTATGCCCAATCCAAGCAGTTGATATTCTTCTTCCTCCTGCGCCGCCCCAATGCCGGCCGGTAATGCAGGGGATTTACCTTCCTCACTCGCACCTCCAGACCTCGGTAGCCATATACTGCGTGGGAAATATGGAACTGTAGATGTGCCAGTGGGTACCTGATCGGTATCCGGTCCGTGATCCTGGCCAGTAACCTCTACTCGAGCCCCACTGGTTAAAGCATCTCTCCGGTTGTTAGGTGGCGCATCGAGGCGTTCGGGTTTTCGATATGTGACTGCCCATGTTGCTGCTACAGCTGTGAGTCCGCAAATGATAGCGATTCTATAGTTGGGCCGGTTGCGAGCTTGTGGATTGGTTGGTTGTGTGGAGTAGGCATGACTCCTTGAGGAGAGCTGTCGAGCAAGCCTAGGGTGCCGGAAGGGGGAGCAGAGAGGAGCTCTTAAATTACGACGGAGGCATTGTATCGTTCGAGGAATAGTTGGTGAAGGTGAACAAGGCATCGTGAGAACTTTGAGCGTGTCAAGGACCAATTTATGACGAGCTTCTGGCTCTCGAGTTCGGCTTTGAGCGCTTCAAGTACGGCAAATACGGCTAGCCGCGTAGGAGACGCTAGCCCTAAAAAGATCGGCACTCGCCTAAAATCCGAGCCCATCTCTGACTCTCAATCGTAGAGAACAGCAACAACAATAACAAAAATCAGGAAAAACAAAAACATAATGACCATGGCAGGGGCTATCGAACACGTTAGCACTTCGAAAGGCGTAGCCACCTTCACCTTTTTTGTGTTCCATGACTTATTATTTCGCTCAAATGTGCCTATCTTCCCACCAGGCCCCGAGCCTCAAGTTTTAACGATATCATGAGGTCAGCGTGGATATCGATTTGGCAGTTTTGGGATTCATGGAAGGAATGAGGAAGCGAAAATTCTTTTGGGACAGGGATTCGAGACCTAGGATGTCCCACGGTCCACGTGTCCCATTTCTTCAGGTGGAACAGCTGAGAACAAAGACGTAATAAGGCCAGGAAGGAGAAGCAATCAAGTGACCGCGAGATGCAAAGAACGACTTGTTTTCCACGACACAACCGTGGAGAACTGCTCACGCTGCAATGTTGACCATAGCACCACCTCCACTACGCCGTCGACGGTAACACCTCTCCCCTTCATCCACTTGAACGGAGCGATAGAGAATAAGAATTCGCTCCAATAGGAACAATCTGCCAGCTCACAGATTCATCTAGAAACTAATGAACGACCAACGCCAGGTCTATTTTAAGCGGACTCCACCTTGATGAAGGAGATCTACTTTAAGGACATGTCTTCTGTAGCAGCTCCAGGCTTTTGCAGTTAGACCAGACAGGGTTCTTTGGCAAAGCCGTCTCAAACATACTGAAAGCCTAAGTCCGGTTGAATGCAATATTTGCCATGCACTCGGTCTGTAGTGGCAGGGCGGCACCACATGAAAGTTACGAGATTCAGATGGAAGCGGAAAGGCGGACTCTGAAGGGCTTGGTTTGGGTATAATGGAAACAAGATGCATGGTTAGGGTACATGAAAATTTGCTAGCTAGCAGAGGATTTGTCCATCCACTGCATAGCCAGATCTTTCGACAACCTCCTTCTTACAAGGCACCAGCATCTTTCAGCAGCTCTGGCAGATCCTTCTTCTTGGCCTGCACATCCGAGTTGCCACCAATATGCTTCTTGCTGATCCAAACGCTTGGGACAGTGGACTGGCCGGTCATTTCAGCGAGAGCGCCTTGGATTGCGGAACCATCGTCTGGATTTCAGCTGGTCAGCAAAAGCTGTAACTAGGATGAGTATTAGATGTTGACGAACCAACTTGATCCAATTCTATAGTGTAATATTTAGCGCCCAGTTCGCTCAACAAAGTCTTTGTAGCTCTGCAGTATGGGCAGTAGGACTTGCTGAAGACGGCTAAAGCAGTGGATGTTAGTGGAAGAAGGTACGGATAGGAGGGTTTGAGCATACCAACAGCGTTGTCGTCAATGATGCCTTGGGCCTTGGTCTTTGCTGCGGACATGGCGGCTGGATTAACGCTCGAGCCGAAGAATCTGCGTAGGAACGAAATGGTCGCGATTGTTCTGATTTTGGAGGTTTCTTGTGGGTTGTCTGGGATAGTCGATGAGAATTGAGGACTTTATGTCGTGTTTTGCGTGCTCCGTGATCCTTATGGATCTCTAATCATCAAAGACACCTTCGGGATGACGACATTCGGCGCTTCCCCTCGGAAATGCTTTAGCGCATCGAGCTCTTTGCTTTGTCAACGACAAGAAGAATGCCTTCGACGATTCCATAATCTCCTCGCTTCGAACTAGCAATATGATTGATACTGTCCACATGAAGAGATGCCCGGTAGACTGGTACTATCTGCCTGGATGTAATCACGCAGACGAACTTTGATCTCTCCACTTGATGACCCTCGTCTAGCTGGACAAGCCTCTGTATAGCTCCGGCCTAGAGATAAGCGATGTTGGGGTTGAAAGCGCCTTCCCAAAGCTTCCAGAACATGCAAGGGGCCATGCCAAGCTCTGTCAGCATCAATGAGTCATGCGATGCCACTTAGCGAGATCAACATTGATATCCCTACAAAAGATGTGCCCTCAATTATCTCGTTATGGCTCCTGAGTTGCGCAAGACTCGTTTCGTCTGTCTCTCCGATACCCACAACGCGTGTCCAGCAGATGGGGCATTTAAGCTGCCAAAAGCTGATGTGCTGATCCATGCAGGAGACCTGACAAGACAGGGGACCTTTGCAGAACTGAGAAGAACGTTGGACTGGATCGATCATGCCGACTGTGAGGTAAAGATCGTAATTGCAGGCAAATAGTCGACTGGGTCGCGGAGCAATTGCGGAAGCTGACCGGTTTCTCAGGCAATCATGATATAACTCTGGATCCGATTTTCTACAAAGAGCATGGCCTACGTTTCCATAATCAGAGTCCTCAGGAACCTCAAGCTTGCATCGACCTGTTCAAGGAATACCCCTCCATCACCTACCTGAACCACGAATCGTCCCATATATATTTGAAGAGAGAAGACGGCCCACGGACGAGCTTCACGGTCTTTGGCTCACCTTATTCGCCCGCCAATGGTATCTGGGCTTTTAGCTATCCACCTGAACATGCTTCGCTGTTGTGGGATCGGATCCGTTTAGACACCGACATTGTGATTACGCATACGCCTCCCAAATACCATTGTGACGAGTCGAGGTATAACGGAGCGTCAGGTTGCAAGACTTTGCGCGAGACGTTGTGGCGTGTCCGGCCCTCACTAGCGATTTGCGGGCATGTACATGAGGGCCGGGGTGCGGAAAGGATCTTGTGGGATCTGGATTGCCAGAACGTCAAGTTCAAGGAGAGTGCTACTGGATACTGGACAGATCCCGGCCTCGGATTTGGCAACAGGAAGCAATCCCATCTTGATTTGTCTGCTAAATCACTACATCCACTGAATGGAACTTGGATCGATGCACCTGATGGAATCAATCTTGATGGGCCGGCAGAGACATTTGGAAAACCCCCACAGGCTCGGGAATCGACACACAGCCTTGCATGGACGCTTGCCACATCTGGGCCCGGCACTTCGATCTCTGGAGCATCTTCCGAGGAAATTCCATCTCCTGTGCTGGACAGTATTTACCCACTCGCTCACAATCAAGAAGACGTTTGCAAGGCGAGGAGTTCCGAGACCGTCACACCCGCATATGACGCACCAAAAGCTGAATTATCCTCCAAGGGAAACCGATTTAGAGCTTTTCAGGAGGCCCCCAGTGTAGCCGAAGACCGAGGAAGCGCTCCAGCGTATGCAAGCCTCACATGTGACATCCATTCAGCAACCCAAGGCCAGGGAGGATATCCGCCATCCGGGCGTTGTGACCTTGAAGCTTTGGTAGAGCGAAGAGGCAGGAAAGAGACTTGTGTCATCAACGCGGCGATCATGGCCTCAAGTTGGCCTTACAAGTTGAGAGCCAACAGCAAATACAACAAGCCTATCATCGTCGATATCGATTTACCGGTTTGGCAAGATTCAGAGTAAAATTTGATCTTTGGCAAACGCCCCAGGTTCTTGGGCGAGTGTCCAAACTCGCATTATGGCTATGTGCATGCATAAGGCATTATCGCTGTCCGTTCAGCACCTGCTTCTTTCTAAAGCTGACGGATGCAGTCAAGCGTAAGAGAAAGGACTGAATTCCAGGACTGGGATTTACGGGGCATAAGCCTGATTCAGGAAAGCGCTGTGGTTCAGTGGATTGATGTCGATTCATGCAAGACCCCCACCCCCCCCCGGATTATGCAAAAGCGTTGCTCCACATGCCTAGTCTCAATAATCCACGAAACACATCATTGCGTACTACACCCTCGGAGAGCCTCGTAAAAGACGGATTTAGGTGACTTTTGTGATGCTCTGCATGAGGTACATTAGACAAAGAAAGCCCGTGTATCTCATTGGCACGATGTTCACTGTTAAGCGCCAAGAGGTAAGCCACGAGCCTAAGTCGTTGCCAGCAGACAGAGAGCACATGCACCTGTACTTTCCCCCCGTAGCCCGTAAAGCGCCTATTCGCCATATCCCAGTACCAACAATGCCACTAAATTTGCCTGCCAGTCCTGGTCGCAGGCTACGAGTTGTCGGCCCGCAACCTAGAGGGGAGTCTCACGAGTCACGGAACCTTCAAGACATCATAGATGATTTGGCTCCATGCAGGCTCAGGGCTTCAATGCCAATAGGTATTGGCTAATCCACCCCAGCCAAAGTAATGCACCTTGGTACATGTGCTCGGTTGTAACCTGGACGGAAGCAGGGTGTAGATATTGTAGAACATGCGTTTCTCGCCTCCTCCTCTGTAGCCCTCACTGCCCTCTTAACCTCCTGTTCCTCATTCCTAAGATATTCTTCTGACCAAATATCCATTCTTCAGGCTGCTTCCTCTCCAGCAATCAACTGGTTGGGTTTAGCCGACGTTTGCAACGCCCAGAAGGATCGTCCACCGCCCCGCTCAGCTTTTCACGATCTTCGGGAGGCCTCGACTGCGCATTCAGCGCTTCACTTTTAATAAAACTTCTGAAAGACACGTCTCACTCATGCCTCTCTCAATCGCCGGCTGAGTTATTAATCTCACCATTTCCCAACGGAAACCTGAAACGAAGAGTAGCAACTGAGAAAAGACCCGGTCACACAAGCATTGCACTAACTAGTTCACCGCCTGCTTCGGGCCTCGGACAGCAAGCCAAACAACAAACCAAACAACAACAGCTTGAAAATTTTAAGTCCGAGGTCTCTGCTCCTCTCTGAGAGTTTCCCTTTGCTTCTTCTCTCGCGGTCTACTGAAATCTTTCGAATCTTCCATCGACATCCACAGAATCAGCTTTGTCATCCAAAATCCCTCATTCGCTATTGCCACCCCGCCTCACGTCGATCTACCAAGCCATACCTGTGTCTGACGTAGAACTCAAAAACGAAAATCTTGAGCGGCTTGGACAGTCTTCTCAGCGGCTTACTCACCATTTAATCTTCTATTGCCATAGTCATCACAAACCTCAGCATTAAATCTTAGCAATTCATCACACAGCGGCTTCCAAACATTCCGTACCATTCTCAGCCACGCGTGGTCCGGCGGAAACTGGGAAAATCACGCAAACAACGGGTTAAATACGCATGACCTTCCCTTTCTTTCACTTGGAAGGCACATCTTACCTTTCAATGTGCTTGCCCCCTTTGAAGCCTTATTACCAACTGAAATACAGTGATGGACGATCCACTTCCTCAGAGCCCCTACAAGACCCTGAACGTTCCCAAAGATGCAACCCTCGCTACCATCAGGAGCGCTCACCGGAGGCTTGTCCTCTCGTGTCATCCGGACAAGGTGCAGGATGAGTCTGCGAAAAAGCAAAAGGCGGAGCAGTTCCACCAAGTACAACAAGCCTACGAGATCCTGAGCGATGAGAATAGAAGGCAGCGTTATGATGAGAAGGTCAAACTAGCAGAGCTAAGGGCTGAGATGGCCGAAGAGCGAGGATCGTTTCCGTCTCGGAGATCATACGAACATGCATCGCCGAGGAATGGATCTACATCAAAGTTTGAGATGCGAGGCAACACGATGTACGAGACTAGGGAACCTGCTGGCAGTCGATATGACGAGCCAGATGTGCTTCCTGGCACGTATGCCGAGGTTCGCCCCTCAACCTCTAGAAAATACACAGACGACCGTTATACTACATCCTCGTCAAGGAAAACGTCTGGGTCTGGGCGAACGCATGAGGAGAGAAAGAAGTCGCGAACATATGAAGAAGAGGAGGAGGATGATCGTAGGAGAGAGCGGCGGGAGAGGGAAGCTGAGCGAGCAGCGGAGGCAATGCAACGAGATCAGCGAACAAGGCGAAGAGACAAGGACAGAAGGAGAGATGTGGAATCGAAGTCAAGAAGCAAGTTCGAATCCTTCGTAGAATCCTTCGTGGAGGACGACGGCTCGGATTCCGAGGTCGAAGAACGATATTATAGCAAAAGCAAGCGGGATTCCCCGCCTAAGAAGAGAAGCGGGGATGAAGGCAAGAAGAGGAGTGGAGATGAGCGGAAAAGAAGTGGGGATGAGCGAAGAAAAGATCGAGACGAGCCACGGAGGAGTGGCAAGCGCGAGGTGAAGGGGTATGATGATGAACTCAAGAATGAACTCAAGAGGAAAGAATCCCAGGCTCGAGACCACATCAACAGAACCCGCGATGTAGTCGATACCCTACCTCGCCGTTCAGAAGGACGCAACAGAGCAGCTTCTACTCTTGACCCTAGAATAGTACCACCTCCACCTCCTGTTGAAAAACGCGCCTCGGGACGTAGGAGTGACGGCCGAGCTGTCAGTCCTATCGGGAGATCTGGGAAAGACAGACGATCACCTGAGATTGTGGAGCCACGGAGGCCGAGTATCCCCGGCCACTCGTCAGAATCGTCCAAAAACAAGAGCTACTTTGGCGCTTCGTCGTCTTCGAGGAGAGAACCACACCGTGCAGCGACCTATCAGCCTTCACCTGAACTCAAGCATCCGTCAATGCGCCGGTCAGAAACAATGCCGGTAGACCGAATGCGGCCAGGCAATCCCGTGCCCTTAAAGTCATCCAACCTAAAGAACATGAAGGCGCCCTCGGATACTAGCAACAGTAGTAGCGAATCAGATTCCGAGATGACGGAAGAGAACCATCCACCACCAAGACCGACTCCCCTTCAAAGAAAAACTACGTTTGGAATTTCCCAGGAGGGGGCATATGTAATGGAACCGGAAACAGTTCAGTCACGTCCAAAAGAGAGCCGTCGAACGTCAGAGCGTCCATCTATGGGCTCTCGAGGAGGATCAACTAGGTCGCCCCCAGTGGCACGTCCGATGGCGTCCGCATTCCCACCAGATGAGCGGCGCCCAGGTCTCGGTCGGCACGAATCTGCTCGCAATACACCACTGAAGACTCGAGATTCCGGTCGTAGTGGTGAGCTCTTTGGTGAATACTCACCTCATTCTCCAACCGAAGATACTTTCAGACGTTCTCCTAAGACGTCTGGCGATGATGAGCGCCACGCTAGGCCCTATAATCCAAAACAGTATCCTCGACGGGGATCTGAAGAGGTATACCGCGATGACTACCCGGGCTCTCACCGACTTCGTATGGGACGCAGCGAATCGCAGCAGGTCCGGGTCTGATTCAGCCACAGAGGCTCACTTTTTTCCTGGCTTGTCTTTCAAGTCTGCATAGACAGTAGACGCCTCCGCGTTGTGTGATAGCGTTTTTTCTGCGACAGAGGGCGAAGCCGCCAGGACCTGGTGAATATCTTTTCGAGTTGCCGCCACCCTTTGTATCACGAGTGTGATGCCATTACATTACATAAAAGGAAGAGGATAATATTGCGGGAAGGATGAGTTTTGTCCATACCCCCGATGATGCTACCACAGCAGCATATGCAATGACCACAGATTCTGAGGATTTGGGAAATCCTGCACCCTGATATAATTCTGGTGTTGGGCTGGCTTTGTATTAGCTCAATTGAATGATATGTTCTCCATCTAGTGTTGTCCACCATTGCGCTAATAATGCGCTCTTATGTTTGTGCATGATGCAAGCTACTGCTAAGGCATTGCCTTATAATAGGAACGTCTTCCCTACACCTTGCAATGTTGAATTCAATACTGACAGTGCTTTAGACTCCCTGAAGGCGCAATCTCCTAGAAATGGAATGCAGGCTGCACGCCACTTAAACGCTTTGATTCTTAGCATCTTCATTCTGAGAACGGTCAATCAGAAGGCCTTGGTTCCCAGTCGAGGATTTTTCTGTCACTTCTCTGACTCAAATCCCGCTCAAAGCTCACCGTTCATCACGCTATGCTACCCTTGATCAATTTCTATATAAATACAGTTGTGAACAAACATTCCTTGAAGATCGTGCCCAATTTGCACATGGACAACCCTCTAACTCTTCGGTGAGATCTCCGTATATCGGTCAAAGTGCGGGGGCAATGGGGGAATGACTGCTGACATCGGCGCCCATCCAGATTTCGGTATTGAGGTCTCCACTCGTATCTTACCTCTCTTATTTCGCTGATTTTACTGATGGGCAGTCTAACACCTGCGCACTGCGGATTCCCTTTTCTTCCTGTCTTGCGATTATGATTTCTCGAGAATAAGGAGTGTATCATGAATATCTACAAACAGTGTTGATCGTGAACGTTGACTGATAGATCCACTGCCTACTCCACATGACCAATGAATGTTCTGTCTCGCGCCGACGATGGACTTCTATATACGCACAAAACTTCTCAAACATGAACGCAAAGCTCTCCCAGAGCCATGGATGGAAACTTGCTCATACTCTTGGCGTTACCCCGTTACTGGTGCAATCCTGTTTATTTAATTTAAATGTTTACAGTCTTCTCCTTCTTTTTGTCACCTACGCTCATTCACTCATTTGGCAGGTAAGAAAATACCAAGATGGCTTGTTTACGGGCATCAGGTTTATTGCAATATCATACTGTTTTTTAATAAATGCGTTCCCTACTCATCTCAATCCGCTCCTTACGACATTCCTATTTCAAATAAATACGACGCAAAAAGTCCGAACACAATACTCATCTACGAGAATCTTGCTACAATTCGAAAGCGCTCACTACTACATCAATACACCACCAGTTTTCTGTCATTCACCGCCAAACATGTCTCCTCCATCCCATTTGCCTACGCCGTTATCATCGCCTGCAACAGGACCACCAAGCTCTTCTGCGCTGAACACAAAGGCGCAATCTGCCAATCCCCCCACAACTTCATCGCGTCCCTTGTCCATTTCATCAATCCTAGGAACCAGCCTTCCGGGAACCCCCCCGAACTCCAGAAACACTTCTTTTGGGGACAATGATGCTGCCAAAGCACCCCGGGTGCCGCTGCCCGAATTTACCACATCTCCCATCAACGATTCAGCGTTGCCTGTCACCGACGCAGAAATACTTGCTGCATCTGCGCAATTGTATTCCATGCGGTTTCGAACCGACGCGGTCGATGACGACGAAGCCCTCACGGCACTTGTCCAAGATAAGTCCTTGAACGCCGCACTAACCAACTCTTCAACTGCAGCAGGCCAAGGCAAAGGAAAGGGCAAAGATCCCGAGCTCTACGACGTCGACCCCGCGGAAGATGGCAATTCTCGAAACCGTGATGTACACCGCTCTACGGATGACAGTGCCGCCGAGTCTCTGCTCCAAGTCTGGAATGAACTCCGTTCGGTATCTGTCCTCGTGGACTTGGGCGCCCAACCTTGCGAATGCAAGAACTGCCCCAATGGTACCCGTATGCTTTGCCCCAATTGCTCCGTAGTCAAGGATGAATCCGATCACCTGTACTCATCCGACTCCGAAGACGAAGGCCCCCTCCTCTCCACTGCTCGCCAAACTGGCTTCAGTACCTCGTGCCATGGCAATCGCCTCCAGCATTCTGCTCACGAGGGTAACGCCGTATTCGACCTTCTGCCGCTTTCGTCTCGACGAAATCAAACATCCCGTCTTCTCCCTCATGACCTCGAACTCCACAACGGAGAATCTCAGTGTTGCCGGTGCGAACTGGCCCAAGAATTCATTCGTGCCCGCTACGTGGAGGGCTACAGGATGCTTGGATGCGAGGGATTTGAGCGTGAGGACACGGAGCCGCTCGACGATGATGCTGTGGACAGTTCACGGCACGGAAGGTATGGTGCTGCGGAGTACGATAATGAGAAGCATAAGAGTGAATCATTGTCCGAAATTCCAAAGCTGAGTCAGAAGACGCTCGAGAGACTGGAGCTGGAGAAGTGGGAGTGGAGACCGGAACGAGATCCTCTCGTGGCGACCTCCTCGGATACTTCTGAGTCTGATGCTGACGATGTGGAGCCCATTCGGCTGCCATTGTACGCCGAGGAGTCGATCACCCGCGACTCCGTCCACCCCGGCGCTGTCATCGATCCAGAAGCCACCGCGGAAGGAACCCCATACGGTTCCGCTCCTCCTTCCAGCGAACGACCCGGCTACACGGACAGAAGATCTGGTCAGTCATACCCCACGGCATCGGATTTCGTCGATCTCAAAACCACCTTCTCATCGTCGTCGCCATCTACTCGCCAAGCGAGACGGTACAAAGCCGTCCTGCCGTCGCCTTTGAAGCAAATCCAAAACGCCGTCCATTCTGACCAGACGTCACCGTCGCCCGAGCGGCAAGATCGGCCGACTCGCACTGGCGGCCCTGTCCTGACGACCGGGCCTGCATCGATGCGACCTTCCGGCACGCAGACCGGACACGGTCACCGGAGGTCCGCCAGAGCGTTCCCTCACCGCGCGGAACTCACGAACGAGTTCGTCCACATCGGCGTACAGGATCCCACTCCGCCAACGGAGCAAAAAGGTAGTGTTGCAGTGCCCGACGCGAGCCCTTCGACGCCGAAGAAGCGGACGGCCGATCCGACTCCCACGGCTAACGTCGACGCAGAGCCTCTCCCGACCCCTCCCGCCACGGGCCGCAAACGCAAAGCTGCCACCCAAGCCGCGGCGGTCGAGGAGCCATCGTCTTCTCGGCCGAAGAAGCACCAGGGTAAGGCGCTGCGGACGCCTGAGCGGCCGATGACGAGGAATGCCACGCAGGATGAGCGTAGTGCACCTTGGTATGTGAACGATGAGGGGCGGTTTGTGAAGAGCAGGTGGAAGGTCGAGGAGGAGACCAGGAAGAGGGAGGCGGCTGCGAAGGCGGAGGCGAGGAGGCCCGGGGCGTTTAGGATGCGGGGTATCTTTCTTTGAAGACGATAAGGTGAGCCGGTACTACGAGGCTGGAAGGTTTTGGGTGTGAGGGTTTTTTGCTCAAGCGGTACGGTAATATTGCATTGCATTGCATGGCGTTGCATTGCGTTGCGTTGAAGTGCATAAGTTGCAGGCGCGTCGTTTGTTGTTTGAGGGATTTTCTTGGACTCTGACGAATGGAAGCGCGGTCTGGACTTTGGACACCTCGGCGCTTCGAGTCGTGCGTCGTTGCTGGCTAGTGTTCTGATTTCTGCTTTCTGTTTCGGTGATGGTTTGAAGGAAGACTGTTCTGAGACTGCGACACGAGTTGAATGGATTATGGTCCATGGCTCGCATCATCATCCACTGAATGGTCCAAGTTAGTGGCTAGAGATGATAGGTGATACAAGAACGTTGACATGAACTAGTTGCTCGTTTCGAATACTTAGATATCTTTTATCGTCGCTATGGGATGCCTTTGCAGATGATGCAACATTATTCATTCCCCATCTTTAATGCGCTCAATTCATGCTGGTTCAGACCAGTCCACCTGATCCGTAACAGGGGTTGTGCCCTCTTTTGTGTAACTTACCTTCAGCCGTAATCTCAGCTTTGCTGGCAATGCCTAGAAATCATCATTAGCCCTCAATATCGTTCTCTATCGTACAGAAAATAGGTATCACTCACCCCCGTAACAGCACTAACCCTCATCCCCTGCGTCACTTCCTCCCCTCCCTCCATCTCCGCCTTACTAACAGCATTAAGCTGCAATTTCTGACTCTTCGGTACCGCAGCTTGAAGCCCAACCCCATTGAATCTGCTGAAATTACTCGCGTTGTGGAACCGGGCGAGGACTTGCGCCACGCCGCCGTTGCGTTGGACTTGGAGGGTGAGGAGCATGTCGTTCTTTTGGTACGCTAAGTGTGCTTGTGTGGATGCGGAGGATTGGGGAGGTGGTGGGGACATGGAGCTGAAGAGGTCGTTGGACGCGGAGGTGGATTGTTGGGGGGGTGGGGAGGAGAGGCCGTTGGTAGGTGATTGGGGAGAGAAGAGATCCATTATGCCGTTGTTGTTCGAGGATGTTATTTGGGCAGGTGCTGAAGGCATAGAAGGGCCACCGCCTAGGATATCCGCGAGGAGATCGGCGTTGTTTTGAGTGCCGTTCAAAGTAGCACTCATGTCCGCAGCTGGAAGATCAGAGCCACCCATCAGGTCAAGCAGCATGTCTTGCTCGGTCTGCTTGGCTGGCTTTCTGGCTTTGGCGGCTGCCTTCTTTTGCTTAGGCGTGGCTTCGCCGAGCACCCGCTGCTCTTCACGAATTTCTGGTGGAGGCATGCGTTCGAGGACACCCCGTCGTATGTCATCATAGGCGAACAGATTGCCGTATTCGACCGCTCGTTGCTGTATCTCGATACTCAGGTCTGATGTGCGGCTGGATAGGAGGCGTCGTATTCGGTCTATCTGGGAAGGGTTCTTCAGGCGTGAGGTGAGCTTCATTGCGGAGGTAATGATATATTCCGCGACGATCTGGGTGGAGTAGGCACTGCTGAGTATCGTCTCAAATAAATCGACGACCTCGCTCTCTCTAACCTCTTTCACCAGTTCCTCCTCTTCATACTGCCCGCCCCGGAGCAATGAATCGCCATACTCTCCGATAACCCATGTACCTGCCAACGTGAGACCTTCTTGGGTGATATCGTCCTTCAGTCCTGCGTACAGCTTCTGCACCGAATAGGTCTGGAGATCTGGCGTGGTTGCAATTAGGCGCACGAAGGACGAGAGGATCTGCTCCTTCACGTAGTTGCCCGCCAGCTTGAGGACTCGGAGCATAGTATCGACATGCCACCTCTTGTTAGGAGCGAAACGATCTGCTGCGACTCCAATTTGACTGGTCATAATTGGCTTAAATTCGTTGTCCGCAACCTCTAGGAAGGCCAGCAACTCTCGAATCAGAACTCGCACGTTGCCATCGTTGATAAGCGTAAAGCTCAAGTCTAGAGCTCTTCTCCGGATGCTAATGTCCGGGTCTCGAAGACACTCCAGTATAGTGTTTCTGTGCCGCTGTACCGCATTTGGCTCCACAGCAACGACCTTGATGAGTGTGTTCAGAGCCACGTATCTGATATTGTTGTCCTTGTTCGTCAAGAACTTCCCTAGAATGTTGACTCCCAGCACTCGCAAGCCTGAGTCTGCTTCAATATCCAATATTGTCAGGACGGACTCGTAGAGGATAGAGTTGCCCACGTTCTTGGCGGAGTCTGTGTTTGTAGCTACCTGCGCCAGGATGTCATTGATCTGTTCGCTTGTCCGGGGATCTCCCCGTCCTAACGTTCGAAGTAGTCGGAGAATCTTGACCTGCAAGAAGGGGTCTGTGATACCGTTCACGTCGTGTTCTGGTGCATAGCCTGAGCTGGCCAGTCCTTTTAGAGTCCGTACCAGACCGCTGGTCAATGGTCTGAATGTCTCGACGATACCTTGTTCCCCACCCTCTGCTTCATCTTCCTCGCACATGCTTGTAACGAAAGTGAGACCACAGAGTAACACGCCATGGTTTCGATCCGATAATAGAAGTTTACCTTTCTCGATGAAGTGCTCTTGGAGGTCTGGGACTTTTCGACATATCCGCATGGCACACAGGGCAGCTTTCCGACGTATGTAAGGGTTGGCTGTGGAAAGGAGTGATTCGATCTGCTGGAACAGATCTCTCGACATCTCGATTGACGCAATATTTCCGAGTGTGCAAAGGGCCAGGCCAACAACATACTGGTTTGAGTGATTGAGGTCGCTAGATGGGTGTCAATTGTCAGCCAAAGCCGTCAAAAACGAGATAGTTGGGATGCACTTCTGTAGCGAATTTGTGACAAGAGTCAAGACTTCTTGATTCTCGTCTAGTAATAGCATTGTCCCCAGATAGCCCAGTCTCTTGTCCGCGAAGCGCGGAGATGCCAGGAGCTTGAGACATTCTATTTGACCAAAGTGAGTCCGTTCTCCGAGCGTAAAAAGGTACAGCAGCTTTGCAACGTTGTTCCTCCTGTTGTGTTCGTGTCAGCTCCCCGCCTGCTCGAGTCTATCACGACGCAAGCGCACCTGACGTTGTGGTCCCCACTCTCTTCCCTGAAGCTTGCTCGGATCGCAGCGCTCTCCTTTTGTACCACAGACCTCTCGTCTGCGATGGTCTTTGAGGCGCGCACATTGCGAATGAACTGCTTCACTGTTCACAATATCAGCTACGGCAGCATGAGGCTTGATGGGGAAGTAAACTTGCAAGAGCTCATGGCGGCCTCATGGACCCCAATTCGGGGCGACGGTGTGATAGGGTGGAAATTAAGAACTCTAGGTGACAGTCATCAATGTGGTCAGACGGTGCCGTTCTTCTGAAGCAAGCAATGCTCCATTATCAAAAGTTCAAACCCGAGGTCTTCTCGCGATATTTGCCTAGCATGCCTTATCACAAACCAAACGAAAACAGCAAGAAAAAAAAAGCGCAAATCCAGGCAAGAGCACGAGGCGCCCAGGTATAACAATACGAGGAATCACCGCCCGAATCAAATTCCCCATTCCCCCTTTACCCAACCAAAAAGGGCTTTTTTACCTACTGCATTAGGTCGCCAATGAGACTCAAGGCGGAATGGATTTCGGGGGCATCGCGATCAGCGGGGGGGGGAGGGGGGGGGGGCACTAGTAAAAACACAAAATTCACCTCAAATTACATAAACAAACTTTTTTTTTTTTTTTTAAAAAAAATAATTTTAAAATCTCTTGTTTTCAACTCATACATGTTGTACGACTCAGCCCTACGAACATCAGGCGCCGAAGTTTTGGAGCTTCGATTTCCCGAAACCTAGCTTCCAGATTGAAACAATTCAGCTCGGCATTAATCATTCTTCGAAGTCGGGTTTCATGTCAGCTGCCTAATCACCTTCCTCCGGAAGAATGCGGCGCGAAGGCACGAGGACTCTCATACACTGATAAAGGCCATTTCACACGCCCTGAGGCCTACTGAGACCAGCTCAATGTTGCCTCCGCTGCGGAAGCGTGTCCTTCCAGAGCTGTATTCGAGTGGCGCTGTTGCTTAGTGGAGGTCACTGCGAGTGCTGCAAAATATACCATGGCCTCTTCATCCTCTTCGACTCAAAATATTGGGCCTGATCATATCATCCGTCCCCGTCCTGTCAAACCCAGCAATCCTATGGTCCTACGAGCCCAGTCCGAGGAAGGGAACCTAAAACCCAATGGACACGTTGATACAATTCTGTCAGGATCCTCGAGGTATGCAGGTCATCCAATGTTGGTGGAAGACATCTTGCTCAATTCTTAGCAGTGGCCGTTCCACTCCTCTACCTGAGGATGCTCCTCCATCAGCCCAGTCTATTTCCTCAGCTCGGAAGCAGGTCAGAGCACAGCAAAAGCACAGGATCTTTCCTACAGTCGAATACGCTGCCAGGGTATCGCACTTTGATCCAAGAAGCGAATATCGAGACTTCAGAGGCTTTTTCGTTTTGTTCTGGATCGGACTCGCTATCATGGTCATCACGACTATGTTGAGGAATATAAAAGACACAGGATACCCTCTGAGGCATCATATGTTTGATCTTTTGACCACGAAAACATGGGAGCTTGCTCTCAGTGATGGAGCAATGGTCTTAAGTACGGGCGTAAGCGTGCCATTCCAGATGCTATGCCGTAGAAGCAAAGGATGGTTAAGGTGGGAGAATCTGGGAATGCCAATTCAGAGTGTCTTTCAACTTGGTTGGTTGGTGCTTTGGGTCAAGTACGCAGGATCAAAATGGCGAGGAAAACGTGGGCTGATAATAACAGTTGGCCCTTTATATTCAACTGGACCTGGACCGCCCAAGTCTTCTTCACCTTACACACGCTTGTTCTACTAATGAAGATGCACTCATACTCTTTCTATAACGGTCACCTAAGTACCACTGAGCACCGGCTTTCCGCTCTCGACAATCCCGAGAGCGCTTCGACTGCCGCCGCTGTACGATATCCAAGTCCAAGCACGCAACTCGACGAGGTGGATAAAGCAGTAGAGGACAAAAAGAACGAGGACGAGAAAGAAACTCTAACACAGCTACGCGAGGATCTTGCCCTCGAACTGATTTCACCCCTGGGCCAAGTGACCTACCCCAACAACCTGTCGATGATCAATTATGTCGACTACATACTCTGTCCAACCCTCTGTTACGAGCTCGAGTATCCCAGAACGTTAAGAATAAACTGGATGGAGCTCTTCTATAAGACTCTTGCAGTCTTCGGCTGCATATTCCTTCTGACACTCATAAGCGAGGAATTCATTGTTCCTGTACTACGTGACTCGGCGGTACGACTGGAAGGAATCGATAGCTGGTCTGACATGGGTCTCATTCTTGGCGAGACTATCAGCCAGCTTCTGTTCCCATTCATGATGACATTCTTGATTTGTTTCCTTGTCATCTTCGAGTATGTTCTGGGAGCGTTCGCAGAGATTACTTGCTTCGCAGATCGGCACTTCTATTCCGACTGGTGGAACTCTAGCGATTGGTAGGATCTCGTGGCGTATCAGGTCGTTTCTATGCTGATCATGATCAAGGCTTGAATTTTCTCGCGAGTGGAATATCCCAGTCCATCACTTCCTCCGTCGCCATGTCTACGGGGCCTCTAGACCATATGTGTCACGGAACACAGCAACGCTGATCACCTTCCTCGTGAGTGCTTTCGGCCATGAACTAGTCATGGGTTGCATCACGAAAAAGCTACGAGGATATGGATTCGCAGCGCAGATGTCACAATTGCCCATAGTGGCAGTGCAACGGATAAGGATCGTCCGAAGTCGAAAGCTGCTCAATGTGAGTGTACCACAGAGTTCCTCATGTCTTCATATCTCAAGTATTTGGTCAAACTTGCTGACTGTGAGCTAGAACGTACTCTTTTGGTGTTCCATGATCCTCGGTCTTTCTATGGTAAGTTTATGCTTTGGTTGTTTTCCTTCAGACAGACTGATTTGACTCCCAGATGTGTGCACTGTATGTCCTTGTATAAGAGCATGAACGGAAGGCAGGGATTGCAAGGCGTCTGAAGCGTTGAATAGCATTTGGTTGGAGCCTAGAGCATAAATCTCAGGCGTATTGTCCCTGATACCCATCTTAACCTCCACTGCAATCGGATGTACTCTATAGTGTAAAAGCATGACAATAATTACATTAGTAACGGCCAATGATATGCTGGTCAATAATGCATGCTATCATTATCTTTGGAGTGTTAACATTAACCGCTAATACGCATTCTTATTTATCGCTGGTTGCTTCTCCCTCGTTCCAGAAGCGAAGATTGGGGAGGATTCGCTTGATGACAAAATTTACGTTCGACCAGCAACACATTTGACTAAGTAGCAAAACCACCCCCACGATACAACATATACCACTCTCTCAACGTGGCTTTCTCACTCATAAGTGAGAGTCTCACACTGGCTACCTCACATCTACGATCTCTATATATGAGCTTGCCCCCTTCCTTCCAATCATATCTCGAGTCAGCCTCCCAATACCTCCAACCCAACCTACCCCACCAGGCTCCCCCTCCACCCCCAGCCACAGTCTTCGAAAACATCACCGCTCTCCTTGCGAGTGCGGACACTACAACATTCGCAACAGCAGTACTCCCACTCCTCGCCCTCCTTTTCTTTATGAGCCGCAGCTTCTGGGGTGGAGGGCGCTACTCCCCCTTCGCCCACGCCGGTGGCCCTCCCCCTCGTGTCGAGCCAGAAGATTACCAATACATCGTCGGTGATGAAGCAGAAGCCCGAGCGTATGCTGGGCAGCGAAATAACAGCTACGGCTTCCCACCAACTCACCGCCACCCCAGCAGAGCCGAGCCTCCGGATGTTCTGATCTTGAAGCACAAAGGCGCTACATATCGCCTCCATTTCCAAGCATTTGATATCTCAGAAGGTGTCCTCAAAGTTGGCGATCTCCGCCGCACCGCTGCAAATGAGCTCAGTGTAGATGATCCGAGGCGGGTGAAACTGCTCTATAAAGGCAAATCTCTACGTGAAGACCGCCGTGCTTGCAAAGACGAAGGCTTGAAGCAGAACAGTGAACTCCTCTGCGTCGTCTCCTCAGACCCGTACCCCAGAGACGATGGCAACGAATCCAGCTCCAGCGCGAGCTCAGAGATGATAACAAGTGGACTCGACCCCGGCCCCCGCGTTGACGTCGACGGCACGATAATAGACCGCGGCGAGCCCAGGAAACGCAAAGGGCACCGTGCAGGCCGTAAAAAGAAGACCCGGGATTCGCCCATCACCTCGCCCCGCGACTCAGGCCATCTCGGCCCACCCAACGGCGTCCCCTCATCCACTACCCGTAATCCATCCCCTGGTCCTCGCGGTGTCCCAGCTCCAGCGCCACCCCAGCCAACTCATCCACCGAGAAAACCCTCTACCCCTGCCGAAGCCCTTGCTATGATCGCAGATACTTTCCACGCCACTTTGCTACCGCAAGTGCATGGTTTCATGCAGCATCCGCCAAAGGATGAGAAGAGTCGGGATTTCGAGTATAAGAAGCTGAGCGAGTCGATACTGACACAGACACTAATGAAGTTGGATGGGGTGGAGACGGAGGGGAATGAGGGGCTTAGGGCGAAGAGGAAGGAATTAGTCACAGAGGCGCAGGGGTGGTTGAATGATATGGATCGGATGATGGGAAAGAGGTGAGGGGAACGACAGCGGTATGGACGAACGGTATAAGCTTGTGAATAGGGAAGGAGATGCCAGGAGAGACCTTTGAGGTTGAGGACTGTGACCATGTCCTTTGGCCTCTTGTAGAAGCCAGTAATGGCAATATGGCGGCTGTGTCTACCTTCTCTGCATCATCTCACATCTGGCCAGGCGTATTGGCGCGAATCGGGCCAGGCCGAAATAGAAATATAATTGAATTCTGCTATTGTTCTTGTTGAAGGACTATCGAACGTCTAACACTAGTGCCTAACGCCAATACACCATGCACAAAGAGTTGTGATGACCCCGTGTATGCCATCCATCAAACTAAGAAAGCCTTGCTCCCCTCCACCAGCCCCTGTCCAGCATTGGAAATCGCCACCCAGGTCGGTGCGAACCTTCTTGCTTCGTCCAACGCTGGTATGACACCAGACTCATTGGCGTCACACCATAGACAGACCACTCTGCCATCCAAGCCATCGCCTTCCTCTCCATCACCAGCATCCCAGCGCACAGTGACATCAAAATCTTTCTCCCATGTACGACTCCACCATCGCAATTCTGTAGCTCCGTGCTCGGAAACTTTCCGAAATCGAGGATGCTCACCAGCGCCAGCGACGGTGAAGTCAGATATCGGGCGGTTAAAGACAATCTTGCAAGCTCTTGTCTCCAGGCCAGAGACCTGAAAGCGCGCTGAAGTAGCCCCGTCTGGAGCGCGACTAGCGTTGAAGGTAAGCCAATCCGCATATCCGATTTCTGGAGGCACTTCGGGGTGAGTGTTGGGTACGACTCGTGGAGGCAGACCATGCCAGCTGCATTCCGTGAGGTTGCGCCGGCGTTTACTCGGCGTACAGGACGGTGTTTGGCCTGCAGTGCTGGGTAAGGACGCTATGGCATCTGTGAGGAATGGCCCTGTTTTTGGGTCGATGCCGGTCAGGGAGACTGTGTTGATACCAGAGTCTAGATCGACCTCTTGAACAAAATAGAGTTTCAAGCGGTTGTTGGCGGAAAATGGGAAGGCCATTAGGTTGTAGATCGTTGTCCCAGCGAAGACTAGCATGAGGAATACAGGTATGTGGTAGGTGTAACGATGAAGGAAAGGGCCCAAAGGTGCAAAGAGCAGGACGCTGAGGATGGCAATACCAATGTAGAGGAAGAGAGGCGAGTTTCCGTCTGCGAGGGTCTGGTTGGTTGCAGTGGTGGCGAGCAAAGAGACTTGCCCAAGAATGATAAGGGGAAAAGGGGCGAGGAAAAGGAATTCGAGGAGCCAGAGGCTTGAAGGAAGGGCATGAGACCAGGGCTGTTCAAGGCCGTAGACTTGGCGCTGATGTTTGGCTATAGGTGAGTCGTCGTCTTCGGCCGCGGGGCGCTGAGGTGAGGTAAGGCTTTTTTTGAAGGTTCTTGACCCTCCACCGCGCAGTAGAGAAGTAGTCTCAGTTGGGTCATCATTACCTTCGCCAGCTTCCAGGATGTTGTCCGGTGCATCTTCCTCTTCGGAAGGAGCCATGAGCCTTGCACTTGAAATACTTCCGGGCCTAGACCTTTCGATAGGGTGCTCTGCTGGCACTGTACCCTCGATCTCATCGGCATATGCAGATTTCCGAGGAAGGCTAAACTGCTCGAGGAAGGCTGTTGTCGTTGCTAAGAAGATGCAAGCGAAGAAGAAAACCATCAGATAACCACCAGCAAGTTTGGGGTTCCTCTCGAAGACGGTGGTTACGATCAGGATAAGCCATCCTGCTATGAAGGCCCAAATGAGGTTGTAGGCTCTTTGAAATGCTGTGGGTCTGAGGTAGTCTGCACTCCGGGTGCAAAACCATGCAACAGATACCCACGCAGAGATCATCATGCTCCAGACTGAGTACTGACTGCTATACAGGATGTATGGGTTAATATCCGAGACAAGAAAGGCCAACCCAACGACAGCCGCGGTAGCAAAGATGAAGGCAATGGGCCATCTGAAGACGCCGCGCCAGCCTTTGGTCGGGACTGAATCATCGCCTTCAGCATGATGGTGGTGTTTGTAGGAAGTGAAAAGGTAGAGCTTATCAACCTTGTAGAGAATGGCCCCGATGATAATCAGAAACACAGGGGCAACGACCAATAGTGTGACAGACAGGGCGAACAGCGTCCGAAGTCTGAACACCGCCATTGCGCTACCGAAGAGGTCGAACCAAACGCCAGTAGATCCTTTGCCACTTGCGACTTTCCCTTTCTCGGGATCCTTCCCCTCAAAGATCGTGCTTGTATCGGAAGTTAATCCTTGCATAGTAGACAAGGCGGCAGAGAGCATGTGGTGTAATGAGGCCTTGCTGGTATGTCTCGTGTCATCTTGGGAAGTATGATACCGAGCCCTTGGCTCCATAAAAGCAACGTCGAGTCCGCGCATTCCATATTCTTTGGTGAAGACGCTGTAGTCCGTTTCACTCCTAATGACGCCCCTCTTGAAAGCATCCCCGCTTACAACGGTACCAAACGGATACTTGCTACTTTGGTAATATCTAGTAACTTCCGTATCTGTGCTCCGGAACAAAGTGGCGCGGCCACCTGCACCAGCACCTTCGAGATTGAGAAAAGTGTGTGGAAACTTTGAAATAGGATGGACTCCAAAGGCCAGAGCTCCGTTGAGATAGTCCTCTTCGCCGTTGTTCAAAAGGGCGACGATACCTTTTTTGGGTTGTTGCCCCTTCGATGAAAAATAATTAATGAGTTGAAGGATAGAGACCACACCGACACCATCATCAGTAGCACCGAAGCCAATGGAGACGCTGTCATAGTGGGCGTTGACAAGAACGCCTCCTTTGCCCTTGGGCTTCTTATCGGTCAAGAACCAGTCATCTGGATCGTCCTCCGAGCCCCGTATGTAGACAATGATGTTTGTCCCCTCAATGTAAACACTTGGGACTGGGGCGTTACCCTTTTGATCAAAGTGATAGGACACATTGGATACATTATCAGAGAAAATCACAACGGGAGCACTTTCTGAGGATTTATGCACATCCTCAAGAGTGCCGCCAGACAAAGGGTATGAGGCCGAGGAAACGCCATTCTCTGTTACGATGGCTGTGACCCTTCTGAGAAGCCAATCGCGGATGTAATCGTTCCGGCGACTGTTGAAGGGATGAAAGCCATTGCTAAGAGTCTGGAGATCCAGCCAGGCTTCTGTGAGGTTGGTCCCATCCAAGTTTCCAGGCACTTCTGGTACAGTGTGATGGACGACGAGAAGAGAAACAATCAATGCGACATATACCAGTGATGTAATGATAGTGACAGGCAAAGGTGTGAAAGCAAAGGGGTTATGAAAGAAATTCTTCATTGTTGATCAAGGCAGCCACGGGAATTATGCTACAACAAGGACCCCCATGCCGTTACCCTGCTATCGGAAGTTGTTGATTCGAAGGGCGATGAGTTGTACCTATTGAGTTGTACCCTATTTCTTGCAATCATAGGGTATAGTAGGCAACGAATAGGATAGAGGCTGAGTATAGTCGGTACATTGGATAGCCACGAGAATCGGGCACTATGACCCTGTTGATTTCTTGCTTTGCGGGGTTCGCCCGTGATCTCCTGCGAAACCCGTAGTTAAAACCCCCACTATCCCTCCTTCCACTTTCCACTTTCCATTACGAACACTACAAGTACAAGTACTGTAGAAGGATGAAGCCATCTCCGATATCAGATATCTTTAAAACATTAACAGCATTGTCGCCTATCCACCATCCAGACTGTTGCTCATCGCTCTCCGTATCGCTGATGAAGCATTTAGCTTCACTACTGCCACCGGATCCAGCACTGACATTATCTATCGGCAGTGGCACTGGACTCCTAGAAGCCTTGCTTCTTCACCAGCGGCCTACACTGGAGCTTAAAGCTGTCGAGGTCCCGGCGATTAACAACAAGTATATGCCAGTTAACAGGATTGAGATTGTGGACGGATACCGGGATCTTTGCAGTTTGGCAGCAGATGCAAGTGCCTGGATGTACGTTTATCCCAGAGATGCTTGGCTTCTTCAGAAGTATGTTCAGGCTTTTGGGGATCAGAAGTGCGAACTCATCATCTGGATTGGGCCGAGGGCAGATTTCCCGGAGCCTGAGAATGAATTCTTCGGTGCAATGTGGATAAAGGAAGACTTCAAAGAATGCGGTCTTAAGGACTACGAGACTATGGCATTGTGGAGGCGGCTACCACTTGACAAAGCTGGTTCGAAGGCGACCGAGGATGATGCCTCAGCAAATTCGTAAAGTATCCTACGCAGAGGAACCCATAGGACAATACAAAGTGCTACCTACTCCTTTACCTACATCCCGGACTCCTCAGCTGTATAGGTAGGTGTCTAGCGTCTCCTCAACACCTATAGGTATCCATAGAGTAAATGACCCGTACTTGCATTCGCATCAGCGCCCGTTAACTCAAGGTCCTCTATCGCGCACTGGTCTCATCCTTTTGGCGTCTCCACTTTATCGGGCGCTAGGGCTGATTTTCGGCCCGGCTAGCGCGTTTTTGCCGAAAGCACACAAACCTCAATTGCGCACTCATCAATAACTTTCCGAACATCGACTTGCCTGTAACGATAAAGGCAGCTTGACCTCAACAGTAACCCGTCCCATTACATCCCCTCCATCGAACGAGCATCCCAGGATGTCGAGTTTCGATCCCGTCGTACGTGAATCCTTCCACCAGTCCAGACCGACATGGGAAGCATCGATTAGGGAGAGTTATGACTGATGGCGTTCACTTTAGGTCGTCATCGATGGCAAGGGACATCTCCTGGGTCGCTTGGCCAGTACCGTGGCCAAGCAGCTGCTTAATGGCCAGAAAATCGTCGTCGTCCGATGCGAAGCTCTCAACATCTCTGGCGAATTCTTCCGTGCAAAACGTACGTTCTACCTGATTGACTGTACTTACGAACGAGGGCTGCGTGTCTACTGTGGGAGATATTTGAAGAGGATGATTCTTGGACAAGCGAAGGCTGACACAATTGGCTGCTTGTAGTAAAGTATCTGGCATACCTACGCAAGATGACTCGTTACAATCCCACTCGAGGAGGTAAGCTATATGCAAGTCTTGGGCCTGCTAGTCAGGACCTTCAAAGACATTAAATGTGATGCTGACTCGTCGCTCACCAGGTCCCTTCCATTTCCGCGCCCCTTCCCGTATCTTCTACAAGACGGTGCGCGGTATGATTCCCCACAAGACCGCTCGCGGCGCTGCTGCTATGGAACGTCTAAAGGTGTTCGAGGGTGTTCCCCCACCATATGACAAGAAGAAGCGCATGGTTGTACCACAAGCGCTGAGAGTATTGAGGCTGAAGCCGGGGAGGAAGTACTGCACCGTTGGCAGGCTGAGTCATGAAGTTGGATGGAAATACAAGGACGTTGTTGAGAGGTATGTGTATACATTACGAAGCTCGAATGCTCCTCTGTGGGCCAGTCGTCATTCGTTTCAAAGCTTGGCTGACACAATCTCCATAGATTGGAAGAGCGGAGAAAGGTCAAAGGGGCTGCATACTATGAGCGCAAGAAGGCAGCGAGGAGGCAACTGTCGGAGGCGCAAAAAAACGCGAAGGTGGATGACAAGACCAAGGCTCAGCTTGCTGAGTTCGGCTACTAGCCTAGCAACGTTTGTTCAGGGCCTGAGGCGGCGCAGGGCACAGGAAGATCATACCAGCCAGCATGCGTATCTGGACTTTAGCAGGCATCGATTGATGTAATAGCAAGAAGTTTTTACGTCTAGCGAGGCAGTACGGTTGCATTGAGCTACAGGCCCCCAGACACATCTGTGTGATCAATTCAGTAACATTCAAAGCAAACAGCTTGGTTGACTTTGTTCCATTAACGTTCATTGTATGCTCCTCGGAGTGTTCTGAAGGAGCTTGGCCGGTGCAACGGGGACTTTACCCCACACATCAAGATCCCTTGTCCGGTCGACGTAGGTCGATTCTAGACGTTATGCTTTTCCTCGCCTTTGAGAAATCCACAAGTAACGTTGTAAATGCAACACTCAGAATAGCAACATGTCTGGGGCCCAATCTCGGCTCTCGAAGCTAGCCTATCACTTCCTTCCCTCTACCCCTGCAAAAAGCGCGGAATATCAACATCGTCACAATGTACACACTCTTTCCCCAACCTTCTTTCTACGTCGAGCAGCTGCTGTGGAGCCAGATGTATAACCTTCCCTTCTGAATTCCAGTTCTAAACAAACTGATTGAGGAAGCGTACAGGCGGAAGCCATCTACCATGTTACTGCCAACGGCAAGATCTTGCGCCGTTCATACCAAGAGGCCGCGGATCGGGCAAGAGGGTTGGCGTACTACATCAAAAAGCATGGTCACAAGAAAGTAGGAATACTATGCCCGAACACACCGGCGTTCTTGGAGTCCATATTCGGCATTGCTGCCGCCGGAGCAGTCAACGTTGGCGTCAATTACCGATTGAAGCCCGAAGACATCACCTATATATTTGAGCATGCAGATGCTGAAGCAATCATCGTTGATGCCGAGTTTCTTCCTTTGCTCGACGGCTTTAGAAAGGCAAACCCCGGGATACCTCTGATCATCGACGCTGATACAGATGCAACAGAGGGCGAGCTAAGTGGCCAATTCGATGAAGCGGTGCTGGAAGGCCTACAGTATGACTCACAGCGCGGCGAGAAAGGATGGGAAGGTTTGGAGGTTCAAGCGGAGAACGAGGAAGATGTCATTGCACTGGCTTACACAAGTGGGACTACCGCAAAACCTAAGGGGGTCGAATTTACACATCGAGGCTGCTATCTGGGTGCTTTGGCGAACGTTGTCGAGTCTGGCCTCAACTACCACACAGGACGATGTCGGTATCTTTGGACTCTGCCAATGTTCCATGCAATGGGTTGGACATTTCCCTGGGCTATAACTGCAGTCAGAGGCACGCATTATTGTCTCAGAAAGATCGAATATCCCGAGATGTGGCGACTCCTCAAAGATGAGCACATCACGCATTACTGTGCTGCTCCTACAGTAAACACTTTGCTGTGCGCTGCCAGAGGAGCTCAAAGGCTGCCTGATCCAGTACGTGTGACTGTTGCTGCGAGTCCGCCGACGCCGCATTTGTTCGAGCAGATGACCAGTCTGAATCTACATCCTGTGCATGTCTATGGTCTTACAGAAACCTATGGGCCAATCACCAAAGGTTATCATATGCCAGCATGGGAGTTACTTTCCAAGACTGAGAAATATCAGAAGATGGCTCGGCAAGGTCATGGTTTCCTTACCAGCTTGCCGGTCCGGGTCATCAAAACCAATGTTCCAGAGGGAACCATCATCGACGTGGAGAAGAACGGTAAAGAGATAGGGGAAATCATATGTATAGGCAATATCTGCGCGAGAGGCTACTACAAGGATTCCGAAGCAACGAGGAAGCTGTTTCTCGGTGGAGCACTGCATACGGGGGACTTGGCTGTATGGCATCCAGATGGAGCAGCCCAGATCTTGGATAGAGCGAAAGATATCATCATTAGTGGTACATATGCGCCGATGGCAGTATTCTGCACAAGTATACTCCCATTGCTAACGTCGCTTGTAGGGGGGGAGAATATCTCATCAGTGGCTTTGGAGAGTATGCTAGCCACCCATCCGGACATTCTCGAAGCAGCAGTGGTCGCGGTAGCAGACTCTCATTGGGGCGAAAGACCAAAGGCTTTCGTCACAGTCCAGGGAGGGAAGAACCTCAAGGGCGGAGACGTCATTGAATGGGCGAAGCACAATAGTGGCATTAGCAGATTCATGATTCCGAGGGAGGTCGAGATAGTGGATGAACTCCCTAAGACTAGTACCGGAAAATTGAAGAAGAATGTCCTGAGACAATGGGCGAAAGGGGCAGATCGGAGTCTCGTGACTTAATGCAGCTGCAAGGTGATATCAGTGGTGGTGGGGGAATGAGAAAGGGGGGTCGCATCGCAGAAGGGTTGATAGACTTGTACCTATTGAGTAAGAGATCTGAAAGTCAGAGATTGATTTAAAGCTGCGACCACTTGTTTGGCAAATCCACTTGGCATCCTGATCAGCAAATGTGCCAAAACCGACATCCAGGAGGAAATATCCAAGCCAGTGCTCTGAGGTGAGATCAGCGTGCGGGTAGGACTGCAGGTAAAGATCCGAGCTAGTGCTTCTAAAAGTCCTGACTCCTGCGCCAAGAACTCGGATAACGCCCCGCCTGAAGGGTTGCCTGCGTGTCACGCGGGTAGCAAAAAAGCCCGTACACCCTAACTATATGGAGATAAGCGCCTTCCCCTTATCAGAATACTACCATTTTTCTCCATTAATCACCTGTTATTTGACCGTCACCGTCTATCAGCCTGAAGTCTTTCAGGCATACTATCTACACGCTCGTTAATGAATTTTTGAGTTACATGCTCCTCCCAGCCATCCACAATATAGTGCTTCGTAGTGTAGAGGGCCTCGCTTCTCCTAGCCGTTTGCGGGATAGGGTGTACGGGCTTTTTTGCTACCCGCGTGCCTGTATGGAGATTCTAGGTCTCCTGCTACAGGGTCGACTGCCGAGAGTAGGGTTAGGGCTGCTACTAGCACTGTGTAGGACTTCTAGTTGCCGACTTCCGTATGTAGTCTGATGGTAGGATCGCTGTTCGGGTAGGACTGCAGGACAAGATCCGAGCAACAAGACGTCTTGGCGCTTCATCATGTGAGGCTGAGATAGCAACCGCCATCCATCCTTCATTCCCTATTTACTCTACCACCAGCAATCGCCACCAGCTCTGCTCAACAGTGTCCTTCATCCTTTCCTTTAGGATTAGTCCCCCCTTTCATTTTACAGCGTCCTCGCTGTTAGGGTGACACAGTATTTGGCTCCGAGCAAGGCGCTTACGACTCGGTGTTTGACTACGGTCCTTTTCGTTCTAGCTACCTGACCCTGACTAAACAACGATCGCCTATTCGGTTCAACACTCGAAATCCCCAGGTGTAAAGAGAAGGAGTGAAAATACATTCCAAGAAATGCAAAGCTCTCGCCGCTGGACTTCGCCATCACAACGAACACGCTTTCGCCGACCTTGCTGAACGCTCAAACCTTCCCATCTTGGAGACCCCTATCCCATCCTCGTCCATACTATACCCAAGTTTTGCCCGTAGGAGCACTCAATGCTACCTGAAGAAGGGGCGTCCGCTGCAACACCCTCTTCGCCTACGGACGGAATCCTTGATATAACACGCCCTTCGAACCCCCTTGCTCTATCTGTTTCGAACTCCCGTCAACGAGTATACTCACACGATTCCGACACTATGGTACGATCACGACCAGACATGCTGGAAATCAGCACGTCCACATCTGCCTCGTCGTCCTCCAGCTCGCCCGAGCGTGCTGCTTATGATGATGATACCGACTTTTTCACAACTCAGCGGAATGACTCGGAATCTTCCATCGGCGTGGCATCGCTGCGGGATATGACCATGTCTCCCTCTCGCGAACGCGAGTACCGTCTGTCACCCATCAGCCGCCTCCCTCCAGAGCTCCTAATTGGAGTCTTTACTAAATTGAGCTCGAGTATGGACTTAAGAAGCTGCATGCTAGTTTCAAAAACGTGGTCAAGAAACAGTGTGGATTTACTGTGGCATCGTCCACTGTGCAATACATGGCAAAATCTTGAGAGTGTCATCAAATCGATTCGAGAGACTGGCGGCTACTACCCATACCATGCTCTCGTCAAGAGGTTGAACTTATCGAACCTGAATGACAGGGTCAATAATGGGACAGTGAAGCCGTTCATGCATTGTAATAGGATCGAGAGGCTGACGTTGACTGGCTGTGTCCAATTGACAGATAAGGGAGTGTGCTCTCTGATTTACGGAAGCAGAAGCCTTCTAGCTCTGGACATCACCGGGCTGGACTCGATCACCGATCATACCCTAAGGGCTGTCTCGGAAAATTGTGGTCGTTTACAAGGACTGAATATAACGGACTGCTCCAAGGTGACGGACGATTCGCTGGTAGAGGTTGCTGAGCACTGCCACTTTCTCAAAAGGCTCAAACTCAACAATTGCTCCCTGGTGACGGATGAGTCCATCATAGCTGTTGCGCACCATTGCCCATACATGCTTGAAATTGATCTTCACAATTGCAGACAGGTTAGCAATGTATCGATCACCGCTTTGATCTCGCGTGGGAGGCAGCTTCGAGAGCTCCGTGTGGGTCATTGCCATCTCCTCACAGACGCTGCCTTCCTGGACTTGCCGAAGAACCTGACGTTTGAGAGCCTTCGGATCTTGGATCTCACTGCTTGCCATCATCTTCACGATGAAGCTGTTGAGAGGATTATCGAGACTTCGCCCCGACTTCGGAATTTGGTTCTTGCAAAATGCAAGGAGATCACCGATCGATCGGTCATGGCAATTACAAAGCTTGGGAAGAACTTGCACTATATCCACTTGGGCCACTGTGCGCAGATTACGGATACTGCTGTCGTGCAGCTTGTCAAAATGTGCAACAGAATCCGGTACATTGATTTAGCATGCTGCCATCGGCTCACGGATACAAGCGTGAAGCAACTAGCTACGCTCCCGAAGCTTCGAAGGATTGGCCTCGTAAAGTGCCAGTCGATCACGGACAGAAGTATCCTGGCCTTAGCGAAGGCGACTGTTGAGCCAAGACAAAAGCCTCTGACTCAGAGCCTTCTTGAGAGAGTGCACTTGAGTTATTGCATTAACCTGACACTTCAGGTAAGATTCTCGTCGACCATAGCGGGCATAATGCTGATTAGCCGGGACAGGGCATCCATGCATTACTAAACCAGTGCCCGAAGCTTACACATCTCAGCTTGACAGGAGTTCAGGCCTTTTACCTCCGAGAAGATCTGATCAGCTTCTGCAGAGAAGCACCACCCGGTACACTTCTCATTGCACACAGTTCGGGACCTGATGGTTGCTAACATCAAGGCAGAGTTCACGGAACATCAGCGGCACGTATTTTGCGTGTTTTCAGGTGAAGGAGTCAATCGACTTCGAAACTACCTCAATGAAAGCCCCGAGACCCTCTATGATACAGAGGGAACGATGTATGATGACCGTGAAGGCGAAGACATGGATACGGATCATCAGGTTGCAGGCCTAATGCATGCGACTGGCCTGAACGATGATGACGACGACGACATGGATGAGGTAGATGGTGGTGATGGGAGCCAGTACGAATTGGAAGGCGAGCGGTGAAGAATCTACCATTGGAAGGCCCAGCGCGATTCAGCAAACGCAGTTATGAAGCAGAGACACAGGCAGCTAATGTACCCATATGCTCGACGGAAGCATCTGCGGCATGGCTGCAGCACTATCCTATTCTTTTACGCCATTCCTTTAAAAAATTCTTCATGCGCACAGCGAGAAGGGCCGTGCAAGAGCACGGCATAGGCTTTTCAACATCCGGCATGCTTCAGAGATACCCCTACAAGTTATACACACAACATGGTGGAGCAGGTTCTATGGTGTCAGATACAAACATGGGTGGCGTTTACAGCAAGAAATATCTCCCCTTTGTCTAGCATGAATACCGGCATTTCAATAGCTTTAAGACATACCTTTGACATCGAGAAAGCCTTGAACCTCACGGCAGCATCGTCCTCTGTTTTCAGCAACCGTTGGATCCCTATGGGATCGCCGCTACTTGCCCTCATCCGTTTCTCCTCTCGTTGTCATCTTCTCTTTCTGTTCGCCATCCTGCAAATCACCCTGACACAATCTTCTCCGTGCATTATAAAGGGTTAAACCCATTCCTTTTGCTACAATCTCTCCACTCGCTCCTGCTGATCAAAGTGGTAAGGCCGGAGGAAGGGGGCCCCTCCGATCTACGGATCCGAGCACCGTAATCCTAGCGGTACGAAATGGTCTCACGCCATAGTGGCATCTAAGGTTCTAGAAGTTTTGGGGTTTTACGGAGGCGTGAGGCTTTCCACTTGTTTGTTCGCCGACCGGGTCCGATGCGTGCGTGGATGGATCTTTTTTTCTCAATCTCCGTCGGTTTAGGGAATGCACCCCGTGAATGCGATGGTGGTAGCTATCTATGCGTTGTGAGTCAGACTTTACGCACGCTGGGCTTTTCATTTCGTTTTGGTAATACGGGAAGCTTGGTCGATGACAGCTGTGGATGTATTGATGGCAAACGACTCAACGCATGCTGGGGCTTTTTCATGTCATTTTGGTAATACGGGAAGCTTGCCCAATGACAGCTATGGATCGATGGCAAAGGACTCAACGCACGCCGGGCTCGTTCATGTCGTCGTTTCGAAAAGTCATGTAGCAAGATGGGCGGGTTGATGGAAGCCGTCATCATGGACCTGCAGCTGCAAAGAGCGGCGATCTACTTTACCTCCCCCTACTGCTGCTGAACGTGCTCCCGTTCCCGGGGAACTTGTCGCACTGCCGTACCAGTCCGGAATCCCATCGTCTTCTCCTGCCGTTCGCACGCTTAGCTTCCGTAAACTCGATCGGACGGCGGCCCCAGACTTACCTCTCCTGGCTCGGTGGTCCGAAGCCTTCGAAGACCCGCGGCTGTAAGATTTCGCCGCCGTCGTCGGCGGAGGGGGTGAGGATGGTTTGTTCGTGGATTCCGTTTGCGATGTTTTCTGCTTCTTCTGCTTCTCCTGGTTCTTCTGCTTCTTCTTCTTCTTCTGCTTCTTCTTCCTCCTGCTCCTGCTTCTCATCTTCATTCTGGTCTTCTTGAGTCTGTTCTTCCTGGGTCTGACCGAAGCCGCTCCAGCTGGCGATGGTGTCGTCGATGGCGGTAGCAGTGTCGAGGCTTTCATCGTCGTCTTCATCATCGGAATGATCGTAAAAATATTGATCCTCTGGTGTGAAAAGAGTCGACTGCCGAGAAAATCTCGTGTGTTGTTCATCGTGGGGCCGTGTAGTCAGGGTTTGTGGAGGCGTAGCGAACGGGTCGAGGATATCTTTCTCCGGCGAGCTTGTGAAGGGATCTTTGTCCATCGATGGCCTGTGGTCGTTGAAGCTGCCTTTGTCTGCTAGGGATGGTGTTGGTGTCTTCGGGGTCGAAGGGAGGGCAAGCGGTGGCTTGCGGGAGGAGATGCGAGGTGGTAATGAAGCGCGTGGGTGAGCGGTGCGTGAGGAAGGAGGCGTCTGCGCTGTTGTTGGAGGGTTGCCGGTTAAGAATGCTGTCCGTTCCCCATGTTCTGCTGCATGGAAGCTTGAGTGCTGAAGTAGGAGCGGTGAGTCGAGAGATTGCAAACTTGCATCCCACCCAGGTCCAAAGCGCATCCCAGCCAAGATTCCATTCAATCCTGGCCTCTTCTGACCAGCTGGCCTAGGCGCTACGCCCAGCTTCTTCGACCCCTTCTCGCCCAATGCGACCCGGTAATTGAAATCCACCCTCGTTCGCTCCAGCGTCCATTGTCCAGAGTCGAGTCCCAACTCCAGCATTTGAGCGGCTTCATCTTGGGGCTGGAAGAGCCCGTAACGAATAACCTCTTGCTGGCCACCGACTGACTCGAAACACTGTAAGCACAACTTCCAGCCTCTACGGGCATTCCTCCATTCACCCAACTCGGCTTGGGCGAGACCGAGACCAAACCATCCCACTGCACTGGTGGCGTCGTTATCCACGGCTTCTTTGAACACTTGAGAGGCGAGGTAGTACTCGCCTACGAAGGCGTAGGCCAGGGCAAGATCGAGGTAGAGTGGGCACAGGGCAACCAGAGGCAAAGACCTCAGGGCTGGATGGTGGTCCTTTGTGACGGCGCGGACCAGACGTCGAAGGGCAGAAATTTGAGCTGATGGAGGGAGCGCGAGGGCGGCTGCCCAACGGGCGTGGATTGCCGGCAGGGAGAGAGGTTGTGCGGGTCTTTGGGCTGAGGCCATGATTCTAATGGTGTGTGGTACCAAAGATGAAAAGGCTGATGTGTGATGAGTATGAAAGAGAAGTCTCGAGGGAAAGTAGGATGTAGGAATGGTGAGTGACACAAAGTGAGAATGCGGCCGCAGGGTCATGAGATTATTACAGTGACATGCCCGTCATTGGTGAAGTGCCCCAGCCATGTATGAGGCCCATCGTAGAGTAGTATCGATCATGTCTGTTTGTGCTGCACGGATCCATTCTATGGTTGGTGCTTTTGGTTCACTTTAAACGCATTGACTACTTCTGCCTCACGAGATCTTGAAACATTTGAAATTTAGAAGGATAGTTGAAGGAGGGAGAGAAGAGACAATCAGGCGTGATGAGAAGACATATGTTCAATACTCTATCTTGGGATGCAAGTCAATGACACGAATATTGTGCTTGTAAGGTAGTCCACGATGGTTAGAAACCAAATATCATGACCCTACTTTACCACGTCCAGTATTTCAGCCGATTCGACGAGTAGTCAAGCGTAAAGTAATTTCAGTCCGAGTGAAGAGACCGTTCTCGGGCCTGGCAGTTCTGGAATCTGATTGACTTAGACAGTCTCGTGCTTCCCGGCGCTCCTCGGCATCTGGCCTTCTTCTTTGTGGATTAATGAGCGTCTATGCATCTTGCCGTCTCCATTATGCGTGTCCACAACGCCATGTTAATAGCTCGTCTCACCTACTTTATAAAAGGTCTCACGTCCCCAATCAAAATTCATTCTTCCTTCAGAGTCCCCAATGCCTTGTTGAAAGAGCGTGGCTTTGGCCTCTCTGCCGGAAGCAACAAATCATATGCTCTGGCATTGATTACACATGCTGAGGCTCTTGGTCCTCTTGATGTCTTTCTATTCTTCACAGCAATGGCTATTCCTGCTCTGCCTTTTCAAGGATCCCGGTCTCCATCTTTTGATGCTATCGACAAATGTGTTCTGATTTGGAGTGTGGCATCTGGAATGTGGCCTTCAACGGGGTCTGGTAACCGTCCAGGCGCGCCTGGACGGTGACCCACGCTAAGCCCTACCCTAAGCCCTACCCCCTATCATCAAATATCGAAATTCGATATTTTCGCTTTACAAATAGAAGAATATCATAACAGCACCCCCCGTAGGGCCTTCGTAGGGCCCCCGTAGGGGCACTGCTAACAATGCCTCCCCCTCTAGGGGGCTCGTCCTCGAGCCCCGAAGCCAGACACCCCTATTTGAACCTAAATATGGACCCCCGTAGGGGTACTGCTAACAATTTATAAAAACGCGAAGCGCCGCGAATTTTTCGAGAATATTTATTATAGCGAAAAATTCGAGTTTTGGGGACGGTTACCACCACCAAGGGGACGGTTACCAACTCATATTGAATATATTCTCCACACATACAAATTTGGCTGGTGAATACGATAAACTCAAATTCAAAGTGGTCTGGTAACCGTCCCGGACGGTTACCCTTGGCAAAAATTTAAGCGACTCGAAATTTTCGATTTTTTTTTTATTCGAAATTATCGTAGCTATAATTTCGATAATTTCGATCGATAATTTCGAACGATAATTTCGAGATAAAAAAAATTTAAATTCTCTAGAAGTAAATATTAATAACTATTCTATATATTAATATATATATAAAATAAGAATTCTTTTCTTTATTAATATACTTACTTAATTTTATTTATTTTTTAATTTTATTTATTTATTATTTTCTTTTATTTTAATATATATAAAGATACTATAAGATTAAATCTACTTTTTTATTCTTATTTTATATTTTAAAGCTTTTTTCTTTATTATATAAAAATACTATAATCTATTATATAAAATATTCTATTTTTAAAAATATCTATAATTTATAAATATTATAAATATTATTTTTTTAAATAAATTTAATAACTTAGTTATTTATTATATTTTTATTATATATAATTTTTTTATAATAAATTTATAAATAATTCGAAAAATTCGAGATTTTTCTATAAAAACTCGAAATTTTCGAAATTTTCGAAATTTATAAATATTTTAAAATCTTCGTTATAACTTTATAATTATCTTAAAATTTTCGAAATAATTCTATTATTATTAATTCGAAATTTTCGTAATAATTCTATTATTAATTTAAAAATTTCGAAAATTTCGAGACTTTAAGAGATAATTCGAAATTTTCGCGATAATTCTATAATTAACTTAAAATAATTTTAAAAATATTATTATTAATTTAAAAATTTCGAAAATTTCGAGACTCTAAAAGATAATTCGAAATTTTCGCGATAATTCTATAATTAACTTAAAATAATTTTAAAAATATTATTATTAATTTAAAAATTTCGAAAATTTCGAGACTCTAAAAGATAATTCGAAATTTTCGCGATAATTCTATTATTATTAACTCGAAATTTTCGAGACTTTAAAAGATAATTCGAAATTTTCGCGATAGTTCTATAATTAACTTAAAATAATCTTAAAAATACTTCGAAATTTTCGAGATCTTTATAAAGTATTATTAAATATTAAATATTTAATATTTATAAGTTATTTAAATCTTACGCGAAAATTTCGCGATTATAATATAAGCGCGGTCACTAAACTTTTTCGGGGGCTGACTAAGCCAATGTTCCCCGTCCCGCGCCTGGACGGTTACCAACTCACGGGAATGGCAATCTCTCCTTCTATCTCTGATGTAGTTCCGAAGATATTCCGATTGGCTGTATGTTTGTCCATGACGTTGAGCTTGAGCCTTTGTTTTTGTGTGGTCAACAAGACTTTGCTGACTTCACTTCTTATATCCCGCACCAGCAATTCAGCCTTCCTTTCTCCATCATCTTAAGCAAGGCTATCTACAATAACAACAACCAACTTCAAGCAAGATCACCCGGAAGCATTCATTCCATTCTCCATCAACGAGCTTCCACATCATGAGCTCCACACTCGGAATCGGGGTTCCGGTCCCTAAAATGCTTCGTTAGTCCCTTCCTCTGGTCCGGTCGCAACCTTCCGCACCGTACTGACACTCCATCTGTACAGCCATTACAGGCACCTGGACTCTTCCATTCGCAGCCTACCTCGTCTACTTATCCAACCGCATTGTCTATCGTCGAGTCAAGTCGGAAAAGTATATGGGCGACCGTTATGTCGACGCCGCGGAATCCACCTCGAATGACAAGCCTGACCCCCTTTTCCTCGACTCTCGCGCTCACGACAATTTCATCGAGAACGTGCCCCTTTGCTTCACCTTGGTAGCGATCGCCGAGTTGAACGGTGCGAATCGTAAGGTCCTGAATTACGCGATGGCGACCTTGTTCGTGCTCAGGATTGTCCACGTGGAGTTGGGCTTGAAAGGGAAGGATACGGTGGGGTGGGGCAGACCGTGAGTGATCTGATGTACATTTGAAGTAGCGAAGGTCGTAGCTAACGCTGGGAATAGGGCCGGATACTTCGGAACTCAAGGATTCATCGCCGGAATGGCTGCGTACGGCACATATCTCGTCAAGGGCTACTGGGGCTATTAAACGGCCCAGAAAGAGCGGAGCGAAGACACTGGCGTGTCGACGGTCGAGGGCGAGCTGGCAATTGAGTATGCTTGCGTGCTATAATGAAATTTGATTTGATTTTTACACTTCGGGGAGGATCCATCGAATGTTCTCCGCTCAGAAGAGCTTAATATCAGTCTGTATATAACCTCATCCGGGACATGATGCCTCAATCGCACTTTCAAAACGTTTGCGAAGTCCGGTCCTTCCTTCTTCGTACAACCTGCGATTGCTTCCGACACCCTCCTTTCCTCTCCTACCCTCCTAGATCTTCTCCCTGTCCACCTCACAACATCTTTATCTACACCCTACAGTCATTCCCGCAGCATCGAACCCGAATCGCAAATACATCACTACCGCCAGCCTCTCAGCTCCCACCGCTCAAACCCGACACCAACGCCACTGCCCTACAAAACCACCCCATGGCCCTCCTCCCCTCCATCTCCCACGGACGCTCCGCCCCCTCGCTCCAACCCACCACCACAATAACACCAGAACTCCACCTGATCCCCCGCCCCCTTCGCATCACCAAACGAACCCCACCCACCATCCCTCCCCCCGACCCTCAACGACCTCCGCCAAACCCCCGCGCCCCCATCCCTCCCCTCCCGCAACCCCTCACGAAACCCACCCTCACAACGCCAACCCTCAAACGCACAACCACCATCGACCCTATCCACCCCACCCGCCACGCATCCACTCCCGACCCACCAGCCACATCTCCAACCCACCCACCCACCTGCGCCCTCTGCCCCACCCCCCTCTCCCCCCACAACAACCACACCTTCCCCCCCACCGCCCCCGCCATCACCCACACCATCCTCTCCCTCCTCTCCCTCTCCCTCCTCAAACCCGCCGCGTCCCACCACCACCACCTCCTCAACCCCGCCCCCTTCCCCCCCCGCTCCCCCCACTTCTGCACCGCCTGCTTCGCGACCCTGCACGGGCTGCGCCTGTGCTGGGGCTGCGGCGAGCCCGTCGCCCGGGCCGAGGAGCGCGTGGGCTGCGGCTGGGCCTGGTGGCACTGGGGCTGCGTGCGCTGCCTGCGGTGCCGGCGGCCGCTCGCGCCGCCGCCGTACGAGGATCGCGCCGTCACGCTGGACGGGATGCCGGCGTGTGGGGCGTGCGCGGGGGAGGTTGTGGGGTGGCGGGAGAGGGAGAGGGAGAGGGAGAGGGGTGGGGGGGAGAGGGGCGAGGGGGGGTGTGATGGGGCTTGCGATGGGAGGGGAGGGGAGGGGGTGGAGGGGAGGCCGTTGCCGAAGTGGATGGAGAAGTTGCCGGGGAATAGGAGGGGCGGGGGGTATAGAGGGGATCGAGGGAGGGTCGGTGGTGGGTCTGGAGGTGTGGTTGGGAGAAGCGACGCATTTCGGCGGCCGAGTTGGATAGCAGGTGCTTCTTTTCGCTCACCGTCGTTGCCAAGCCAAGCATTGAGGCCTTGATCAGGGATGAATGAGGCTAGTTGTTTAGGCTTTGCCCATAAAACTGTTATCGATTGATGGGTATCATCTGCTCTGGTACGGCTGCTGTCTTACTGCCGTCATATTCATATCCTCGTAATCCCATGCCTTCGTACATCATGTCTCATAACATCATGACCGGCTTCCCAATCAATCTATCCTTGCTTTAATCCTGCCAAATAAGACACCTCATTTCGGTGCGTAGTTTTCTTTATCACTGTCATCGAAAGCCAACCCAGATGTGCTCCTCTGCAGCCTCGGTCCTGAGGTCTCGAAACTCCCGCGCAGACCTTTCAGCACCTTCCTCTCGAGGCTCGAGCGTGGTCCTCGCGACACTCTGCGTTGAGGAGACCCACGCTGCTCCAGTGGCCTTACTGTTTCGAAACTCGAACGTGGCATGCTGTATTTGGTATTCGTCATAGTGTCGAATGACGAGCGCGGTAACAAATGTTGATGACTGCTTCGGCTGCTGCTGCCTAATACGTTGGCTGATTGGCGTCGTGCAACCTTCGTCTTTCTTGGACTCTCTCCAAGCCTCAAGGCCATCCTCCTTGGGCTGCCTTCCAGAGTACGTGTAAGCTCCTCCATCTCCGTAGACCCTAAAGTGTCCTTGCGCAGTTGAAGGTATGACTGTCTTCGGGCAGCTGTGAACGCTTGGCCGGCGCGGTAGCGGTAAGGTGAGCCGGTACCGCTTGTAGAGGAGTGATTTCGGTGCTTGTGCTCGATGGAAGCCGCCACTTGGGCAAGGGAATTGGGAGGAATGTCAATAGAGTTCTGGGACGATGGTCAGCTTCTAGATGGAATGCTTGGAGTGTGGCAAGTATCTTTCGAGGGTAGGAGGGAATTGGGGCTTACTGGATGGATGATGGTGATCGGCAGCTGAACTTTCAAATGCTTGCTGGAGGTAGAAAGGTAAGCCAGGAACAGATGGGGAGCTTATTGGGTATACATACTTGAAAGAGCAAGTGATTTGAACGTTCAAGAAGTAGCGGATGCCGAAGAATCGCCCTAGGCAGTACTATCAGCCTCTCTATCACGGGCCCGTGGATATTGCCTAGAATGGTATATTCTCAGGAGTTTCAAGCTCGGAAAGAGTATTGCGCAGACGAAAGCTTTGGCGTTGGCGAAAACCTGAGCTGGAAGTACACACCTGTCTCGATCGACACCAAACCGGTGGGCAACTCCAATTGACAGGTCCTGAAGTCCTGCGACAATGAAACCACTCCTTGGAACCCATCAGCCAAATCCTTCCTCACAACTATCTCGGTTTGTCGATGATCTGGCAAGCGGAGCACATCGGCCGATACAGCGTTCGTAGAAGGCGCAGGATAATTGTGGAACAGTGTAGTTTTCTCAAGCTGCAGCTCAACTTTCCTGACGTCCTTGCTGCTCTTGTTGTCAATGTGCATATCAACGAAGATGGGGTAGCCACTGATCCAAGTCTGACGATGAAGGCCTGCCGTCAATTTCACTGTCCGTGTACTGGATCGCTTTGACATGGGCATTTCATCCACCGCTAAGAGTGGGCTTGAGAGGTTGACGAGAGCCTTTTCGGCTGCAACCTGCGTTAGTCACAGGATATTCAGGTCATGAAAGGTCAAAGACCTACGATCATGAACTGTCAAGACCGTGACCTCGCGGGATTGTCGAACAAAGTGTTTCTTCCCATAAATTTCAAACTCTGCCAACGTACAGAGCCAATAGCTTATGCCCACCTTCTTCGACTTGTACGGTGGAGGACCCATGACCACGGGCAGGTCCAGTCGAAAGGGCAACGTAGAGCTTGAAGGTTGGACGTCCCAGGTAGTGTCAGGTCCAGGATCTGGAGCCATTGAAGCTGGAGGTGGATGTGCTGCATCGATCAGGTCGCTTGACAAGGCCCGAAACATGTCCTGTCTGCCTTTGCATCTTTCTACCCCAACGAGAGTGGCGGAAATCTTACTCAGCGCCAGACCCGCTGTAGACTTGCGACGTGTCTGAAATGGCCCTCCATCAATTCCCACGTGGATTTCGCCTTCCACCGTCGCTCCACCCATGAAAATCGGAGCTGACAGGTGGATGGCAAGGTTGAGACGAGGGTGAGTCAGTCTTGGGGTATCAAGCAGGTCAGTCGGCATGACCAATGGAGCAAATGTCCGTGACGGAGCTCGTCGCAGGGTTAAAACGTTAGGTCGACGGATTGGAGATGTCGATCGGCCCCTGGCAGGAACCGTTGTGCCATTGTTAGACATGCCGTGCGATGGCAGGGGTGGAGGCGCATGCGAAGCTGCTAATCGCATGGAAACGGCGGAGCTTCTTTGAGAGATACTCTTGGAGGAGCCTCTTTCTGGTATGCTTGATAAATGGCTCAGACATTCTCCGGGCATTATTGCTGATGAGAGAATAATCTCCGTAGTCGCATCAAGCTACCCTAGTGCTACTCTGACATGCATTGGGCAGATCAAACGTTCCCAGGCAGATCAAGATTATTGTTCCTGCGTATTGCAGGCATGGTCCCTTCCTGGATGGTAGTCTGACAGCTGCAGGGTGCAAGGGGTAGCTCTGATATGGTAGGTGTGGCCCGGTTCTGCCTTCCATGAGAGGAATCGCTGGGGTGCATGGTATGGGTAAAGGGGGCCATTCTGAAGGTAGACGATAGGTCTTAATACTATTAGTTCTGTTCCATCAGTTCTGTTCCAGGGCAAGTGTTCCAGGACAATGGAAGCCATTATACAAGGGAGGATAAGGTGGCTTGAGGTAGGGTTGGAAGGTGGTTGGAATAAAGGTCTCAAGGGTTGACAGACAGGGTTCTCTGATGGTGTGCAGATCACCACGTGTATCATTATTTCCTTTCACCTCTTTTTACTAGCACATGCTTTAGAAGTTTATTAGAAGCAGCTTGGAAGACGCCAAATATATGGTATCATGTATCATGTATGGGAACAATAGCCTTGTCATCCCTTGTCATCCCATCCATAGGTACATAAGACCTCATAATCTAGCCTGAACCCTGATGTGAGTGTAGCGATCAAATCTGAGCGATTATCGATTATCGATCATCGCCTTCAGGCCGCTGTTGCAGAATCCCAGCAGCCGCATCCTCGGAAATGCTTGTTCCAGGGTCTCTGCCAAGACAAAGCCTCCAACCCGTCCAAAGGTCAATTGTTCGGGGTCCGCCTAGAAATGACATATAATGATTTTCCGCTAAACTCTATGAGGGTATTCGATCCTGTTCCCATGTCCGCAACTACCAGATACACCAATCGCGTAGCTCGCCCAACCTTAAGTGAGTCTGACTGGCTCCAAAGCAGCTACTTCTTCTCACCCCCCGAAAACCTCTCTGCCCTTTAGACCTTTCCCGACAAATCAATCCGTGGAGAATAAAAACAAAAAAGCCCAGTCATACAGTCGTACTCATCGGCCTTCCTGGCCTACTTCCATGCTCCCGGAGCCATCTCCACACGGACCACGCGAGCGGGCCACACGATATGAAAAATCTCTGCTTGGGCCCCTGACATGTCTAGAACATCGTTGCCAAAAGAGCTAACCCCACAATCCACCACGAGCTCCGTACAGTAGAGTACATATGTCTGCCGTCTTCCGTAACTTACCCTATTTCCTGCTAGACGCAGCACCCTTTTTTTTCTCTCCTGCATCACAATTCTTATTTCCATTACCTTTCTCTTACTCAACACTTTGCTCCCCCCAATTGACTGGTACATTTTACGCCTGCCTTGAGGCTCAACAACATCTTACATTCGCTTGCCAGTAGCGCTGCACACCCGTGGCTTGACCCAGGCTATGATCGGGAACCATACCTGAACAAGCGGGTTGACGAGACCTTAGTTTCAATATTCGCTAATTCTGAATTCTGAACAACGTCTCCATATCTGTCTTGGTGGGAATGTCAACTATCGAGGATGTCCCCGCCGCTCCTAAGATCGAACACTTTGAGGAGGAATCCTTCTCGGAATCCTCTCCCGATCCCGAGGAGCAGAGTTTGACTCAAGAACCTGCACAGGTGCAGAAGCGGAAGGGAGGGCGCAAGCCGGTATGGCCTGCTTGCATATGTTGTCCGAATCTACATTTCCCCTAATGCCATCTTAGATTTACGCGACATCGGAAGAACGAAAGCAACGAAATCGCCAAGCTCAGGCAGCTTTTAGGGAACGGCGAACAGAATACATCAAGCAATTGGAGACTACGATCAAACAGCATGAGGAAGCCCTTCAAAGTCTACAACAAAATCATAGAGCAGCAGCGGACGAGTGCTTGATGCTTCGATACAAGAATTCCCTCCTCGAACGCATACTGCTTGAGAAAAGTAGGCCATGTTGTTAATCGATACTTGCGCCTCTACGTTGCTGACGAAGCCACAGAAATCGATGTGCAGGCTGAGCTGAAGTCTAAAGCTGAAGGCGCCACGGTTGTGCAACTTCCAACTCAGCCATTGGGGGGTCCGCAGCCGACTCCGGTTCAGCGAGCTCTTCTGAATCGGCTAGGGCAGGTCCGACGCTCAACATCTGGATCTTCGTCTCGAGCATTAAGGCCCCACTCTTCCAAATCTTCTTCGGTCCTGTCTCCTCAGCTTCAGCCATCGCAGCATTCGCAGATTGTATCAGCAGTCACGACAAAATCTCCGATTGGCATAGCGAAAGGTGGGATGATCTCACCTAGGGTCGATATGAAAGCTCAGCAACCACAACAGCCGCCGCCGCCGCCTGAGTCTCAAGCATACCCTCAGCAACAGCCGTCAAGGCTAAGCATACCAACAAGTCGATCATCGATGCAAGGTACGACGCCAAGCACGGCAGATACAAGTCGTAGCAGTGAGATGGGTAGTACAGCTGGGACCCAAACAAGCTTCTATCCATCTCCATTCCAAGCTCATATAGAGCAACTCGGCAAGCTGTCCCGCCCCCTCCTTTCCGTAATATAAATAGAGCTATGTTCGTCCTAGATTGATTCCGTGAGTACAGAACAGGAGTACGATGCGCATGTCGATATGCTCGACGACGAAAACCCCAGCGATCGCGACGTGGGTCCCGGCCCCTATCCGCAAAATTTCCATCACCAGCCTCTTTCCCCGCACCAGCAAATACCTATGGGTATGCAGGGTCAGCCACCAATGCAGCAGATGCAACCCATGCAGCAAATGCAGCCTATGCAACCAATGCAGCCACCGCCGGCCTCACAAGCCATGGATCCGAACAACCCAGCGTATCCAGGGATGCAGCCTGGCTTCGATCCTTACGATCCTATGTTAGACGCCGATCCGTTTGGCCTCTCCGCCAGCATGCATTTCCCCACCCAATTTACCTTTCAAGAGAGTTCGATGAGACGGTGATAACTCGGGGTGAAGATGATTTTTTGTTGAATGGGAAAAGTTCTAATGTGATCGGAACAGGGCTCGTTCAAGGCGTGAACGACTGGCATGCATTCTTGAAGGATTTCTGCATCAGCGAAAGGCGTACACAATTTGATACCACCAAAAGCTGCAAGCAGCTTCAGCATATTGCTTTGTATCTAATTTCTCTACACTGCTCGTCAGAAGTTCTGGCTTCTTGTCATTGATGGTCAGAGCATCATAAAAACCCGAAAGATCAAGCTGACCTCTTCCCAAACAATCTGAATGTACAATGTAAACAATTGTCTCATCGACTCGTCGAATCTCGAGTTAGGCGCGCTAGTCTTGGCGGCAGATCCCAACCTCGCTAAGAAAACCCGCACAACTCGACTCCTGACAGTGTCACAGTGACAGCAGCAACGTTGCATCACACAACGTCAACGCGATTCAGATAGAGAGACAAGATCCTGCGCTAGGATCCTGTCGCTCTTAATTGACACCGTCCACATCACACTGGTGCGATAGCAAAGGAGGCCTTCGGAGGAAGGCAGTAGGCGGGCGTCATGAGTGACGTGAAATCCAAGGTGCGGAGCAATGATCTCAAATCCTACAACTATGAAGCTCTATATGTCTCTCATAAGCTTTGCGCTTTATGCCATGGCAATTGCTAACATTCGAAATCTACAGAACCTTTACGAGCTCCTCGGTCCGCCCGGTTCTATAGCTCTCCTCAAAACTCTAGCTAATCTTCGACCACAGGTAATGACAGTGATCAGGATTCGGACAAGGAGCCAGCACCACCTACAAAGGTGACCGATAAGCCAGTTGCACGACATGGCAAGCGTGATGCACCTGCTTCAGCCCCGAGTGAGGCTCGTGGAGGAGGTGCTGGAGGCGAGCGTGGTGGACGCGCAGGACGTGCCCGTGGACGTGGGGGGTTCTCTGGCAACGATGGAGGTAGGTCATTTCGTTTCTACAAATCGGAGCTGCATGGCGAATGGGCTTCCTTTATACGGCGATTGCTATTTTACACGCAGTACTGACATTGAGCCCAGTTTTTCGCGACCGTGAAGCCGGCTCGACGAACAATCGCGACAAGCCCACCGACGATGGACTCCGTCAAGATCGCCACGCAAACCGCATCGAAGGTGGCCGTGATCGAGGCAGCTACGATGGACGCGGTGGCCGTGGGGGCCGTGCTGGCAGAGGTGGACGCGGCAACCGTGATGACCGCCACACTCGTGGCGTTCCCAAGTATGCATCACCTCATTCGCCCTACGAGTTTTGTCTTTACTGACCTCTTTCCTCTACAGCGACCACGTCAAGCAAGCCGACCAATCATGGGGCGCACCTACCGGCGAATCCGAGTGGAAAGACGAACAAGCAGGTGAAGCCATTGCCAAAGCCGAAGAGAAGGACGAAGGTGCAGCTGGCGGGTGGAATGCTAGCGCTGCCCCAGGAGACGACTGGAATTCTGGCGCCGCTGCGGTCTCCACTGACGCAGCTCCCACAGCTGACGCTGACGGTACTGCTCCGGCCGAGGGAACTACTCCCGCCAATGCTCCAGCCGAACCAGTCGCGGAGCCTGAGCCCGAAGACAACAGCCGCTCTTACGCCGACTACCTCGCCGAGCAGGCAGAGAAGAAATTGAAGCTCGGCGGTGGAGTGCCGGAGGCTAGAAAGCCAAATGAGGGCAGCAAGGACAAGAAGTACGACAATGCGAAGCCGGTCGCTAAAGATGAGCAGGAGGACTTCTTCTCCGGCAAGAGCGAAAAGGCCAAGCGAGAACGTCAGCGCAAGGAGAAGAATGTCCTTGATATCGATATCAAGTACGTCGAGCCTCAAACTGGTCGAGGTGGAGGCGATCGCGGCGGCAGAGGACGAGGCCGTGGTGATCGAGGAGACTTCAGAGGCAGAGGCAGGGGTCGTGGTGACGGTTTCAAACCGAGAACCGACAGTGGTTTCCGTGGCGGACGGGGCAGAGGTGATGGTGGCTCTGTCAACGTCAAAGACGAAAACGCTTTTCCAAGCTTGGGCGGCTCATAGCTGAGCCTCGATCTCTCCTAGGATCTGGAACACCAGAGAGGGGATTTACGGATCAGGTACGCAACAGATAGTGTGATCAGATCAGGATGCATCTTGAAATGATTTTCGTCGAGCTCGAACAACGTCGACTGTAGAATATCTCGGTGGCATAGCTTAGCAAAGCAGATCAAAAGCAAAATCTTCTTAAGCCATTTACCAAATCTCTGCCCCTCTTTGTGCTGTGAGTCGAGCATGACTACGAGTTAGAGCTAGCTTACCCACCGAAGGACCTTCTACAGGGGCAAAGAAAGGAATCGTGAACGCTGCTGCCGTGTTTCAAAGGGTCATGAATCCATTGGAAAGGCATCTTTGGGGTTCACCGCCTGTGCGATGAAGCTCTTTGCGTCCGTCTCCCCCAGCACGGTCATGTTGATCATCCATCCATACCGCCTAGTACCTCCCCTCTAGCTGGTAGTCCATACTGCTGAGCTGTTGTTGTGTCGCATAACGTCGTCGCTTTAGCCTTCGTGTTACCTTTTCAACGACGTCTTTCCCCGCTCACTTGACGCAATTGCTAGCCTGATTCCATTGTCGTTTGCGCAGAGATGGATTCGTTGATTTGTGGATTGGGCAAGCTGGGGGGCTGATTGACCTGTCGAGCGTATAGTCTGGGATTGGATGGGCAAGATTTGGTGCAAGGTGTTACGGAAAAGGAAAGTGGATGATCTGAGTATGACTATGCTTCCCCTGAAGACATAACTTAGAGACGAGAGGGTCTGGTTTCAAAAAGTCGGGCGAAGAAATGCAGAAGGCTTGGTCATTCATGAGAGTGTGCCTGGAAGTTACTTTCAATCTTAGTGGTACTAAATGAACCATCATGATTCTAGTCAAGCTCTGCAGGACCACTCCATAGCAGGTTGTATCGTGCTTTGGAGCAAAATGGTCGCATTTATGCACCGAGTTTCATGCAGATGCACAAATAAGATAAGGTCGGCTATGCACGCTTATCCACTCCAAGACTAGAACCGGGATGAGTCAGCGGATCTTCTCCGACCTCACCCCTTCACTCTGGCTTCAACACAGTGTGATGACGACCTCTGAACTCCGAGAAAATCCGCCCGCGATCGATTATACGAGCCGGAAGATAGATGTGGGCGAGGCAAAGAGGTGGGGCCACTGCTGGGAAGGAAGCTATATGTTCATATGAGCTAGGTTGTGTCCCTGTACAACAGCTTGTTGAAGCTAGCTCTCCGCGTTACGCATTGCACTTGACTTGCGCCTTTGCTTGATATGCTGCAGAAAGACGAAAACCCCAAGTGACCACTCGCATTGCTGTAGATGACGTTGATTCTTGCTCCTGCCGCCTTCCTATGCATTGCGAACCGGTTTCGAAATGGGATCTGAGTGATTTGAAATGAAACAAAAAGATTGTGATGCCGCTCCACAAGGCCGATTCGAACTCCTGACCTCGCTTGTATCGAAAATAGATTACGGGCGCGGAGAGTATCAACAGCTGCCAGCGGCGACGACAGCGCCCTCAAGAGGAAGGCAAAAAAGGCAAAAAGATGTAGAGGTATCAGAGGATCAAAATGGCAAAAGACTCCACCACCAACCCGAAGGGTGGTGGCTTACAGAAAATCCGAAGATTTTACTAGTACCGCAAGATCAGGGTCAGTGTCTACGCTAGCTCTGTCTGACATTCTTCCACTAATGTGGTGAAGGGTGAACGACTCAAGCTAACAAGACCAAATCTCCTTTCATTCTTGGATGAAGATGTTTATGCTATTTCAATATATATTCTTTATTTTCCACGATCTATGGCCATAAGCCGGATTAAGTCCGTAGTTGCAATTGAACTCACATCATGCGTGTTTTCATCTGCGATTACATGCCCTCGACACTGCCTATTGCCCCCTCTTCTAATCCCACAGCTTGCCCACCTAAAGCTAGAAACTACCATCATTTCTACACTTGCCATGCCTCTCTACCGCATCAAGGGAAAAATTACCAAGGGTTCGCGCCTTGCTAAGCGTGAGAGGTCCGCTAAGCATAAGCATGACCAGGTAGCGAACAGGGGTGAGCACCATCGAAAGATGTACAATTCTAAGGGGAATAGACCCGCTGATTTTGCGCGTTCGCTAGGTACTCACCTTCGCGATCGGCGCCTCCAGCTCCATAATTACAATATGCGGCAGAACCGCCGCTGGCTCACAGCCAAGATACACACCGAAGACGACGATGACATCCCCGAACATGCGCGCTGGCCGCTCTTGCAGCACTGGACCAAGACCGAGCACCACCAGCAGAACCCCAAGATTTCTGACGGTCTGGCGCTCACCGACGACGTCAAATCTGCGCTGGCTTTGCTGACGGACGAGCGCGCTGTGGCTGCTGCCCAGCAAGGAAACCCGGAGCGTGTGGCAGATTGGTGGGTGCAGCCCGAGATCAAGAGCAAAAGAAAGGACAGCAAGAAGAAGAAGAAGGGCAAAAATGCCAAGGAGCAAGGGGCTACGGCCGGTCAGGGAGTCAGTGTTGAGGGGTTTCAGGACGATTTTGGGGCATTGGCATTGGGCAAGGACGGGGATATAGAGGAGAAGATGAAGAGGGAAGAGGGCGGTGTTTCGTTAGAGGAGGAGTTTGAGGGGTTCGAATCCCCAGTCATGATGTCTCCGGCGGGGTCTGTGATCGGCGAGGGACAGGAAGAGGAAGAGGATTGAAAGTGTCTTATGCTTGCGTTGTGTGTTTCTGTTGGGTGTTTGCCTTCGGGGCGGGCCTTAGGTCACAAACAGGGCACCAGATATTGCGAATGAAACCGGTTTCCGCTGATTATATCTCATACCAATGACAGTTATGAAGTTTTCTTTGCCAAAGTACAGCCAATGGAACTATTCAGACTTGCAGAAAAGGCAGCGAAACCAGGCAAGATATTGCAACAAATGACATTCGTCAAGGTCTCTATCCCCAGGATACTCAAAAACCCAACAGAAATTGATCAGACTGCTTGGTGCTCCACTGGGCTCGTCTTCGTACAAAATCTAGCAAATTGTTCGAGTCAGATCCTCTGGATGTGCAAAGAATACACCCCGTCCGTGAACACAATGTCCATCGATATTCCAGTGGGAGACCTTGGGAATACGCTCTCCTTATCTATTTATACCACAGTTCCAGGGTTTTGGAATGGCATGTCGTTGGCCGGAGAAGCGCCGGAGAAGATTCCCCTGCATCAATTATGCACTAAATTATGCCGCTGGCCATGCTTCCCCGCATTTTGCAGCGCTGATCCGGATGTCCTGACAAAACAGCACCTCTACATACTAATTCTGCGCTTTGATCTACAATCTCTGAATCTAACACCGTTGCTGAGTTATCTTGTCATATCGTCGATTAACATTCAATGCATTGGCTTCTCACTACAATTGCCGCTGGTTCGGCGCTGCTGAGTCTCCCTGTGGGAGCTTCCAAACTCACTCCACCAGTCGTGCCGTTGGTCGTCAGGAACCCGTATTTGAGTACGTGGCTGGGCGACGTGAGAGAAACACCATGGAACAAATGGCCAATGTTTTGGACTGGAGAAGAGGTACGTATCCTCAGCTCAGCCGGGCCAATCATTTTGCGCCGTCCATGGAATGCCGAAGTCCCGGGAGCGCTTTTACAATAAAGCTGACGTCTGCGTTTACATAGATTGGGTTTGGGGTGCTGGCTGCTGTTCCTGACAGTGGAGATGTATACCCTCTCTTGGGAAGACCCCACGATTCCCTACTTCTTCGAAAGGACAATGGGTGAGACGATCGAACGCCGTGGAGTCACGGACAGAATTGCTTATATCTCTATCTTAGATTCAACGTCTCCTTCTGCAGCTACCTCGGCACCACCTTCGACGCCTCGACGACTAATCTGACATATCGAATTCCCGCTCCTCGGTCTCACAAATCAACTAAGCCTCTAGAGGTCGTCATCTCCTTTCTTTCGCCCATCACCCCAACTTCGACCCTCCGCCAATCGATTCCAGCTTCCTACATGACAGTATATGTCTCGGGTGGATTCAATGTTGATATCTACGTCGACATCAATGGTCAGTGGGCGAGTGGGGACAGAGGAAGCCGAATTGTCTGGGACTTTGATCAGCAGCAACTCGGAGGCGACAAAGCGTTGAAGACCTGGAAAATCAGAAGAGAGACAGAGCAGTTGTTTTCAGAAATTAGAGACCAAGCCGAATGGGGTACCTTGCATTTCTCCGCTCCGTCCGTAGGTCCTCCCAGAGCCCATTACCGGATGTCCTCAGACTGACGCTGCTAGGATGTCCGTCACGAGTCTGGGACCTCAGGACTCATCCGTCCGCGATTCGCGCGGACTGGTACCCTTCAAAACGCTATTGACGAAGACTTCCGCGGCATCATGGAAGAGGAGCCTGTCTTTGCGTTCGCCAAGTCTTTCAGCCTGAACTCTTCGTCAGCATCGTCCACTCACAGTGTCGACAGCGTCATGTTCACTATTGCACACATTCAGGACCCAGTCGTCCAGTTTGCCGCAGAGCGCGGTCTGACCTTTATGAGACCGCTTTGGGCTTCTTGGTTCTCTTCAGTCGAGTCTCTGTTGGCTTTCCATTACCTAGACTTTCACAATGCTGCGACGCTTGCTAGCAACTACTCCACGCAGCTTGCTAAAGACGCCTACGTATCTGGAGCAGATGATTACGTTGACATCGTTGCCCTGACCGCGCGGCAGGTAATGGGTGCAACAAGCTTCGCTGGGACTCCTGACAACCCAATCCTGTTCCTCAAAGAGATTTCCTCCAATGGCAATTCTCAGACAATCGACGTCATCTTCCCGGCTTTCCCATTCTTTCTGTATACCAACCCTCGCTGGTTGGCATACTTGCTTGAACCAATTATCGAGCACACACTTAGCGGCCAATATCCTAATAAATATGCTTTGCACGATCTTGGAACCCACTTTCCAAACATGACGGGACATCCCGACGGAAGGGATGAGTATATGCCGGTGGAGGAATGTGGAAATATTCTGATCATGGGTTTAGCAATCGTCAACAGCCTTTTTTACGATACAGATGTTGCTGCTGGCTCGCACTGGGCGAGCCTTGGAAGTCAAAGCTTTGATGCTAACCCCACAACCAGCGCTTTCTCGTTGAATGATCTAGAGGAGCGAGAGGGCGTCTTCGGACTCGACGATTCATGGGGCGGTTCTACGAAAGGACTGAAGCAGGCGCAGAAATGGGTCACCAGGAGTTATAGGCTTTGGAAACAATGGACCGGCTACCTTGTGGAGTTCTCTTTGGAACCAGATCATCAGCGCAAGTCAATTTGGTTGCTGGCAGAGGATCTATTGCTAACGACTCATAGTCTCTACCGATGACTTTGCGGGGCCTCTACAGCTACAGACCAATCTAGCTCTCAAGGGTATCATTGGCATCAAAGCTATGGAGGGCATTGCCAACGTAATCGACAACAAGGAGGACGCAAAGAATTTCAAGGTCCGTACAAGAATGTTGCTTCTAGGCGATTGTCACTAACGAAAAACCCAGAACATCTCAGAAACCTACGTCTCGAAGTGGGAAGAATTCGGCATCTCCCGCGACGGCAGCCACGCCAAACTCGCATACGACTGGTACGGTTCCTGGACGACCCTCTACAATCTCTACGCCGACGCCCTACTCTGCTTCCACCTCGAGGGAACATCGCTCTCTTCATCGGTAAGCACCGTTGAGCACCATAATCACCAAAAGCCCTTAGAACCTGGCTTCGACACACAAAATTCAAACAGCACCGGCTTCGTCTCTCAACACGTCTACAAAATCCAGTCAGACTGGTACCACGCCGTCCGTCAACGCTACGGCCTGCCCCTCGACAGTCGTCACCTCTACACGAAAACCGACTGGGAATTCTTCGCCGCGGCCGTCACCTCAAAATCTGTCCGTTCCGAGATCCTAGAGAGTGTAGCCAAGTGGCTCAACGAGACCAGCACCGATCGCCCGTTCACGGATCTTCACGAGACGGAGGGCGATGGTGGCTTTCCGGGTGCGCACTTCATGGCGAGGCCAGTGACTGGGGGCCATTTTGCGTTTTTGACGCTGGGGAAGGCGTGTGGGGGAAATGCCATGGACGGGTTGGCTTTTCTGGAGGATGAGAGTCTGCTCAAGGGCGCGGACCCGTGGGACGAAGATTTCGTTTTGGACTTGGGGGCTGGAGAATTGTAAATGTCGTTTGGATATAAATTGGAGGAAGAAGAAGAAGAAGAGATTGGATGATGAATGGAGCTGGGTACAAAAATGTTTTGCATCAGCCTGAATTTTCGGTACGAATGTCCGACAAGATTGGACAAGATGGGGAGGGTACACATGTAGGGTTTTCAAAAGTCTGTCCGTGTATCTTTGTATCAAAAACAAAACATGGCGCCGTTGACCAACAAATGTGGCGCTTGGCCGGTATCTCACAGGTCTTTGCACAACGCAAGCAGTGCGAGAAGGAAGGGCTTCCGTGATAGCGAATACGTTATTTGATCGGTGTCTTACACGTCGTTAATGCAACATCAGCAGCGAATCATGGCTTTACTATTGACAGCAAATGCAGCATCCTTACGGCATCTCGCTTCTTCCCCCACATATGCAATACCAGCGATCACGAAACCTCCCATATCTACGTTACCTCCATTGTGTCGCAAACGCTCAGAATCATACACCAGCAACATTTCAAACCCGCTCACAACTCCTCCCACAGATTTCTTTTCCTCTCCCCCCTCTTTTTCTCTTGGGGCTGCTTCCCAATCTCCTCCTCCTCCTCTTCCCTCCTCTTCTGCTCTTTCACGCTCTTCTTATCTTTTTTCCCTGCAGAGGTACCCCTCGCCTTCCCACTCCCTTCGCTCCCCGAACCAGTACTGATACTCTCCCCCGTCCCTCCATCGGTTCGCTCACTTTCACTGGGCTCTTCCTCGCCGGCGACACTATCGGCAGCAGCCTCTCGACGCCGCCTGTTTTTTGCACTATTGACTACACTCATCAACACGCCCATGCTGCCGGTGCCACTCCTCTTTCCTAGGCCGGATGCTTTACCCGGACTCGGTAGCGTTGGATTAGGCGGCTCCACTGTCGGGCTAGGGTCGGTCAGCTGGAAGGCGGATGGGTCGGGATCAGGAAGACGCTTGCGGATTAAAGAAGCGAAAGATTCCTTCGAGGCGAGCGTGTTGAAATCTCTGGTTGTGGGAGGGACGCTGTTGGGTAGTTGTGCGAGCTTTGATGGTGGGGACGAGGGAGGTGGGGTTGGCGGGCGTGGGAGGAAGAAAGGGATTTTTAGAGGAGATTCCTCAGGAGACTTTGTCGTGCTCTGCGACTCGACATCGTCGTCTGTACCTTTGCTGTTCTTTTTCAGATTTGTGGCTGTTCCTGCTTCGGTAGTACTGCTGTCCTTGGGCTCTTCGGCCATGTGTGATGAACCATTCGTAGCAGTATTGTCTGATGAGGCTGACACAGGCACGTAAGATTCAAGCGTGTTGCTGCTATTTAGTGGGGACAGTGGCCGTTCTGCGGTTGTAGCGAGGTTCTGTTCCGACCTGGCAGGCGAGGAGTCAATGCTGGTAATAGATGAAGATTCGCTAGGATGAGGCGATATGACTCCCAGAGCTTCAAGTTGGTCTGCTGCATATCAGCCGGTGAAGAGAATGAATGAGAAGGTCAGCTTACCCCAGCTGCGGTAGTAGTATCGAAAAGTAGCGAAGGGCGCGTCGAGAGGATCGAGCAGTGCATACTTGTAGTAACGCTGAGGATGATTGTCCAAGAGGGTTCCTGCATTGACGAGACTGTTGCATGGGTAGCCACGTCAGTTGGCTGGCCGCAGTGGAAATGACCGAACCACTTACTTGATGCCACCTACTGCTTGCTGCTGAGACTTTTTCTTGTCGATGTTCGGGGAAATGCCGACACTCTGAATCGTTTGGAAACCTGGCTTAACCCTCTTCCTACCCTTCGATCGAAACACTTTGATTTCCATGACATCGCTCAGGTTGTCCAGAGCACCATTGTGGAGACCGGCAGTGTCTGGGCCAAAGCAGAGAACTCGTTGCTGTAAAGTAGTACCTCTAGCAAGGGCAGAGCTATGACCCGGCTTAAAGAGACCGAACATGGTCTTGCCTCGGTAGGCATCGTCCTCGCCACAGCCCCAGCTCACGACGGAATTACCGTTGAGGTAGAGCTTGAAATAGTAGAGCAGTTTTGGTGGATAAGGTGGCGAAATGCTGTATGAGATCCAGAATTGCGAGGATGGGTACGTCGGGATGTACACAGATACTAGCGAGTGATCTGGATTGACGAGCGTCGGTGCATTGGAGAAGGGATCCGTGGGCGTCGTCGGCGGTGCATATTCGGGAATCGTGAGAATGTCAAATTGTGAGATGAGGGAGATGGTGATGCTTCGATATGTGGGCATCTTGGTAATTGGGGTTGATGCGTGATTGTTTGCGGTGTTGTTGTAGAGTAATGCTGCTAGTCCATAGATCCATTTTCTTCAACACTTTTGCATTCAGATACGGAAATTGCTCTTTCGAAATTCACGCCTTCCAAATCTCAAGGCAATACGCTGGTCTAGCCCTCTTGGATCATGCATGCGTTGCTCGGTCCCATTTGGATTCTGATGTGTTGAAACTCGTGCAACGCTCAAAACCATACTTTTCAAGGGCTGACGGCCGGAATTTCTCAACTACTCATCCGAAGACAGAGCTTTGAACCTGGCCGATCCATCTAGGCTGAAGTTTGAGCAGCATATTCGCGGCCTCATGAGAGCTTGACTTCGACCGTCAAGATGCGGTTTACACCGATATCTGTCTTCCTTCAAGCAGACACAAGCTTTTAAACATCTCCATTTTGCCTCGTCACCTCCCCTACTACCGCCTTGTTTCCCTCCAATATCCTCTGAACATCCTCCTTACACTCGGGAATCCCTTTGACAATCTCCTCCGCCAGCATATCCCTGAAGCCCGCAAACGCCTCACTCTTCCCCTTCAGATACTGATTACTCCTCTGCACCGCCTCGACAAGCTCTCTCGTGTATATGTCTGGGTTGCGACCTTGATCGATATAGTCTATTATCTCCGGAGGGAGACCAATAGGCAGGGAGGAGGACGAGGTCGAGAGGGTCGAGAGAGAGGTGGTGAGTTGGTGTCTGTAGATTTCCGGAAGGGTGAATTAGCAAAAATATCCAGGTCGAGGAAAGGCGATGGAAGAGCATACATTTTGCGTACTAGCTGCTGCTGGGTATCGGGACCAAGGTAGCCATGCACGGCAGATTGGATCTCGAAGAGGTTCTGGATCACGTCTCTGAGACGGTCTATAGCATGCTGTTAGCCTAGTCATCTGGAGACATATAGGTCGGACCATACCATCGACGGTATTTTCTGGCATTGGAGCCATGTCGAATGTAGAAGGAGCGAAAGTGGAGTTACACAATGCCCAAGGCCGGAGATAAGTTGACGGCTTTGACCTAGTGGCTTTGCTCTTAGCCCCCAAATCCGATGATCCTCATGATATGTCACATGATGTGGATCACCTCTCGCAGCTTAAGGTACTTTGATTGTTGGAAGCCTGGTGTTATATGTTCTGACCTTCCCTCTTGACGTATGGTTCTTCTTTTCGCTTACTTGTAGTAGAGCATTCTTCGTTCGCGCAGTATCAATCGTTCTTCATCCTTTCTTCTCTCTCTTGCCGTCCATGCTTTCATGATGGTTAAGTTCTCCTATCAGAAAGGCCTCAGGCTCAACAGAACCATTAGAAGCCATGGACAGTCTCAGCATTGGAGTATCCATCCAGGAGTTCGAAGCTCCAACGACCTTCCCCTTTCAACGCCTCCCCGTGGAACTCCAGCTTCTGATGCTCCAACACATCCTTGTATCCCCAGCTCCAATCCTCAATCCCAACATCCCACTTAACGCCCAAAAGTACTTTGTTAGAGGCGAAGAAAAAGGCCAACATCAAGTCAACCCTCACATGATCTTCACTTGCAAACTCTTTTACAAGGAAGGCCCCCGTCTACTCTACGGTCACAATACGTTCATGTATACATAATCCTAGACAACCTTTCCGTATACGCTGTCAAAATGTGACATGGAGGAATGCAAACGATGTGTCAAGAACAGCATTTCACCTCTTGCCCCGATTGCAGAACATCCGCCCGCCATCCCCTGCAATTGGAACCTCGCTTTTCAAAAGCATGCCGCGAACATCCATCTGCGGCTCCCCGGCACCAATAACTACGATTTTCTCAAGGACTGCGAGAAGCCGCTGCAGCAGATCGTACAGCACTTCACCAACCTTAGAACATTACGACTCGATTTTCTAGACGTATCTACAGGCCAACAGTCCGCATGGGACGTCGATGAATACTTGATGCATGATCTCCTGTCTACTCTCCGATCTACTATCTGGAGCACCATGAAGGAATTCCAGGCCCCAGATCGATCTGCCGGAGCCTTGAAAGAAATCGTCCTTACGGGCCTGCCTCAAAACGACTTAAGGTATGTCATGAAGCAGTATGCGCGATTACTGGCTCGGAATGGTAGATTTTGCGTAGGATGGGGAGTAAAGAGAAAGCGGTACGAATTGCTTGGTGCACGGGGGGACGGTGAGGTGACTAAACGAGAGGATTTGGAACTTCTATGGATGAGGGTGGAGGAAGAGGGGGAATGGATCGCAGGGGAGTGTCACAAGAAGGGCAGTAGGTGGTTGTTTACGAGGCAGAAGCCCGAGTCGAAAGCTTCATGGTCTCAATCCCCGCCGCTTCCAGAACCAGAGCAAAGTCAAGAGTCTAAGGCATGGGACCAGGAGTTTGGAGAGGATCTGGAGACACTTGCGAGTTTGGACAATCTTCGAGGACGCGAATGAAGACCTACCGAACCAGCGAGTGAGCGGTTCGGAAATAGAGCCCGCGGCTTTCAAGACCCTGTTGGCTTGAGGCGTACCCGTCTTGAAATATCATATCCTATTGGAACCGACCCCGTCTTCCGCCAATTCGAGCATTCCGAACCTGTACGTTTGTCAAGCCAAACACATATCCTGTTCGTCTCTATTTCTAGATCAACAACAACGACAACCCACATCAGGCATTTCCTATCCCTCTTCCTCAAAATCTTCCAGAGTCTATACTTCAACAAGGGCCACTGACTCGCCGATCACGGGGCTGTGGAATAGAATCTCTTCACCTGAGTTTCCGTAGG